TATTTTTAAGAAACCTTTCCGTGCCTGTAATCCCAGCATGCAGGAGGCTGAGGCAGAAGGATCATTGTGAGTTTGAGGCCAGCTTGAGCTACAAAGTGAGTTCAAGGCCAGCCTGAACTACAAAGTAAAAGATGTCTCAAAAAAAAAAAAAAAAGAAAACGTTTCTTTTCATGATCACTAACTACAAGCTTATCTTCTATGTCTGAGATTCTGTCCTGACATTAATTTATTCTGTTGCAGATACTTTCAGAGAAATTTTTAGTTTCCTACATACCTGTTTCAATCTATATAATGGACTCCATTTCTTCTCTATGTTGGACATTCATGGTTTCCATCATTTTCCCAAGCTCCTCTATTTTTTTTTTTAAATCTGTATCTGCTCTAGAGTCACTAAACATGTTGTTCATTATGGTTACAATTTCTGTAGTTATCTGAGAAATTATTTCTGATTTGAGTTTTTTCTAGAGTGTCGTTCATCTGTTTTGTTGTTACCACTTCAGAGAGGCCAGATGGGTGGCTTTCAGATTGTCCCACCTCATTACTCTCTGGGTTTACCTTTGGTGAACTGGATGTCTGGACTTGCATCTTGTTTTAAGTGTCTTTTCTCTTTTTTTAAAAATTTAATTCCAGGGTTGATGCTGGTAAATTGCCTATGATGAATAGCTTTACTGCTAGTGTTTAGAACCCTTAGGAAATGACTGTTTCTCAGAGGTGTCTTCCAGATGTAGGTGGTTTTTGGGTTTTGAGTTCGTTGCAAGATCCTACCTTTTCAGTTTGTTGGGGAAGAGAAGTTGCTGCCTGCTTGGCCCAGCCCCTGGTTCTTTGGCACTGGCCTACAGTATTTTCTGTGACCTTTAGGAGTCTCAGTCTTTGTATACCAGGAAGAAGAGCTAGTTAGAATGATCTTGTCACGTTGGCTAACGTGGTACATTCAGCAATAACAATAGCATCAAAGCACAGCATAGAAAATGACAAACCACGGTAACCATTGATTTTCTACTTTTAACTGTACAAACTAGATTTATGGTTATGTAACAAAATCTAAAACCAGAAAATTATATGTTGTAAATAAGCCCTCAATATGATAGTTTCTACCTTACGGAAGAAAATTTAAAAGGAGTTAAGAGAAAAAATAGAGACATTAAAAAAAAAAAAGATTAGAAGCCAGGCTGGAGGACAAAGGAGGATCACATAAACTTTGGGAAACTGGTACAGAAGACAGGAGGGAAAAAGAGAAGGAAGACGTGAACAGAACAGTCACAAGACTGGAAACCAGGTTCACACTCATAGAAACAAGATCAAACAATGAAAAGAAAAGGAACAAAAAATAACAAAAGAGAGAGGGAGGGGGAAAGCTTGTCTACTTCTTGGTCTGTCTCTGCCGTCGCTGGTAGATAACATGTAGAGACGGAGCCCAGATCATGTTGATTCACCCCAGCAGGCCGGCAGTGGCCTGTGCCTTTATTTCCCCTGAAGTTCAGGTGGGTTTCCGGCTGTGAGGCTGGAGCCAGACCCATGCGGCCTGCAGCAGTCAGCACCTACTGTGGGGGCTGTGCTCAGCTGGGAGCTAGATGGAGCCAGCGGTTGTCCAGAGTTCCGAGCTCAATTGGCCCTTCTCCACACTGGCTCCCAGCTAATCGCCCTCTCCTGCAGGGCAGCCAAGTCCAGCCCACTCCCCAGCCAGTGCAGTCCACGGTGTGCACCCTCTGTTGCACTGCTGTGTCTCCATGGAGGCCTCCAGGGTTGCCAGTAGTCACGAGCGAACCATTCCTCCCACGCAGTGAGCCCAGCTCAGGAGTCTGCTGCCTCCTTCATTGAAGTTTCTCTCTGATCTCTCTGTGGGCTTCAGCTGTCACCTCAGATCCTTCCTGGGTCTGGGGGACCCACTTCCCTCACGTTGCTATTTTCCAGTGTCTGGACAGCACATCTCAGAGAGGCTTTTCCTCTGCAGCTTACCGCTCCATCTTCCTGGAAGTCCCACTCCTTGATTTTAGAGAACACAGAACTTAACATATCTAGCATTTAGCAGATGGAGTTACATTATTTCCCCTGTATCAGTTTCACTAGCCCTGAGTGTGTGAGACCAAGCAAGGGACAGTGATGCCTGGTACCCACAGGCAGTGCTGCTGAATCAGAAACTGAGGTCATCACTGCAGACCTTGCCACCCTACATGCTATTTAAATCCAGGTCAGATGGTGAAAAACTTGCAGGAGGCATATTTTTTAAGAGGCATCTTATCCCTGTTATAGCCTACCTCGGGCAAGTGGCCACTGACTGTGGAACCCAGTTTGGCAGCTTCTTAACTAAAGATGTGACTGCCACACAACCCAATACTTAAATTCCTGGGTTTTTATCCCAAAGAAATTAAAAACACTTTACCCTGAAACATATCCAGATGTGTTCAGACTGGCTTTATTTGCAGTCACCAAAAACTGAAAATATCTCTGATGTCCATCAGCGATCAGTGGTAAAACAGACTGGTATGTTACACCACAGAATGTTACTCAGCCATAAAAGGAGGCAGCGTGATGATGTGTGGCTTAATCTGGATGACTCTGCGGGGAATTCAGCCAAATGGAAAAAGCCGTGCCGGAGGGTCACAACTGGATGCCTGCATTTCTGTTATATTCCTGACATGACGAGCGGATTAGTGGTTGCTAAGGGCTAAGGAATAAGGCTGTGAGGGTGGAGAGAAGTGGATGTGGCCTGCGGGGGCACCTTTGGGGACTCTCGTGGTGGTGCAGATGTTCCGAATCCTGTGAGCAACCGTATTCTGGCCCTGATGCTGTGCCCCAGAGCACATGGGAGCTCACTGTTCGAAATGTATGAGAATCTACAGCCGCCTCAGCATGAAAAGGTTAATTTCTTTAAAAAGCAGAAGATTGCAGATATATGCAGTGATCCGTGTGAATCTCAAAAGCATTGTGTTGAGTGAAAGAAGCTGGACCAAAAGCAGATCTGTGTGACAGACCGCAGGCTGGGTGGGATTGCAGAGGCACAGAGACCTCGGGTGGAAGTTAATAGTGTATTCTGCTGGGTCAGAACTCCTCAAATTACATGATTAAGGTTGGTGAATTGTATTATATTGAGTTATACCTTACTAAGCGTAACAAAACCAAACCATGCAGAGGTGTCAGGCAGAGTGTCCCGGAACTAAATTTCCAGTTCTTTTCTCTTTTCACTTCTCTTACATCCCACAAGGTGGCGCTGGCCAAGCGTTTGTATGTTATACGGTGGGGTTCCCAGCGCAGAAGGCTTCCTGGTAGTGACTCCTTTCCTTTTGTTAATGACCACAGTAAGCTTGATCAGCTAAAACGTGACTTTCCCTTATATTTTCTTCTCCCCTACTAATAGCTACAGTTCACATTTTTAACTTCAGTTAACTTAGGGTACTAAAGTAGCAGTGATCATTGTACTTTTTGTAATTAGTTAACCTCTGGAATTTTTACTTTCTTTCACAGTTTATATACAATTTACTCTATAGGGATTGAACTTACATCTCGAGTTTGCCAGCAGGCACTACACCACTGAGCTAAACCCCGGCCCAAAACAAATTTTTTTTTTTTGGTACAGGGGATCGAACTCATGACCTTGTGCTTGCCAGGGCAGGCGCTTATGCCGCTGAGCTAAATCCCTCTGTCCTACTGTTTATTTTTGTAAATAGACATTGTTTTTTGTTTTTGTGGTGCTGAGGATGAAACCCAAGGCCTCTCGTGTGCTGGGCACGTGCTCTGTCGAGCAGCCACCTCCCGGGTGCGTGCCCAGCACCTCGTGTGATCACCAAAACAGCTTCTAACTGGCTTCTCTACATCTAGTCTGACAGTTCTCCACTCCCCCACAAAACTGTCACTGCCCCGACCAGAAAGTTCTTCTGGCTTCTCACAGCTTTTCCAATAAAATGAAATTGCAAACTGGTGAGTGTTTCACTTCCTCACACCTGCGGTCCCCACCACCGCAGGTGGTCCCCATTGGTCCCCACCACCCGCCTCCTGCTGGCCACTGCTTAGGACCTCGCACGTGCACTGCACTCGCCATCCCACTCCTCACCCGCGAATTCTGAACCTCTGTGCGCTGTGCCGCTGGTGTGGTCACTGGCTGAGCTTTTCCGACTTCTTCAAACCAATTTGTGTCTCCTCGTTCACCCAGAGCTCCCCGTACTTTCCCCTTGGGCAGGATCACCATTGTGTGTGGCACTAGGAATTGAACCCAGGGTCTTCACACTGAGCTATGTCCTCTGAGGCTTTTGTTTTTCCCTCCCTAAATTACTCAACTGGGCATAAACTTACAGTCTTTCTGCCTCAGTCTCCCGGAGTGCTGGGATTACAGGTGGGTGCCACCAACCTAGCCAGCTTCCACACCAGGACCATCCTTTACACTTTATTATGACTGTTGAATTCACTCTTACTTGCTACAAAGTTCTGTAAAACAAATTTTCTTTTTCTCTGTCTCTCTCTCTTTCTCTCTCTCTTTTCTTTTTGAGACAGGGTCTCAGTCTGTACTCCAAACTGGCCTTGAATTTACTGTATAGCCCAGGCTGGCCTCAAACTCAAGGTGATCCTCGTCCTGCCTCAGTCTCCTGAGTGCTGCGATTGCAAATGCGCGCCACCTCTGTTTGTTTGTTTATTTGTTTGTTTTTGTGGGTTTTGTTTGTCTGTGATTGAGACAAGGTCTTACGGCATCCATGCTAGCCTTGACTCATTGCTAGCTCAGGCTGGCGTCAAACTTGACCTTCCTGCCTCATCTCCTGCTGGGATTTCAAGTGTGTGCTGTCACAGGTACTCAGTGCTGTCACAGGTACTCAGTGCTGTCACAGCCTCTGCTGCCGTGTCTAGCGTATCATAGATGCCTAAAGTCTGTGGACATTGGCTGGCCGCCTTTCCCAAAAAGACAGTATGTCACTAAGTGTGGGTTATATCCGATAGTGTGTTTACTATGCCAGTTAATTGAAAGTATCATCTTACATTTTTTTTCCTTTTTGTAAACTTTCAAAACATTTCAGGCTTGCCGAGGGGCCCAGACAGCTGCAGACAGAGCGCCTCGAATCAAGAAATTTGCCATCTACCGATGGGACCCAGACAAGGCTGGAGATAAGCCTCATATGCAGACTTATGAAGTTGATCTGAATAAGTGAGTAAATCCGTGTAAGCCAAATGTGAATAAATGTGTTGTGTGCTCTACCACAGAGCTGCAGTCCCAGCTCAGACCAGAGCTGTTGGTTTTATTTAGTGACAGGCTTTCTGTATCCTTGGGAGGTTTGAAAATCTGAGATCATCTAGTGGCTCTGGAATCTGTTCACTTCCTTATGAAAGATAAATAGAAAGATAAAAGAAATATAACCTTTGCAAAATTCTTCGTCTCCCAAATTAAAATGTGTGTGTGGGTGTGTGTGTTCTACCCACACACACATTAAGCCCAGGGTCTTCACACTGAGCTGCGTCATCCCTGTGGCCTTTTAAATTTGGAGACAGTCTCGCTAAATGTTAAGGAGCAAGCTAAGATTTCACTTTAAGAAAGAAGAAAAGGAGCCAGGTGTGGTACACAGGTCTATGATCTCAGCATTTGGGAGGCTGAGGCAGGAGGAACACAGTGATTTTGAGAACAGCTTTGTTTACATAGTGAGTTCAAAATCAGTCTGCAATACATACCAAGACCCTGTCTAAAATAAAACCAAACAGAAAAGGTAGAAAAGACCAGAGGGTGTAGCTCAGTGGTAGGGCTTGTGCTTAGCATAAGGAAGGTCCTGGATTCCATGCCTACCACCACACAAGGAAGATCCGAAGTAAGAGCAAAAGTCATTAGTAGAGCACCCCTCGGTTTGCTCTCCAGTGCTGCGAGAAGGAGAAAGAAAGAGAAAGTCAGTCAGTCAGTCAGTCTGTGGGCAAAGACACGAAGAGAAAAGGAAATGGACAGAAGCTGAGGGCAGCCGCATCCTCCTGCAGTCCCACGTGAGGCCGGGATCGCTCGAGCCCAGTGATCTGAGGCCAGCCGGAGTGACTTAAGACACCTCCTCCCAAGAAAAGAACGGTGAGGACAGCAGGTTCAGCTCAGTGGAGAGTGCCTGCCTGGCAGGCCAGGCCCTGTACCCATCCCCAGCACCGCAGAGGAAGCCAAGGCTGATGAGGCTGTTGCCTGGAAACACCGGTCAGATTGGTACCTCCTGGGCAGAGCGATCAGCAAGACGGCTGAGGGCTTACAGCTGAGTGGTAGAGGGCTCCCCCCCACCCTGCATCAGGCCCTGGCTTCAAACCCCAGCACCACAGATAATTAGGAAATAAGATCCTGCCTCCGAGGGCTGGGCGTGGCGGCACTCTGGGAGGTTGAGGCAGGAGGATTATAGATTCTAATCCCAGTCTAGGAAACTCAGCAAGACCCTGTCTCAAAAAATAAAGGCTTGGAGCGGAGCTGAGTGTGCAGGCCCTTGGTTCACTTTCCAGTACCAAAAAGAAAGGTTATCAGTATAGATGCTGTAGATATTAAGAGATGATTATTAGCGCTATAATGACATGCCTGTGGTTCCTGCTCTTAGGAGCTGAGGCAGGAGGATCATGAGTTTTTCAAGGCCATCCTGGACTATGTGGCAAGACTGTTTCAAAAAAACAAAACTAACTGGGCGTAGTGGTGCGCTCCTGTAATCCCAGCATTTGGGAGGCTGAGGCAGGAGAATTGTTTAGCAAGTTCAAGACCAGCCTGGGCCACAAAGTGAGCCCAAGGCCAGCCTGAACTGGGTAGCAAGTCCCTGTCTCAAAAAGACAAAAAAAGTAAAAAATTTCTGAATTACTTTATGATGAAAAATTCAACAATTTTGACAAAATGAACTAATTCCATGGAAAAAATACAATTTATACCTGAGGCTGGACATGGGGCGCGTGTCTGTAATCCCCACACTGGTTGAGGCAGGAGAATCACTGAGTTTGAGGCCAGCCAGAGCTGCATAGCAAAAAGAAACAGAAAGAAAAGATGCCTCGTATGCACCAGGATGCCCAGTCAAGCTAGGTCAGCATGCTGAGGGAGAGTTTGTTTGTTTGTTTGTTTCTTTCTTTCTTTCTTTTCTTTCGAGGCAGGGTCTTATTACGTAGTTCAGGCTGGCCTTAACTTAAGCTCACTATGTAGCCCAGGCTGGCCTGGAACTCGCAGCAGTCCTGCCTCAGCCTCCTGGGTGTCAGGATTACAGATGAGCACCACCATGGCCAGCTCCCATCTATTTTCTGACCACATTTTTTGTACACATACGGTTATCTCTTACCTGTTACTATCTCTTACCTGTGACTAAGCGTTTAAAGCTCTTTGTTTTCTAGATCCTAAAAATAAAGCTATAATCTGAAGTGTTACTTGCAAAACTTTGGGACGAGGTGTAGGAGGAAATAACAGGAAAACGGTGTTTCCTCATCTCCTCGCTTCCACCTCTTCAGCTTTGCATTTCCTGGAAATGTGTGTACAGTGTCCTCATAACAACAGGACTGGGCGGTACTTAAAATTTGTAAACTATGAAAGACCACGCTTGTGAGCTGAGAAGGCCCCATGAGCAGTGTGTGCGGCAACGCCTGGGGGTCATGGTGAGCAGGGGGAACTTCGTGAGCACAGCTGCCTTTCCCTTCTGGCAGATGTGGCCCCATGGTGCTGGACGCTTTAATCAAGATCAAGAATGAGATGGACTCCACCCTGACCTTCCGGAGATCGTGCAGAGAAGGTGAGCTGCGTCCCGGAAGCCCGCACTTAGCTTCTGGCTCTCCGGAGAGGCTGGGCCAGCCCAAAGGGACGGATGCAGACTGCAGACAGGGGGCCCTGGAGGGAGCAGCTCTGCTGGGTGACCTGGCTGCGCGGTGCCCTTCCTTTCCTTAGGTAAATGCGTCTGAAATTTGAACCATGGCACAAGTTCCAGATCCTGAGTTTGCTTCCCTTCGGGGACTTTGTGTCAGCACCGGCACTGCCCTGACTGCCCTTTGCACCTTGGAGACAGCAGGGAGTTGCTGGCCGATGCCTGTGCACGCCGTGCTCATCTCTCAGGCCTTGCTGTCACTACTAACATCAGTATTGGTGATAGTGCAGCGGAATACAGAGGCTTCTCAATGGGAATTAAGTTAAAATTGAGTGGGTTTAAAGAAGGCTCTTCAAGCGTTTCTTTATGTGACCAAAATCACACAGAGCCCTGAAGACTGCCTGGCCCGGAGCCTCAGCTGGGGTTCCTCGATGCTGACAGGGTTCCCCTGCATGTGCAGATAAAGACACTGGCAGGGCAGGGATTCAGCGAGACCCCAAGGCTCCCCCCAGTGCTCAGGGGCTGGAAATCCTTGGCAGAGGACAATACTAGAAGGCAGCTCGGTACCCCAGGGCCCCTGAGCTATTTTCTTCTCCCAGTGGAAGCGCCGGTGGAGATGTCTCCAGAAGCAGGTCCAGGCGGAGGGAACCTTGTTTAAGGTCCTCGGTTAGCGCCTCAGCTTGCTTTGCCTTGCTTTAGCTTTAACTCACGCTTCTCCTCCTTGCAGAGTCCGTGTTCAGCCCGCTCCTGCGGGGTCCAGAGCCAGCGGGCCACTGGCCTTGTAGACCTAGCACAGGAAGAGCTGTCTCTATGGTCGTTGTCCCAGCCTAGCCTTCAGGTGCCCGAGACAGCGTACCTGTTGGAATGACACCCAGCCCTGACAGGAAGAACCGAGATGCCCGGGGTCAGGGCAGTGGCCCTGCGTGGTACAGCCTGCTGGCCACCTCGGCACTTCTTAATTCCTCCCTCGTGTCCCATCCCCAGAACCACCTAGCAAACCCGTCATGGTGTGATGTGACAGGTGGTCTCACTCGGTGACAGGCAGTGACGGCACGGAAATGAGGTGCAAGCAGATCTTAGGTGCTAGATGGGCCTTGTTTTTCTCTTTTTCTTTTCTTTCTTTCTGTCTTTTTTTTTTTTTTTTTTTGGTAGGGGATACGTGGGAGCCTACTGTCAGTATTTTTATCAGGATACACCGATTTCCTAAAGTGCTGGCTGTCACTCCAGCATTTCATACCTATGTCACGTTTTGATCGCGTCCATCTCCCCTTTCCGGACAGCCCTCCCTCCCTTCTCCCTATCTGTTAGAATCTGAGTTCCAATAACAGTGCCTCTAACAAAGCAAGGCCACTTCCCCTCTGAAAACATATGACTCTAGCTTGGAGCTAGCAGTGGTGTGGGAAGTCCCGGGGCCAGCAGTGCCCCAGCTGCTTCTCCCTGCACAGCCACCCTCAGCGTGTGCGGCCTGTCACCCCGCGGCCGCCTCACGATCACAGAGTGCTCTGTAGAGCTCCCGCCATTCATCAGCGTTCTAGGCCAGGAATAGGAGAGGGAGAAACAGCAGAAAGTGTATTACATGTCAGTGCTGCTCCTGGTGACAGAGCAGCCCCTGGCCAGGAGAGAGGCTTTGGGGTGGACGCTGGGCACCGCTGACCGTGCCTGGCCGGGTCTCTCCCGCAGGCATCTGTGGTTCGTGTGCAATGAACATCAATGGAGGCAACACTCTGGCCTGCACCCGCAGGATTGACACCAACCTCGACAAAGTCTCCAAGATCTACCCGCTGCCGCACATGTACGTCATCAAGGACCTTGTGCCCGTGAGTGTCCGCGTCTCCCTGCAGCCGCGCAGGCCCGGGCCCTGGGTGTCGCGCAGTCGGTTCTTCGGCGCAACAGCTGCTTTCCTGCCGAGTGGAAAAATACTTCGATGGGGCCGTCTTGCCCTCCCCTGGCCAGAGGGAGTGTCCCCAGATACTCCAGGGGTGACGGACAGTGTCGGGAAAACCTCCAGGTCCCAGGCCGTGTGGCCGCGTGGGTTTCATTAAGGAGGGTGACTGGCAGAAGCTCCCCCGGCAGCCCGCTGGGGAAGTTTGTTTGGGAATAACAAAGCACAGAATTTTAGAGGTGGAACAGTCCCAGAAATGAAGAATTTGCCCCTAATTGCCATGAAGTCAGGTGGAAAAACCTCCGGGGGAGAACACTTGCTTGATTTTCCCTCCGCTGACTTGGCGTTTCAGGGCCAGCAGGGCAGAGAGGGCCGCGGGACCGCGAAGTCCTCAGGCGGGTGGGGGAGGGACCTGCTAACCATGCTCACCTGGTGACCATTTCTCTTGCACTTCTGGCCGCTGTTCACGCCCAGGAGGGGCCTGCCTTGCACGTGTCGCAGGGCAGGGAAGGAGGCAGAGTGCGTGGGAAGCTGAGAGCCATGGGAGACCCTGACCCTTTCCTTCCTCCTCCTCCTCTTTTTCACCAGGATTTGAACAACTTCTATGCCCAGTACAAATCCATTGAGCCCTATCTGAAGAAGAAGGATGAGTCCCAGGGAGGCAAGCAGCAGTACCTGCAGTCCATAGAAGACCGCGAGAAACTGGTCATTATTCCGCCCATTGTCGTGTCGTGGCTTGAGGGACTCGTGACCGGTGTTTGCCGGGAGTGCGTGTGCTGGGGAGCACCAGGGTGTGTCTGGGACAGGAGCTCCAAGAGCGTCTGGCCCCAGGGCTGGACACCCTCCCTCTCAGGGCTGCTGGGCAGTCAGTCCAGGGCGGCCAGAGTGGAGGGGCAGCCCGTGGCTGCATTGTTGCTTGTCTTTTTCAGAAGAAAGCAGATCTAGGTACCTGGTCTTCAGAGCTGTTCTCTCACAGTAGGGGAAATAGAGCATAGAGGAGGCCATGTGTGCACCTGGGGGCTGATGCCAAGGGCAGAGTGGACACTTCGGGGGAGCGGGAAGAGGGCTGGACGGAGACAGAGCCCAGCGCATGGCTGCAGGGGCCGAGGCTGGTCCTGCTTTGCAGTCCCCAAGGGGGACCATGTGCATGCCTTTGCCATGAGTGACAGACTCAAGGGCAAGAGCCTCACTCTTTTCTGGGTCCACAGGCTCTGGCACGTGGTATTCACCAGTAAATACTAGTTATGTGGACGCATAAGTGAACTCTAGCTCTCAGGTCTTTGGGAATATTTAATCTCTTCCCCATAAAAAGTTGAGAGGCCAGGCATGATGGTGAACACCTATAATCAACTCTCAAGAGGCTGAGGCAAAAAGACGGTTATGAGTTCAAGGCCAGCCTGAACTATACAGTGAGACCCTGTCTCAAAAACAAAGTCACAGCACACCCTGAAAAGTGTCTGGTCTCTCATCACAGAGAAGGTGAGGGCCAATAGTGAGATTTCTGAGAGCTCCTCATCATGGGGACCCAGCTCTCAGAGAACCTGGTGGACCCCATCCAGGTGGGACAGCCCAGCCCAGCCCAGCCCAGCCAATCCTCATGCTGGGAAGCCAGGCTGCTCAGCTCCTGTTGTCTGAGCTGTTCCTGAGGTTTCATCACCAAGAAATGAAGGCCCCTGGGTGTTTTCTAGGTAACAGAAATTCACTCCTTTAAATACACAGATTAAGATGCAAAACTTAGTTTAAAAAATGCAAAGACTAGGGGCTGGGGATTTAGCTCAGCGGCCTAAGCGCCTGTCTTGCAAGCAGGCAGTCGTGAGTTCGATCCCTGGTACCGATAAAAACGAAAAAGACAAAAAAAAAAATGCAAAGACTATTTTTTTCCATGGAACTATTTCTAAATGATATAATTCTACCACCCAAAACTAATGAGCCTGGGAGCAGGGATATAGCTCAGTGGCACAGCACCTGCCTGGCAAGCACAGAGTCCTAAATTCACTTCCCAGTACCAAAAAAAACAATAAGCAGCTATTAATTTTTCTAGTTACCTTTGTTTTTCTTTTATCTGTTTCATCGTATTTTTATCTATGTGGAATCAAAATGCAAATATGCTTTTGTATGCTACCTTTTTTTTTTTTTTTAAACAGAGAGGTTCTCTAAGTTCAGGATGCCCTGAAACTTGGAATGCTCCTGTCTCAGCCTTCTGAGAACTGAAATGACAGGGGCGGCCCATCATGCCCAGCATTCTTCCTCAGCGTTGATTTGCACTATGCTTTCTATTACTTCAGGCCTGCGTCATGCACTCAATCCACCCACGACTGATGAACCATGAATTTGTTCCCAGATTTTTTTTTTTTTTTTTTTTTTTTTTTTTTTGAGACAAGGTCTCGTGCAGTTCAGGCTGGCCTTGAGCTCACTTTGTAGCCCAGGCTGCTCTCGAACTCACCACGATCCTCCTGCCTCAGCCTCCTGAGTGCTGGGATTACAGGCATGAGCCACCACGCCCGGCTGTTCCCAATTTTTTATTACAAATAAGGATTGATGAATCCCTTACTTTTAAAATTCTAACCCAGAAATTCTAATTCACTTCCTCACAGGTTTTTCTGTAAGTCGCTAAGGCCCCTGTCCCTGCGACCCTGTGCTTTGGAAACCAGCAGGGCCGCTTTGCGCTCCTCCCACCCATCTTGTCTGTTACCAGCTGCCACCTCCAATGTCAGTGGCTCCTCTGCAGCCTGCTTTTCATCTGTCATTTCCAAGTGAGAACGCAAGCGTGCTGGCACAGGCAGACTCGTGTCCGTGTGAGGGGCTGAGGGCCAAGTCTGGCCAACTTCGGTTCTTTACCTACAAGCAGAGCTGTCTGGCACTCAGGTGACTGTGCAGCCCACGTGCAGCCAGGCACACAGTAAGGGTGATTGTTCCTTCGGGCGACATTGAGCTTCCTGTTCAAACCCCACAGTGGGAGCTGGCATCGGCCCCAGGGGGCCTTTTGGCTTACGTCCTCTGCATGTGTGGGGGGAAGCTTCATGCCTCTGTTGGCTTGTTTTTAGGTGAGTGAGGAGTTCTTGTTTGTTGAAGGGCAGGTACACTGTACTTGGACCTAAGACCCCTGGGCTCTAGTCCAGCAGGTATTTATGTTTAATTACATGGTCTTTATGACTCCACTCAGGTTCTGCAGACAGCCTCTTGGATCGGCCCAGAACACTCACATGCATTCCCCCATTTCCCCCTGATCCGCAGAGGCCCTGACCGACCTCTCTCCCACAGGACGGGCTGTACGAGTGCATCCTCTGTGCCTGCTGCAGCACCAGCTGCCCCAGCTACTGGTGGAACGCAGACAAGTACCTGGGGCCTGCGGTCCTCATGCAGGTGAGATCGCCGTGCCCGCCCTCACTGCCTCAGGACTTGAAAGTGCTGGCCAGCCAGGAGGACAGTGCTTGTTGGGAGGGAGATGCCGTCCTTCACTGGCTACATTGGGTTCACGCGGCTTTTAGGCTCCATGGCAACATGAGCCTGCGTTGCAATGTGGCAGGGGTCCTCCCCAAAGGGGGGGCATGCACTCTCCAAACAGTGCCTTGCAGACAGGAGCCACGTTCCTGGGCAGCCAGCTGCACCCGCCAAGTGCCCGTACCGGTGACTGGTTGCATCTCCTCACAGGCGAGCACACAGCATCGAGGCCCCGGGGGCACCGCCCAGCTGTGAGGCAGGAATCTCGGGCTGGGGGCAGCTCCGAGAACGTGGCACTGGTTGTCATTGCCTGTCTCTGAATCCACATCCCCCGCTACATTTGTCCCCAGAAAGCGTGTGCTTTTTAGATTTGTGGTCAGTGATTTTCAGACTCTTAAGCAACTCAAAAGATAACTCCAGATTTCTCATTTTCCCATAAAAAGAGAAGTTGCCTGGCCACAAAAGCAGTACTGCTTCCCGGCCACAAGCAGATTGGACAGGCGGACACACTTATCCTGTCTCCCACTGGGGCTCTCCAGGGGTGCTCCTGAGAGTCCGGGCTCGGGGTCCTGGAGTGGCTACACAAATTGAGAGAGGCAGCGAGTGGGGCACCTGTTAGGCCGGTCCACTTAGTCACTGGTTTACTCAGCAGCAGTGCTGGGCAGAGTGCGTGCACAGTGCCTGCCTTTACTAATTACAAGCGGGGTCAGAAGCTCCTGAGCAACATGAAACCATTAGGAGCTGACACCCACCCAGGGCCTAACTAAGCACCGAGGTACCGAGGGAATCGAGGATCAGAGTCTCATGGGATCAGTAATGGAGCCGAGCCGTAAAGAGTTGGGAGCCTCTTGAATGCTGGGACTAGGGTGCAGAGACGAGGAAAGTGGCAGAAGGGCTCCCTCCTGTCACCGTGGCTGCCAGCTCACGGGCCCTGGCTTGCAGGCGTACCGCTGGATGATTGACTCCAGGGACGACTTCACGGAGGAGCGCCTGGCCAAGCTGCAGGACCCGTTCTCGCTGTACCGCTGCCACACCATCATGAACTGCACACAGACCTGCCCCAAGGTAGGCGGGCCAGGCCCCCCGCCTTGGAGATGGAGAGGGCCCAAAGTGCGCCTGCCATCCCGGAGTGGGGGGGGGGGTGCTTGGGGCTAATGTGTCAGGGTCACAGCCCTCGCAGGGGCGGGCTTGACTCAGGACATGGGGGTTTGTGGAGTCCAGAATGCCATGGGTCCCTGTAAGCAGGACCCGGTGATCAGCCAGACTCCCTAGGGACCAGAAGGTGCAAGCCATCAGAGACTACCCGCTGCGGGCAGTAGTGTCTTTCACATCACCAGCTCAGGGTCAGCTGCAAACTGCTCCCTCCACAGCCAGCTGTCCCTTCCCACTCCTGGAGCTTTCCTTGGTCTCAGAGTCCCCATCAGCAGCCTGGGCCTGTTTCTCTGGCCCTCCGCTGCAGCCCTTCTGTCCCGTCACCATCCCAGGTCAGAGGCAGTGGCAGCAGTGCGGCCAGCCCTGGTCCGTGTGGAGCCCTGGGTCCGCCCTGTGAGCAGACACTGCTGGGCAGGGCGTGGCAGGCACAGGCGGGAGGCGAGAGCAGAAGGAAAGGCGGCCGTCCTCCAGTCACAGAGGCAGGCTGGCCTGGGAACTGCCGTGTTCCCAGCAGCCACAGCTCCACCAAGTCTGGGACCAGCGTCCGGGCCTGGACAGCCCGCTGTGGTCACCTTCCAGCCAGGCGCCGCCCTGCGAACTTGGGCAGAAGTGCCCAGCAGGAGCACTGGAGGCTGCACACAGACGGGGCTGTGGCCTTCCTGCCTTTCTGTGTCACACTCACCTGTACTGTCCACCTCCTGCCTTCCGGAGCTGCTTCCATCTTAGTGTCAGAGTCCTGGTGAAGCTGCTCCCTCCCTCCTTCCTTCCCTCCCTCCCTCCTTCCCTCCTTCCTTCCCTCCTTCCCTCTTCACTGTTTTTTCCTTGCTTTCCACACTCAGATGTCAGGGCTAGAACTGTCCCTCCCCGGCTTACCTGAGTCCTGAGCCCTCTTTGCCACACACTTGCCAGCCTCCCTCTGACTCCTGCCAAGCTGGCGTCCTCTGGGTGTGGCAACACACCTGAGCCCCGAGCACTGGCGCTGTCTGGGCTGTTCCTGCCGGCACAGGCAGCTGAAGGAGGTGGCCTCCTCCTGAGTGTCTGGCCAGCCCGGGCCTCGGCTGGGGCTGCCTGGCCCAGGGTCTCCCGGGCCGGCCCTTTGCCCCAGGACGGGTGTGCCCGCCTCACTGCAGGGACGTGCAGCAGCCCGGCCCCTCTCCTGCACCACCAGTGACGATGGTTCCTTGCTCGTTTCTCAGGGTCTGAATCCAGGGAAAGCCATTGCTGAAATCAAGAAGATGATGGCGACCTACAAGGAGAAGAGAGCTGCAGCTTAATGTGGCAGCGACCACACCGGTGACTGGCTCAGAGACGAATGTCATTTATGCCCAGTTGGGATCCCTTGCAAGGTCTTGATTTTCCATGAACATTGTGTGTACAATAAACATTTCAAGAAATCAGAGTTATCCTGCTTTACTAACGGAAAGCCAGCCTGTCCCTCTTCCCCAGGCTGCGCCCTGATCCTTGGCAAGCAGGCTGTGCCCAGGTCTGGGCACTGGGTGAGCGCAAGCTCCTCCCCCTGGAGCTTCACACTCTGCACATGTGTGAACCGGGACTCAAGCCAGCAGCGGGAGGGTGAGAGCACATAGGCCGCTGTCCATGCCGCTGTCCCCAGTCAGGACAGGGCGTGCCCCTGAATCCCCGTCCATCCCAGATGACGTCAGCTTGGTCCCCTCGGCAGGAATCCGAAGCGCCAGCATGAGCAGGACACTCAGGAAGGAGCAGCTGGACACCACGTAGAAAGTAAGCTGGGAGCCCTTCCAGACCCCCAAGTCCCATTCCCTGTCAGCCTTCTGTCCTTCTGATGTTAGTACAAATACATGGCAGATACCATGCAAACTCCCTTCAGAAATAAGAGTACGGCCGGGCATGGGTTAACCCCAGCACCTGGGGGGCTGAGGCAGGAAGATCGCCACAAGTTTGAGGCCAGCCTGGGCTACAGAGTTCAAGATCAGCCTGAACTACCTAACCCTGTTTCCAAGAAAAAGAAAATGTTTTCAAAGAAAAGAGAATACCGTATATCATCTGTTAGCTTTCTATTTTTCCTCACCACATAAGGGACTCATATGCTAATAAAGACCTGGGGTGGGTGTGTGTGGTAAAATTACATTTCCACCTTAGTCTTTGTAACTACTGCTTAACTTGTCCAGCATTTTGCCCCCGCCCCCTGTGCTGAGAAGTGAATTCAGAGCCTTCATACTGGGTTATATCCCCAGAACTTTTGAAAACTATCCTTTTTCAAGTGAGAGAGAGACAGACAGACAGACAGCCAGACAGGGAGGGTCTCACTGTGCAGTTTAGGTTGTCCTTGGACTCGACTGTGTAGCCCAGGCTGGCCTTGAGCCTGCTGAGTGCTTGGGTTACAAGTGTGCTCCAGCACACCAGGCTTCACAGATTTTCTGAGGCAGAGTCTCCCTGGATCGCCCGAGCTGGGTTTGAGCTTGGCTGTCCTCCTGCCTCAGCCTCCCAGAGCTACAAGGACTCTTGAGTGTGTACCACCAAGCCTGCCTGGAAGTGCTCTAGCTTAACCATTCTCCTGTGTTCAAACCAAAAATAAAGGAGACCCCTGCTTTTGCCAACTCTGCACTGCAGGGTTTCATCGTCTGGAAGTTCCCTCTGCTTTAATGCTCAAAGTTACTTTCCTGTTGTTTCCTGGTCCTTGCCTTACATGAAACGAAACTGAAACAGCTAACCCTTTCTGCTTTCTACAGAGTCCGCCCCTCTGCTTGGCTCACAGGAACACTGACTTAATTTATAGAAGTCTTGCCTTATTCTAGAATTTTTTTTAAAAAAGTCAATTAAAAGCCAGGCACAGCAGTGCATGCCTGTGATCCCAGCACTCTGGGAGTTGGGAAGGAGAATTACAAATCCAAACCCAACCTGAGCAATGTATTCACTTAGTGAAACCGTGTCTCAAAACACAAAGGATTGGGGGTGTAGCTCAGTATGAAGGCCCTGCGTTCAATCCCCAGAACCAAAATTTTAATAAATATGTAGAAGCCAATAAAATCATTAAAGCCAGGCATGGTGGCTAATACCTGTAATTGTCCAGCACTTGGGAGGTTGAGGCAGGATTGCCAGCAGTTCAAAACCAGCCTAGGGTACATAGTGAAACAGAAAGGATCATTGAAAGAGCTCACCTTTGTCAGCCTTGCGTGGTGACGCAAACCTGTAATCCCAGCACTCTGGGAGGCTGAGGCAGGAGAATCATTGCAAATTCGAGACCAGCCTATAAAGTGAGGGCTACAGAGTGAGCCCAAGACCAGCCTGAACCGCATACTGAGACCCTGTCTCAAAAAGACAGGAAAATGAAGGAAAAAACTCACCTTTGTCATTGGCGAGAATAGAGAGACAAGGAGGAGTCTGTTAGGCAGGAAAGACAGGGTCCCAAATTGGAATCTGCCGAGTCACAACTCTCTAGGACCTGGCAGAAATATCTGTCAGTGTCCCCAGGCACCTGGGGCCTCCAGAACATGATGGGCAGGGCACATGGCCTGCATAGACACTGCCTGCATCTGACCCTGAACTGTATATAGGCTCCTGCAGTATAGAGATTGCATTCTTGAGCGCCCTTCTGAGCCCCTAAAGGCTCTTAGACAAAGCTGGGCGTGGTGGCTCACCCCTGTAATCCCAGCACTCTTGGGAGGCTGAGGCAGGAGGATCCTTGCGAGTTCAAGACCAGCCTGGGCTACAAAGTGAGCTGAAGGCCAGCCTGAACTGCATGGTGAAACCCTGTCTCAAAAAAGACAAAAAAAAAAAGACCCCTTAGACAAAGAGCCCTCAAGGGTGGCCTGCTCAGAGCCCCGCCTTGGCCAGTGAGAGCTTTACTTCCTTGCATATCTTTTACTTTGGTTGACACCATGCTGGTGTTCTGATAACAATTTGACACCTACTAATGTACACTCAGATGTCACATGACAATTCCATCCTTTTCTTGTAGTGATGGGAATTGAACCCAAGGCTTTAATTCTGAGCTGCATCCCAGCCCTTTGTTTGGTACCAGAGATTGAACTCAGGACTACGTACTTGCCAGGCAAGTGCTTATGCCACTGAGCTAAATCTTTTGGCCTGTTTCTATTTTTTTTATTTTGAGACAGGGGTACTGGGATATAGCTCAGTGGCACGATGCCTGCCTGGCAAGCACAAGGTTGAGAGTTCAATTCCTAGTACACACACATAGTCCCAGAACTATTTCGAGACAGGGCCTCATTACATTGCCAAGGCTGGACTCAAACTTTCAATCCTCCTGCCTCAGCCTCCCAGCATGCTGGGATTACAGGGGCACCACCACACACTGTTCACTGTTCTGTTCTTGAGAATAACCTCAGGTCCAGGAATTTAGCTCAGCAGCACAGCACCTGCCTGGCAAGTACAAGGACATGAGTTCCATTCCCCGTACCAAAAAGAAATCACCAAGCACGGTGGTGCACAGCTGTAATCCCATCAGTCAGCAGGCTGAGGCAGAAACACTACCATAAATTTGAAGCCAGCATGGGCTACACAGTGTGCTTGGTGCGGGTCTATAACCTTGGCACTCTGGGAAGCTGAGGCAGGAGGCTTGGAAGTGGAAGCACAGCCTGGGCAAGTTAGCAACTTGGAGACCATGTCTCAAAGTAAAAATACCCAGATAATTCCTTGCATTATGACTTGCCTGTTCAACAGCTCTTTGCACTTAACAGCTAAGCCATGCTGTTCAGATTTACCACATGCCACACAGAAATACGAGACAGGACCCCGCTGCAGCGTGGCTGTGGAGTGGCTGCCTGCCGACTGCAGCACTGTAACTGCTGCTGACGGGGCAGTACAGGACTGACTTACCTCCTGTTACACATTACATGTGAGGGTTATGCAAGAAAGCAAAGTCATCAAGTTGCAGTTTCCTTTGAACATTTCTTCGTTCTGGATTTTGCAATGTACATACTACATGCAATTCCTCGTTTAGCCATCGGTTCACTTAAGGACTTCATCACAGGAGCAGAACTCCATCCTTAAATGAGGCATGTCTCCGTAAAAAAAAAACAAAAACAACCTTGTAAGGAGTCTGGGGATGTAGCCCAGTGCAGAGGCCCTGGATTCAGTCCCCATCCCAAAAAAGGAGGAAGCAGCTGTTCAGGCATTAGTCTCCAGCATTGTAGGCACTGAGGTCCTGATGTCACAGAGCAACGAGATTTATTTCCTGTCATCTAGGAGTCAGTGTCATGAATTAAAAAGAAACTCTGAAGCCAGGTGAGGTGCCACATACCTACAACCCCAGCTGGGAGGCTGAGGTAGGAGGATCATGAATTTGACACCAAACTCATAGCAAGACCCTGTCTCAAAAAACAAAAGGAACGCTGGGATACCAGCCAGCTGGTTGGTGCCATTCAGTGGCAGACACGTGCTTAGCGCACACAAGGTCCCGGGTTCGATCCCCAGTACCATTCAAGTTAAAAGAAAGAGATTCTTGATTCACAGTGAGACCCGCAGCAGGCAGACAGGAGAGAGTGTAGAGTTAGGAAGTGAGGGGTGAAAATACCCCAGGCAGCCCCGTGGAAAGGCGCCGGGTCCCTCAGCTCAGAGGGAGCCGAGGCCACATTCCCCGGATTCCCAGCTAATGTGAATTTGCTGCTCATCTCCAGATCTGTGGGAGACAGATTTTCCCATACATAGCTTCCTGGCTGTTAGACGCAGAGGAAGCAGCCCTTCAGGTCAGCCGCAGCAGGTGCCTGGTGGGCCACCCCCCCCCCCACCCCATCTGAATTCGAGCTAAACTGTAACTTTGTCCACTGGTAGTTTTGAAAGGGAAAAACTGTGCAAGAGAAATGGTTCTGTATAAAACTTTGTCGTTGGAAGCTGCTCAGCTTTGTAACTGCTGCATGGCTCTGTAATTACTTTCTTGACCCCTGTGACCACGAGAGCGGGACGGAACGTACAGAATGCCTGCTTGCACTACTGTGAGTGCTTCATAACTGATGACCATTAATCCACCCTTGTAGCCCACGAGCTCACTCTGCTGGCTAATGGGAACTGCTGGGCTGTTCCCTCTCACCTTTGTAGCTCCTTTGTACCTGTGCAGCACGTAAACGGCCCTGGGGCACCAGAGATCAGGCCTGATATTCTGGGAGTGATCCTGTCAAGATCACTGCCTCCAAATCCTGGGTGTCTCTGCAGTGTTTCTGCTTGCAGTTGAAGTTTTAATTTGCTTCTGTTTAATCTTTCATCAAATTGAAAGCAAATGTTCTATTTCAGCACCATGAAAACTTTGGTTTGGTTTTTGTTTTTTGAGACAAGGTCTTTTTCTTTTTTCTGTTTTTTTTTTTTTTTTTTTTTTTTTTTTAAGCAAGGTTTTCCTGTATAGTTTGACTGGCCTTGAACTCACTGGCTAGTCCAGGCTGACCTCAGCAATCCTCTTGCCTCAGCCTCCCAGATGCTGGGATTGCAGGCCTGTGCCCCCATGCCTGGCCTCATGTGGAGTTTGTTAGTATACGTTTGTGACACATAATAATTACATTCATCTTGGGGAATTGATACATATACACATCACATCCAGATCATTTTTATTTCCCCCTTTTCTAATAAAAGGCACACCCAAGCAGAGAACAGAGGGTTTTGTCCTTTATCCATCCTCCTTGTATGTGCACAGTACGAGTCTACAAAGCTATCACAGATGGCTTTGGGAAGGCAGACAGGGCCGGGCCCCGGAGAGGTGACTGCAGGAGACAACGGTGGCTGGAGGCAGATTTACTGAAGGTCAGGCTTCAAGAAAAAAAGAACTCCTTGTATACCTCCCCAGGGATGACTGATAGTCTAAGTAGGCATCAGTTACCTTGGGGCGGAGGATCGGCCTTCTTAACCAGCCCCTTCCAGGAAAGTCCTCTTCTGTCCCCTGTGCCCTTGCTATGTGACTCCTCGCGACTGCTTCCCAGTTAGACTCCCATTTAATCAATGATACTCAAGCAACTAGACTTGCTGTAACCTTGTTGGTTCACAGTAATTTGTCCCATCTCATCCTCACCTTGTGATTTCCCATTGGATCAATATTACCTCCGTGACTGTAACTGAAATCTTATTGGTTGATCGGAATTCTGTCCCACTTTAAACCGCCCTCACCCCCAGCTTTGCTCAATAAACACCCTTGAGAAGTGAGATCGGTGGGCAACCCACTTTTGGGCCCCTCCTGTCCCTCACAGACAGAAGTTTGCTCTCAGTAAAGTCTTCTTTCTCTTTTGTAACCCCCATTGTTCTTAGAATTCGTTCCTCAATTTTAGAGAACACAAACTCGGCATTCTGGACATCTAGCAGGTTGGGAGTCAGATTTCCCCTGTATCAGTGTCACTAGGTCTTCAGCCAAATTGCTGACCCTAGATCAAGGATTTAGCTTAGTGGTACAGCGTCTGCCTAGCAAGCACGAGGTCCTGAGTTCAATGCCCTGCACCAAAAAAAAAAAAAAAAATGTGCCTCTCTCTTACTACCTGTAAATGGGAATTCAAAGCATTCACTTTTCAAAACTGCAGTTGAAATCTAAATAAGAATAAATATAAACCAGTGTGGTAGCACACGCTTGTGATCCTAGCATTTAAGAGGCTGAAGCAGGAGGATTACCCAAGAGTTCAAGGCCAGTTTGGGCTCCATAAGGAGTTCAAAACAGGCCTGAACTACACAGAGAGACCCTGTCTCTGTGTAGTAAGAAAAAGAATAAATGTAAGAAAAAAATGTAAGAAAATGTAAGAAAAAAAAAAAAAAGAATAAATGTAAAAGGCCAGACACTGTGGTGGTCACTTGTAATCACAAGTTCAAGGCCAGCCTGGTTACCTTAGCAAGCTTCTGTCTCAAAATTTTAAAAACGGATGGGATATAGCTCACTGCTTCTTGGGTTCAATCTCCAGCATCGCCAATAAAAGTTACAAATTTTTTTTAAAAACCTTATTGTGCACAAAGTCGTATATTTTTTTTTTTTTTTTTGTACCAGGGATCGAACTCATGACCTTCCACTTGCCAGGCAGGTGCTTGTGCTGCGGAGCTAAATCCCTGGGCCCCCTTCTTTTTTAATTAATAGCTGTTTACAGTACATAATGATGACATGTACATGACATTGGTTCTTTTTGCATCCCTTTCCCCAGTTGCTTTTTTTTTTGAGACAGGGTCTCACTGTGCAGTTTAAACTGGCCTTGAACTCACTTTGTAACCCAGGCTGACCACAAACTCACAGCAATCCTCCTGCCTCAGCCTCCCGAATGCTGGGATTACAGGTGTGTGCCATCATACCTGCCTTTCTTCCCCAGTTTTGTATGGCTGGCAGTTCAGAGTCTGGGTTTTCTACACAAGGCTAAGAATGTCCGTTTCTCCTCTCAATGCCTAGGCACTCCCATCGCCCAAATTCTCCTCTAGCCCTCCCCTTCCTTGCTCAGGGTAACTGTGGGACAGCTGCTGAAACGCCACTTCCCCGTGTGTCTGGACAGCCATAATCTTACCACGGGGTTTGTTAACAGAGGGGAAAAATCCCTTATTGCAAAAAACCAGTGAAACCCGAGCAGTGGAGGTACTAGGGGATGCCACGGTGTAACCCGGCCCATACAGTGACTCCTTGCACTCCGCCCTGGCGTCCCATGTCCTCCACGTGGTCCTTGGAGGGCCACAGCCCTGGGAGGAAACTGTTCCCTGGCCACGCATGACTAGAAACTGCTGCCTGGTTATCTGGGAGGGAAGCCTGGCCCTCAGACCACAAGGACAACCACACAGCGAGGCCACTTCCCAGAGAAAACCCCAGCAAACAGCAGGGCTGCCTCGTTCTCTGTGGCTTATAAGGAAGCGTCCTCTGGCCTCCTGCCCCACGGTGGAGGTAGGTCAAGCTGCAAGGGTGGCCCTTTCCCACCCTTCTTTTGTTCACCTTGGGCTGCTTCCCATAGACAGCAGGCTCTGCAGGGACAGGGCCACATCTGTGTGGCTCACGCCCAGCATCCCGGCTCCTAGAACAGTGCTGGTCAAGGGGCTTTTATTTTTATTTATTTTTTATTAGTAGTAGTATTTCTGCTTCTTTTTGAGACAGGGTCTCACTCTGTAGTACAAACTGGCCTTGAACTCACTATGTAGCCCTTGAACTAGCAGCAATCTTCCTGTCTCAGCCTCCTGAATGCTGGGATTACAGGTGTGCACCACCACACCCTACTTGGGTTGTTTTTGTTTTTGTTTTTTTGGTTTTCTTTTTTTCCTTTTTCTGTACTATTCTGTTAAGTCCAAGTCCTTTAAAGTTTTTATTTTGAGACAGGGTCTTGCTAAATCACTAAGTTGCCCAGGCTGGGCTCACTCTTGTGAGCTGTGATTACAGGCCTGTGACACTGCACTCAGCTTTCTCGGCTCCTTTGAGGGGTTTCTGTGCCCCCACTTATGGAAGTGTGTCTTTGGGTCACACCCTGAGGCTTCTAGGCTTGGTTATGCTGCCACCATCTCCCTGGCATTTTCAAGGCCACCTCCAAGTGCCTGTCCCTGCATCCCAGCGCCCCTGTAGTGTGTGTCAGCCCGTGAGTCTCTGGGCAGGTGTGTCTTCCTTCTCCCACATTTACCCAGAGCCCCGGCACTGTCCCAAGGACTTTACATCCGTGCTCTCCAGGGGGCCCACAGTAAGCAGGCGGTGCTACTGTCACTGTCATCCTGCAGGTTAGGAATGGAAGCCAGCGAAGTTCAGTAACTCACCCACAGTCTCACACCCTACAAGAAATGGAGTTGCATAGCTTTTTAAAAGTATGTGCTTAAAAAAAAAAGTATGTGCTTATGATACATAATAATTACATAATTTTGGAATTGGTACATACACATAATGAACCTTAATCATTTTTGCTTTTCCATGCCCATCACCCCTCCTCGATACACACTTTTTTTTTTTTTAAAGAAAGGGTCACTGTCCACATATTGCCCAAGCTGGGCTTGAACTCGCAATCCTCCTTCCTCTGCCTCCCAGAGTGCTGAGACTGCAGGCGTGCGCACCACGTTGGACTTATCACCCATAGTCCCTGACCACTGTGGATGCCGCCGGGCTCTGTGGGCGAACTCGGTGCACTCTCACCTGTCTCCCAGCCCATCGCCTCTGCCTTCGGTGGTCCCGGGATGGACTACAAATCCCGGCAGCCCCTGCGCGGCTGGGAGGACGTATCCGTATCGGCGGGTGGGCGGGGCAAGGGGCCATAAGGCGACTGCAGTAGCTGGACCGCGCCGGCCGAGCAGGTGCCACCCCCGCTCCCGTTCCTCGGGATCCCGCCGCCCGGACCGCGCCCGCAAGAGCCTCGCGCACTCCGGGCCGGCGATGAGCGCGCGGAGCCGCTATGAGCTCAGGTGAGTCCATGCGGGGTCCCAGGAGGACCGGCGACAGCCCCAGCGCAGGGCCGCGAGCCGGGGCCGAGCACCCTGGGCTTCCTCTCCCTTACGCAGCCCCTTTCTTGCTCCCGCACTGGGCCGCCGGGTCCGAGGATCCCTACAGCCGGGAACCTTCCCACTGCACTGAATCAGGCCCGGGCGGAGTGACGAATGTCCGGCTCGGGAGCCTTGCGCCATCGTGAGCCTCCGGGCAGTGACCCTGTCAGCCGAATGAATGGGGCGGTTGGCCAAGTCTCAGGAGTGCCCCGGTGATACTGGCTTTGCACTTGGTTCCTGCCTCCGGTCCGAGGAAGCCTGTCAGCCTAGATCCTAGAGCCACACCCTCCAGGATCTCCATCGCAGGCCTGGTGTCACAGGTCCCCCTTCCAGAATTCAGTACAAATCCTCCCTGCTGCTTAGGAGCCCTATGGCCCTCCTCCCCAGAGATGTGCAGACCCCTGCGTGGCTGTCTCCCTCCACTTCTCCCCCGGAAGCCCCGCAGCCCAGGGTGCAGCCAGGGGGAGGGGGAGGAGAAGGGCCGGTGTGCAGCTCAGCGGCCGAGCATCCCCAGCCCTGCAAAAAACGAAAATCAGAAAAAAATAAAGCAGCCCCTGGACTCCAGGCCAAGATCATTTAGACTGACACGAACACACCCACCGCACACCCACCGCGTTGTGGTGGAGGATGGACAGACGCTCCTTGCACTGGGGAGCCGCTGTGAAATGGAGCAGCTGCCCTGGACCGCTGCCAGGTCGCCGGCAGGAAGCAGGGGCTTCTGCAGGAAGTAGAAGGCCCCCAGATGGCTTTGACTCCAGCCCTCTGTGCAGCAGTGCTGCTGTCATTGTCCCAGCGCTGTGAGCTCACACCAGTTTCCTGTCCAGTCTTTTTATTTTTGGTACCAGGAATCAGCTAAGACCAGGCTCTTGCCAGGCAAGTGCGGTGCCACTGAGCTGTATCCCTTGGTCCTCCTGTCCGGTCTTGGCCACACATAGCTGTGGCTTTTTTGTTTGGGTTTTTTTTGTTTTATTTTGTTTGTCTTTTTGAGACAAGGTCTCACTGTGCAGTTCAGGCTGCCTTGAGCCCTGACTAAACAATTCTCTTGCCTCAGTCTCCCAAGTGCTGGAATTACAGGAGTGCACCATCACGCCTGGCTTTTACCTGTGTGATTTTTGTGCATGATACTCAACCTCTCTGAGCCTCCTTTTTTTCTTTTTTCTTTTTCTTTTTTGCAGTAGTAGGGATCAAGTCTGCAGCCTGGGTATGCTGGGCAAGCTCTGCCTTAGAGCCCTGGGCCTCATTTCAAATGGGAATCGTAGGGCTTCCTGTGGCTGGCTGTGAGGATGAAGGGAGGATGTGTTCATTCAGATCCACTCATTCCCAGCTGCTCGCCCTTGCAAGCTTTTTCTTGTTTTTCTTTCTTTTTGAGATATAACTCTTGCTTTGTATCCTTGGCAGGCTTTAAACTCACTATGTAGACTAGATTGCCCTCTAACTCTTAGTGATCCTCCTGCCTCAACCTCCCCAGTACTTGGATTACAGGCGTCTGCCACCACACCCGCTTCCCCTAGCAAATTATATGAGCTTGGGTGAGGGCCCTTGTAGCTGTGTTCTCAGTTTTCCAGAGAGTTAAAAGGCCCCTGGCACTGCTCGCAGTCTCTGTGCTACCCAGCCTGTGCGGGCCTGCTCTAGGCTGGCCTGAGCTGGTGAGAACCCGCCCACCTCCCTGGGGCCACCCTGCGGGGCTGAGCCAGGAGTAAACAGGCGAAGCGGTGATTTGACAGGTGCCCAGGCTTGACTCTTGCAAAGACTCTGTAGAGGTTGCCCCAGATGCGGTTTCCTCCTCCTGCTTGCAGGTTCCTCCGCCCTCCCCTTGCCAAGGTTGTGTGGGAGTTTAGGAGTTCCCAGGGAAGGAACACTGCTTAGATCCTGGGGTCTACGACCAGGGCTCTTTAGGAAGCCCTGCACACCTCTGCACGGGACCCTCGGGCCTGGCATTCCTGGCTTCATGCCCTGCTGTGTCTGTGAGAGATACGCATTCATTGGTTCATTCAGCACACAGCTGGCACTGTGAGCAGGGCCAGTCACACTATGGTGCCAGCCCGATGAGACAGGGTGGGGAGAGAGGACCTGGGAAAGGCTGGGTGTTTTTCAGCTTCAAGACCAGTTCTTGGCTGTCACTGGAGAAGAAGGGACCTCCCCACCCTCTAGCTTGTTGTGTTCTGGGATCAGATGAGATCAGAAAGGTGCTGGCTTCTCTCCCATCCCTGCGCCCGCAGGAGGCGCTCAGCTGCAGCTTCTCATGGTGACAGACAGAAAGGGAGGAGAGCCTGGGAAAATGGGTCAGAGCAGAGGCCACGCCCTCCCGGGGAGGGTGCCGCCCTCCACCCCCATCCTCCAGGCCAAGGCCTCAAGGACTTGAAACACCCAGCTGCTGGGGCTGCTGGGACTTCCCCATCTCAGTGTGCTTGCAAGATCTGTGATCAGCTTCCTAGAGATGAGAACTGCAGGCCCAGGGAGGGGAAGGCGCCTGCCTTGCCTTGAAGAGAGCCAGGGGCACACTTAGTGATGAGGACGCTGATGATGTGTGGCTGTGGGGGCAGCTTTGCCTCTCTGTGCCTCAGTTTCCCAGGCTGTAACACAGGAAGGAAAGTCATCCCTGATTCATGGGGCTGTGGGGAGAAGAATGAATGATGATTGCATGGAAAGCTCCTGGAATGGGACCTGCCTGAAGCCCCTGGGGACTGGAGAACCGCTTTCCCTGTCCTTCATAAAAATGTCCCAAACACAGTCCTGGAAGGTGAGAACTCCCTTAGGGTAGGTACCCTTCTTGGGCTATAAAGGGCCCTGGCAAAAATCTCATGGAGACACTTGTGCCACCTTAAAAGATTCAAGAGCCAGGCATGGTGGCACACGCCTGTAATCCCAGCACTGGGGAGGCTGAGGCAGGAGGGCTACATAGTGAGGCCCTGTCTCAAAAACAAAAACAATGCCCCCCCCCCCCCCGCAAAAAAAAAACAACCAAGGAAGGCCTGTGGCTTGCTGGTGACCGAAGACCTGTACACCTGGCCTTGCCAAACAAGGAGAATTGTCCTGGATGCCACTCCTCTGCTTCATCCCAGCTCCCACCACAGGCTCTGAGCCAGGAAGCAGAGGAAGCAGGGAGCTGATGTTCTTTGTCCAGCCAACCATGCCATTGCTGTCCGTGTGTATCTGTCTGTCTGTCTGCCCTGAAACCAGCCTCTTCCTGGAGCTGGGATGGCTGCTGTTTGTTTTCTGAGCAGCCAGTAACCAAGAGCAGGTCTGGCCCCTGGCACATTCCACTCATTGGCTTCCAGGTTATCAGTTGAAGGAGGTGTGCAGAGTCCCAGTCCTGGCTCCGACCTCCCAGCTGCAAAACTGACCTGGGAGCCTGTGTTCCCTGAGCCTTGGTCCCCTGCAGTGCTGCAGGGAGGGTCCCAGAGCAGCTCGTCCCTGGGAAGGACTTGGCAGAGTCACGCGCTCTTGCTGTCCGCATGGTCAGAGCGATTATCAGCAGACAGGAGAGGCCAGGGTGAGCCGGGGCCCGGGCCGAGTCTCAGCCTTGGTTTGGCAAAGTCAGCCTCAAGCTAGTACAGGAAATCTCAGTCCCACTCAGTGCCCAGGCAGGTAAGGGTGGGGACACTGGTCAGGGCCCTGAGACTCAGCACACGAGAAGCCGGTGAGGCGCCCGCCAAAGGAATGCAGCCAGACATGGCCGTCTTGAAGGTCCTGACCCAGAACCTGCTGTGCCCTCACCCAGGCTTCCTGGGAAGATGAGCGCTGGAGGGCCTGTGGCTGGAGTCGTTACCCAGAGGAGCAGAGCAGAAAGAACAAAGAAGCTGGTGCCCTCTTGGCATCCAGGCTGTTGTACCAGTCTAGGCCACCAACACCTAAACGCAAAACAAAGATCAACAACAAAAACCCAGCGTGGAGTCAGCTGCCTGGGCTCGAGTCCTCGAGCTGCCTGCCGTATGCTTCCTGTGAGCCTCTGACCCTCTGTAAATGGCCATAACTGTGTCATCCGACCATATGCAAAGGGTTGGGAGCAGAGCCCCACAGCAATGAGGCGTGTTAACTCGTGATTTCTTTGTGTGTGGGGGGAACACTGAAGGACACCTCCAGTCCCTGCAGTTGGGCACACAGGAAGCTGTTTGGGGACCGAGCAAATGAGGGATCTCAATGTTGTGACTGTAGCGGTTGCTTGGGACTCTCTGGCCTTGGCTGGGAACTGTCCAAAGGCCACAGGTTAAGGGGTGAAGATAGTAGGGAGCCCAGAAAATCAGAGCCTGCTCTGCATCTGCTCCATTTCACCACAGTAATTGTTGGGGGCCTGCCTAGCACCTGGCCAGTTCCAAGGAATCCAGCCACAGGATGCACTGGGCCCCTGCACACCCCAAGGGTCCTGCAGGTGACCCAGGATGTCCTGGCGCGGAGCAGGAAGCCCCACCCTCTCAGTGCCCAGAACACTCATGGGCTTGCCCTGCTGGGACCACAGCCCTAAGACTGTCCTTAGCAGCCTCAGTTTGCCTATCTGCAAAAATGGCTTCACAGGCCTGGCTGTCGTCTCTCTGGACTTTTCAGTGTTTCCGCCCCAGACCTGAGCTGAATGGGACCTCGCAGGCTGTGCCCCAGAGATGGGCAGCCGCATGAGGAAGTATCTTGCTGCGTAAGGACTAACAGTGACCAGATAACAGGCCCAGCAAGGCCAGAGCTGCTGCATCCACCAGCCCCAGTCACACTACCTTTCCAAAAGGCAGACAACCAGCTGCACACATGGTGGCTCACACCTGCAAACCCAGCACTCTGGGAGGCTGAGGCAGGAGGGTCACAAATCCAAGCTTAGACTCCAGACAGATGACGGCCAGCCCTGTAAAGCAAGACCTTGTCTCAAAAAAAAAAAAAAAAAAAGCTGGGGATGTAGCTCAGCGCAGAATTCCTGGGTTCAGTCTCAAGTAAGGGGGGCCTAAAAAGAAAGAATAGGAAATTCCCCCCAAACGCTGTTTCTCCTTTCTGCCCACAGACAGCAGCCCTCTCATGGGCAGCCCGCCCGCCAGCTATGGGACCCTGATGACAGGGACGTCAATCGGTCCCCACAGCTCCTCAGCTTCATCCGTGGTACGTGAGGAGCCCCGGGCACCCTGGCCGCCCCTCCCGCCCTGGCCCCAGCCCACCGGCCTCTCGCCTGTGTCTGCAGAGGCTCAGTGGCTACTGTGGCAGTCCCTGGAGGGCCATCGGCTATCACGCCGTGGTCTGGGTGCTGGCTGGGATCCCCTTGCTGCTGTTCCGCTGGAAGCCCTTGTGGGGGGTGCGGCTGCGGTTGCGGCCCTGCAGCCTGGCCCGCGCCGAAACTCTCGTCATCGAAACAAGAGACAAAGAGGTGAGAGGCGGCCTGGCCTGGGGCTGGAGAAGGGAAACGGAGGCCAGGGGGCATGCATGGGATGCCAGGGTGGCAGCCTGCCGCTGGCTTCCTGCGGGAAAATTTTCACGGGGCTCACCCTGCCTCTCCAGCAGGGGCTACCTATGAGGGAGGGGACTGGGACGGGAGGGTCCCTTCTAGGACTAAGGCCAGACATCTGTGTCCCAGGATAGCTCGTGGCAGCTCTTCACCGTCCAGGTGCAGACTGAGGCCATCGGTGAGGGCAGGTAAGGCAGCCCATTGTCCCATCCAGGAGTCTGAGCTGGCGCCTCCGTCCTGTTGGGGCAGGGGGCTCCGTGGGGACGAGGAGCTGCAGGGTAACCCTCAGCTTCCTCCCCAGCCTGGAGCTGCCCCTGCAGGCAGAGGATGGCCGCAGCCAGGTGGCCGTGGGGGCAGTGCCCCGGTCCGTGTGGAAGGATACAGCCCAGCTCCGCAGGAGGGAAGAGGCAGTAAGTGGACAGCCACCTCCTAAACAAGTCCTTGTCCCTCCCTGGGCCCAGCTGCACACTGTGCCAGAGGAGGGTTGGTTCCCCTGCCCCCACCCACCCAAGACCCTCTCCGAGGACCCAAGGCCACCTCCTACTGGCCTCCACTCTTCCCCCAGAAGCGGGTGGCGCGGTATTACCTGTTCCAGGGCAGGCGCTACATCTGGATCGAGACCCAGCAAGCCTTCCTTCAAGTCAGGTAGGTAGGCGCTAGGGACAGCGCCACCCACGTCTCCTCCCACAGCGGGCTGGCTTGGGTAGAGCGGACAGTGGCCTGGTCTTCCCTCGGTGTGCCGTGAAACCTGAGTGGGTCACGGAGCCTCTCCAGGCCCAGTCCTTAGGCTGAAAATCAGGGGTGAAGATAATTCACGCTTCCTGGAGCTCTTTTGAGGTAGAACATGAGAATTTATGCAAAGCTGGATGTAGCTGACCGCAGGTGGCTACATAGCTGTGACCAGCATACGTAGCCTGGCAGCCCTTGCGCTACCTGCAGAATCCGACAGTGACCCCAGGCAGCACTGGGGAGTGCGGCAGGAGAGGGGTGTCGGGCCAGTGCCACCGTGAGCCCCAGGAATGCAGTCCCCAGAGGGTCTCCTCAAATCAGCAGAGCGCTGACCTCCACCTCTGGGAGACCTGCCTCCCCCAGGGAGAAAGGGGCGGGACACTTACCCATCAGTTCCAGCTCCCCTGGGGGATGCGGCTCTTGCAGACTGTGTGTGTTCACCTGCCAGAAAGGGCCCCACCGGGCGGGGATGGCACCATCGCCCCCTGCTGCCCAGTGAGGAGAACAGCAAGTCCAATGTCTCAGTGCCCTGTTTTGAAGATGAAAAACTGGCCCAGAGAGGTTAAGTGACTTGCATAAGTGTCAGTAATGCTCCTGTTGCTAAACACTGCTCATGTCACCCTTATAATTATCGTCATGTCATTGGTCTCCCTTGGCAAGACGGTTGGAGAGAAACAGGAAGAAAATAGAAAGTTGAGCCCCGAGTTTCTGGCAGGAAGTGCTTTCTCAAGGGAAGGCAGAGTGGCAGAAGTGGGTGGGGGGCTGGAGCCTGGGGCAGAACTCAAACCCACAACACCCGTGTCCCCCCTCCCGCTGCCAGCCTGCTGGACCATGGCCACACCTGTGACGACATCCACGCCTCCCGCTCCGGCCTCAGCCTCCCAGACCAAACTGTGAGGTGGGTGCTGGCCCGGGTCCCCGAGAGCTAAGGACCCCCACTTCCCACAGTGCCTTTCCTGGGCCTCAGTTTCCCCAGCCTCACAGCCCTAGGAGAGACCAGCTGTCACGGTACCCTTCCATCTGACAGCTCGGCCACCAACCCCCTTTCAGGAAGACGATTTTCGGGCCCAACGTGATCAGCATACCGGTCAAGTCCTACCCGCAGCTCTTGGTGGATGAGGTAGGGGCACCCCTGCGCCTTGCACTTGCTCTGGCGTGGATTTGCTGTGTGTGCTTGACTTTGGCTTCCTTCCTCTGGGACACTTCACAGTGACAGGTCAGACAGCTGTCCCCTTCTCCAAGGCAGGTAGTAGAAAGTTGTCTCAGTCAGGTCGGCCTGTGAGAGACCAGAGCAGGGCCTTGGAGGATCCACGGAAGCCTTGGGCCAGAGGCAGGCAGAACCATGCAGCCTGATACCTGCACAGTTTGACATACTAGAGCCTTCCCGGACCTAGAGCCAGGGTCCTGGGTGTAGGGACCAGGCCCATACTCTACACATGCAGAGCCCAAGAGTCAGGACGGGGACAGGACAAAGGCAGAGTCATACAGGAACAGAGGGAAGCCAGTGACCTGGACACATACAGAGTAAAACAGTGTTACAGCAGACACCGTGAAAGGCAGGAGCCTGCGAATCTGGCTGCTATCTCCCACAGGCTGCCTCAGGAGCTGGATGGTTTTAGGCCAGTGCCTCAGCTTTCTCATCTGTAAAATGGAGCTGAGGGCACCCATCTGGTAGAACTGTCATCAGGATTGTATGACACGTAAGGCGCTTAGTGCAGGGGCTCAGCAAACACCCATGTCCTCTTTAGCCTGGAGAAGAAGCAGGCTGCTTCAGGGGCATCCAGTTGGGCACCAGTGGGAGCCAGGGAGAGGCCTGATGGCCATCCTCCGGCAACCCCTGTGCCCTCTACTCCGGTGGCCCGTGCCAGGTTTGCCCAGGGTCCTCATGCTGCCTCCCGCCCCTCGCAGGCACTGAACCCCTACTACGGCTTCCAGGCCTTCAGCATCGGGCTGTGGCTGGCCGATCACTACTACTGGTACGCCCTGTGCATCTTCCTCATCTCCGCCGTCTCCATCTGCCTGGCCATGTACAAGACCAGAAAGGTGAGCAGGCAAGGCCAGCAGAGACGGGCAGGACCGTCCCCCAGGGGCTGCCACCCTCCTACCCTCTCATCCCCCTGCCCACAGCAAAGCAAGACCCTGCGGGACATGGTCAAGCTGTCCATGCGAGTGTGTGTGCGCCGGCCTGGGCGAGGTGAGGGGCCGAGGCTGGGAGGGGACCAGGGAGGTGGCCGGGGAGGAGGCCACACTGAATCCTCCCACCCTCAGGGGAGGAATGGGTCGACTCCAGTGAGCTGGTGCCCGGAGACTGCCTGGTGCTGCCCCCGGAGGGTGGGCCAATGCCCTGTGACGCTGCCCTGGTGGCTGGCGAGTGCATGGTCAATGAGAGCTGTCTCACAGGTGAGTCCAGCCCCCGCCCAGCCTCTATCCTCTCCCGGCCCCCAGCCCCTCTGCCTTGCGTCAGAAGTTTTAGCTTGAGCCTTTTCTTTTTTTTTTTTTTTTGTCTTTTTGAGGCATAGGGTCTCATTATGCAGTTCCAGAGTTTTCTTTCTTTTTCCTTTTGAATAACAGTCCTGGCGTCGGCACTTGTTAACCCCACACCCTTGGACTGCATCGCTTAACTATCTGTGACTCATTTTCTCATTCTATAAAATGGGCTCTCAGTCTCTCCCGGATAGGCTGTGTGGAGTGCCCAGAGCATGCAGGGCACAGAGGAAGCCCCAGCATCTGTGAATTGTCCATGGCAGCCTTCCTGACCTAAAGACTGCAGACCCTTGGGAGACTGGTGCCCAGCGTGGTGGGGCATCAAACACCTTTCTCTGTGCTCGTGTGCACCAAAGTGAATACACTTCCGGTCTGACACGTGGGCTCATGCTCCTGCACTGTGCTTCTGAGCAGCACGCATCCTGGGCCCTTGCCCTCACAGTGCCCCCTCGAGATGCCTAAGAAGCCGGGGTGCTAATAGATAGTGACCCCCCTTTTTTTTTTTTTTTTTTTTTGCAAAGGATCACTGCTCTGCCAGGCAGCCTGTCCAGGGCTGCAGAGAGGTTAGGTCTCATCCTGTGTAAATATTTTGGCTGGTTTGACTATAAAAGCAGTATGAGCTTGTGCTGGCATAATTATGATACACTTCACACCATGTCCCTCCCAGGGGAGAGCGTCCCGGTGCTGAAGACAGCCCTCCCGGAGGGGCCCAGCCCGTACTGCCCAGAGACTCATCGGCGGCACACGCTCTTCTGCGGGACCCTCGTCCTGCAGGCCAAGGCCTACGGTGGACCCCACGTCTTGGCAGTGGTGACCCAGACAGGTGCATATGAGGAGGCTGAGAAGAATGCTGGGGAGGTATCACAGGGCAGGGCGGGCCCCGGAGCCCTCCACCCCACACCCACCCTGCCACTGCCCTCCTGAGGGACCTGGGCAAGTCCCACACTATGTGGACCTCTGTGTCCTCCTGTTAATAACAAGAGTTGCTCCAGGCTGGGACCAAGCATTTTGATGTCCACAGAATCCAGCAGGGACTATAAATGCCCCGGGCATGCAGTAAAGAGTCCACTCTCAATCCAGATTGTAAGGGAAAGGGTCCTTTTTTTTTTTTTTTTTTTTTGGTCTTTTTGAGACAGGGTCTCACTGTGCAATTCAGGCTGGTCTTGAGCTCACTTTGTAGACTAGGATGGTCTCGAACTTGCAACGATCTTCCTGCCTCAGCCTCCTGAGTGCTGGGATTACAGGCATGAGCCACCACATCCGGCTAAGGGCCCTATTTTTAGATTCTGTCCACTGATGCCATGTTTGAAACCCCACAAAGGCTGGGCAAGGCCTGTGGGCCACCATCTGACCCCAAATTGGGTGACAGCTGACAGTGTGAGCATTGTGTCTTAGCACCCCAGGGTGCAGTTGGGGTGCATGAAATGGGGAACCCCGTCCTCACACGGCTTTCCTTGCCTCGGTTTCCCTATCTCCTCCCAGGGTTCTGTACGGCTAAAGGGGGCCTGGTCAGCTCCATCCTGCATCCCCGGCCCATCAACTTCAAGTTCTATAAGCACAGCATGAAGTTCGTGGCTGCCCTCTCTGTCCTGGGTGAGTGGGCCCCTGTACCCCGCTCTGCCGTCGGCTCGCAGCCTGGGACTAAAGTCCCATTCACCCCTCGCTGTCTCCCCAGCTCTGCTTGGCACGGTCTATAGCATCTTCGTTCTCCACCGCAACCGGGTGAGCTGCGGGGACTGGGATCGGATTGGGGGGACCATAAGCCAGCTGTGTCAGCCCGGGCTGCCCCAGAGCTCACGGTGCTTCCTGCCAGGTGCCGGTGAATGAGATCATAATCCGGGCCCTGGACCTGGTGACGGTGGTGGTGCCACCCGCCCTGCCGGCCGCCATGACAGTGTGCACGCTCTACGCCCAGGGCCGCCTGCGCGCGCAGGGCATCTTCTGCATCCACCCGCTGCGCATCAACCTGGGTGGCAAGCTGCGGCTGGTGTGCTTCGACAAGGTGGGGGCTGCTGGCGGGCGGGCTGGGGACAGGGACGAGCACCATCCACCTCTGGGTGCAGGCAGCACCATCCTTGGGGGCTGCACCCCACCTTCACCTGCTCAGGGTCCAGCAGGTGAAACGCCCGGACTCATATTTTTATTTGTTCAAGATTTTGTGGGGCCCCGCTCTACACCTGGGGTTCAGCAGTGACCGCAGATATCCCCACCAGCCACCACGCGCTCCCTGCCTCCCCTCTGCAGGCTGTCGCCCACTATCACACCTGTCAGCTCTGTGCCCTCCCAGTGCCTCCCTAGCTGGCTATTTCTGGTGTCTCCTTTGCTTGATGTGGGTGGCTTCCCAGGAGACAGTGGCTTCTCAGGAGATAGGGCCATGTCCCCATGCATGTTCCCATGTGAACAGTACACCAGGCAGCGAGCCCGCAGGAGGAGAGGTGGCACTGCGGTCAGTGGTAATGGCAGGGACACAAACTCCGAGAGAACAGCTGGGGCTCCTGTGGGCAGGTCCTGCAGCAGCACCTTGGTGACCTGGTCCACAGTGAACGGTGGGGTGGCAGGGTGAGAGAGGTGGCAGTGCCATGGGTGCCAGAGGCTTTACACTGGACAGGACAGGGAGCACTAATTGAGGAGGGACAAGGTCAGAGTCACAAAGCTCCAGGCTGGTGCAGAGCCAGGTGGGCATCGGGGCAGGGGGGATCCCCTAGGAAGGGCGAGCCCTGGCTTATCCATCCTTCAGTGAGTAGATGGTGTGCTGCCCATGGACAGGGACCCAAAGCAGGGGCCACCTGCCCCAGGCTGGGAAGTGAAGAAAGATGACTTCCTAGAGGAACTCCAGGCACAGAAACCAAGCAGGGGTGATCCCAGCAGTAGGAACTGAATGTGCAAAGGTCCTCAGGCAAGAAAGAACCTCTTCCTGGCTCCTGCTCTGGTTCCAGGGCCCCCAAGGTAACCACCCAGAGGAACCTGTCTTTGTCCCTCCACAGACTGGCACCCTCACTGAGGACGGCTTGGATGTGATGGGGGTTGTGCCCGTTAAGGGGCAGGTGTTCCTCCCGCTGGTGCCAGAGCCCCGCTGTCTGCCCATGGGGCCCCTGCTCCGAGCCCTGGCCACCTGTCACGCTCTCAGCCGGCTCCAGGACACCGCAGTGGGTGACCCCATGGACCTCAAGATGGTGGAGTCTACTGGCTGGGTGAGAGGGCCACCCCATCTGCTGTATAAGAAACCACCTCGGCATCATAACTCAAGGCTCCTGCTGCCTCCTTCCCTGGACCGAGACCCCCAGCTGCCAACCTTCTCTGCCTGCCCTCCAGGTCCTGGAAGAGGAGTCAGCCACCGACGCAGCACTTGGAACCCAGGTCTTGGCAGTGATGAGACCCCCACCGTGGGAGTCCCAGACAGGAGCGGTGGTGAGCCATGGGGTTCCTGCAGGGGGCGGGCCCAGGGGTGGCCTGCACAGCCAGCCCTCAGCTCCTCCCACCCTGCAGGAACCCCAGGTGCCACTCAGCGTCCTGGGCCGCTTCCCCTTCTCCTCCACCCTACAGCGCATGAGTGTAGTGGTGGCATGGCCGGGGGCCGCCCAGCCTGAGACCTATGTCAAGGGCTCCCCGGAGCTGGTGGCCAGCCTGTGCAGCCCTGACACAGGTGAGTGTGCCGTCGGGCACAGTGTGTGGGTGTGGGGGGGTCCTGCCTCTGCCTGCACCACCCGGTGACACTGCGTCTCACCATAGTGCCCAGCGACTTTGCACAGACCCTGCAGAGCTACACAGCTGCTGGCTACCGAGTGGTGGCCCTGGCCTGCAAGCCGCTGTCCATCGCCCCCAACCTGGAGGCCACACAGCAGCTGTCAAGGTGGGCCTGCCCGCTGTCTGGGAAAGGGGGGCCATGATCACTGTGTGACCTCTGACCCAAGGCTGCCCACCCCTCAGGGACACCGTGGAGCAGGACTTGAGGTTTCTGGGGCTGCTGGTCCTGCGGAACCTGCTGAAGCCACAGACAGCACCGGTGATCCAGGCTCTGCGGAGGACGAGCATCCGCACCGTCATGGTGACAGGTGCCATGGCCTGCAGGGCCCGAATCAGGAGGGCGGGATCTGCCCTGTCCTGGGCAGAAGGAAGGGGACCCTCAGCAGCCCCTCCTGGGTTATCATGAATCTCTACAGTAGTACAACTTGCAGATGTCCTTGTCACCCACAGCTGACTGATGGGGAAACAGTCAGCCGAGTGGAGTGACTTCCTCAGAGGCCAGGCATGGGTCAGTTCACTCAGGCTGGGGGACTGTTCTGGTTCTGGTTTCTGCTCCTGACAAATGGGGGTAATGATGTGACAGTCTCATGGCGCAAGATCCTAGCTGGGGAGAGAGCGGGAGCTCAAAGCACTGCTCCTGGTGCCCCAACCCCTCACACGCATGTGTGCATACACTGTCCACACACGTGTGTGCACACACACTGACCAGCAAAGTCATACGGCACTGCATGGTATCTGTGCAACTCCAGCCCAGTGTCCTTCCTCCTGGGACCTTTGATGCCTTCTTTGAGCCCCTAGGAAACGGAGGTCCTGACATGAGGCTCATTTGCCTAAGGTCACTCAGCTGCTGGTGACAGACAGGCTTCCTCGGCTTTCCCTTCTGCAAGGAGGAGTGCCTGGGTGGCTCTGACCTTGACTCTGTCCTGCTCCCCTAGGGGACAACTTGCAGACAGCAGTCACTGTGGCCCGGGGCTGCGGCATGGTGGGCCCCCAGGAGCGTCTGGTCATCGTCCATGCCACCCACCCTGAGCAGGGGCGCCCTGCCTCGCTTGAGTTCCTGCCCACAGAATACCCTGCCACTGTGAACGGGACAAAGGTGAGGCCAGCCCAGAGTTCCAGCTGCATCCCAGCAGTGACGCGACCCTGTGTCACCTGATCTGGACCCTAGCTCTGCAGCGTGGGCAGGGGGAGCTAAGCGGAGCTTCCTGGGCCCTCAGGATCCTGCCCAGTCAGAGAGCTACACGGTGGAGCCAGACCGCCGATCCAGCCACCTGGCCCTCAGCGGCTACACCTTTGGTGTCCTTATGAAGCACTTCCCCAAGCTGCTGCCCAAGGTAGGACTGCCATGAGCCTGGCCGTCCACCCACCCACCTCCCCGGCTCAGCCCTGGCCTCAGCCCTGCCCCTCTCTGTGCCCCCAGGTCCTGGTGCAGGCCACTGTCTTCGCCCGCATGGCTCCTGAGCAGAAGACAGAGCTTGTGTGCGAGCTGCAGAGGCTTCAGTGAGTGCTGGGGCATGGGGGACCCAGGGGTTCCTGCAGGGAGCTATCGCCCTTAAGACTCACCCAGAGGAGCTGGGGATATAGCTCAGTGGCACAGTACCTGCCTGCAAGCACAGAGTCATGGGTTCAATCCCTGGTACCATTAAAAAAACTCAACGCAGAGTTGGGAGTGGTGGCACACATTGTAATCCCACCACCCTGGGAGGCAGAGACAGGATGATTGCAAATTCAAGCCCAGCTTGGACAATTTGTCAGTTTAGCAAAACCCGTCTCTAAATAAAACATAAGACCAAGTATGGTGGCAGATGCCTGCAATGCCAGCACTCAGGAGGCTGAGGCAGGAAGCTTGCAAGCTTGTGCCCAGTCTGGGCAATGTATAGCTTAATTTGTTAATGTAGTGAAACCCTGATCCAAAAAGAAAAATGACAAAAACTGGAGATGTAGCTTAGTACAAAGGCTCTGGGTTTCATCCCCAGTATTAAAAAAAACTCCCAAGCATGCTGTCCTGGATCTGTCTGTCTGTGTCCTACCAAAAATAATTACGCCAATTTCCTGGGCACCATGTGGCACCTGGGCACTGGGGGTCTGCCCTCAGCAGCAGGCCTGGCGTGGGCTGGAGTCATTTCACAGCCACCCCCACTACCCCCAGGTACTGCGTGGCCATGTGTGGGGATGGTGCCAATGACTGCGGAGCCCTGAAGGCCGCCGACGTGGGCATCTCGCTGTCCCAGGCTGAGGCCTCAGTGGTTTCGCCCTTCACCTCAAGCATGGCCAGTATCGAGTGTGTGCCCATGGTCATCAGGTAAGGTGGACAGGGCTTGGGCTGGGGCATGCAGAGCCCAGGAGGGAGCCTAACCTGCCGCACTCCCTAGGGAAGGCCGCTGCTCACTCGACACGTCATTCAGCGTGTTCAAGTACATGGCCCTCTACAGCCTGACCCAGTTCATCTCAGTGCTGATCCTCTACACGGTGAGGTCCGCAGGGCAGGCGCACCTCGGTACGGCCAGAAGCCTGGCGGCCGGGACGTGGGCTGTAACATGGCTGTGGGGCTCCTGGGATGAAAGCGCTGGGCCCAGCCCAGTGCACAGTAGGTCTTCAAAGACAGCAGCAGCTGATGTGCTGACAGCTCGTCCCTAATTCCAGCAGCTCCCCGTATGGAGAGGAGACTGAGGCAGAGCCCAGGCTGGAGTGGGGTAGAGCTAAGTGCCCATTTCTCTACCCATTCCCCCAACCACTCTTGCTCTGATCCTGATCCTCCCCTGCTCAGGAGGGGCGTCCTTCTGCTCCCCGACTGTGAGCCCTGCTCCCCGCCACAATGCAGGTGATCCACAGTGCACACCTTGTACTTGGGTGCACTTGCGTCTCTCTCCTTGTATGTTAAAGTTCAGAGCTTGCTGGGAGCAGAACCACCTGTCCCCAGGAGCTGAGGGGCTGCAGGGCACAGCCTTACAGGTGGAGAAACCACCTCTTGGAGTTAGGACCCTAGGGTCACACCATGGGACAGAAAAGGGGACTCCCTGATAGCAGGACATACTTGCATCAAACTAGGGGGTCCCCAACGAGCACTGCCCCCATCAGACTGCCAGCTGGAAGGACGCTTCTCCCATCCCGCTGCTCAGGGACAGAAGTGGGGTTCCCCTGTCCAACTGGCCAGGAGCAGCCCTGGGGGTGGGCTAGTGCCAGGTCTCATCTTCTCTTCTGTCCTTCTTCCCCTGCCACAGATCAACACCAACTTGGGTGACCTGCAGTTTCTGGCCATCGACCTGGTCATCACCACCACAGTGGCTGTGCTCATGAGCCGCACGGGGCCAGCGCTGGCACTGGGGCGTGCGCGGCCACCCGGGGCCCTGCTCAGTGTGCCTGTGCTAAGCAGCCTGCTGCTGCAGGTGGCCCTGGTGGCTGGTGTGCAGCTGGGGGGCTACTTCCTGGCTGTGGCCCAGCCTTGGTGAGTTGAGCTTAGCAGTCTCCCTCTAGCTCTGCCCCTGTGCCCTCTGTATACACCCCTTCCCTGACCCTGGCCCTGGATCCCCAGGTTCGTGCCTCTGAATAAGACCATACCGGCGCCCGACAATTTACCCAACTATGAGAACACAGTGATCTTCTCCCTGTCCGGCTTCCAGTACCTCATCCTGGCCGCAGCTGTGTCCAAGGGGGCACCGTTCCGCCGGCCACTCTACACCAACGGTGCTGCTGCGGGGAGGAATGGGGGTGCTGGGCCAAGGTGGGAGGATGGGGCTCTGGAGAGGGGCGTGTCCTGGGTGTGGCTCCCTGGCTGATCAACTCCCCCGCCCTCAGTGCCCTTCCTGGTGGCCCTCGTGCTCTTGGGCTCTGTCCTGGTGGGCCTCATCCTGGTCCCCGGCCTCCTGCAGGGGCCGCTAGGGCTGAGAAACATCACAGACACCTGCTTCAAGCTGCTGCTGCTGGGCCTGGTCACCTGCAACTTTGTGGGGGCCTTCATGCTGGAGGTGGGGTGCAGACCACGGCAGGGAGGGCAGGAGGGATGGCAGGATCTGGGGCTCAGCCCCAGCTGCCCCTCTGCTCTCTGCTCCCCATCCAGAGCATGCTGGATCAGTGTCTGCCAGCCTGCCTGCGGCAGCTCCGGCCCAAACGGGCCTCCAAGAAGCGCTTCAAGCAGCTGGAGCAGGAGCTGGCTGAGCAGCCCTGGCCGCCGCTGCCTGCTGCTGGCGCCGTGAGGTAGCACAGGCTTTGGGCACCCTGGACACTGGACCTCCCTGCCTCTGAGCCACCAACAGGACCGTCTCTTAAGGGCCCACCGCTGTCGCCTCCTACATCCCTGAGGTTGGCTATTGTCACGCTCTGCCCCGAGACCGCCTGGCCCAGCCTCCTGCACCCCACTCCGGAGAAGTGCTGACTACTGTCCCCCCATTTAGGTCACACCATGTAGAAAAGGCAGCCACCAACTCAGAGCTGCTGTCAACGTAGCCAATAAAGTCAAGATATTTTCCTTGCTTGGCTGTGCTTTTCTAGGTGCCACACACCCCCAGTGCCCAGCTGGCACCCCCAGGTGGGAAAGTCCCCAGTTTTCAGATCACATTGGAGCACTGCCCTCCCTGGGCTTCCTTTCCTCCTCTCAAATGTCAGGTGGTATTTCCTTGTGCACTGCTTCATGTGATACACACACTGTCACCCGCCGTACAGCTGCAGGTGCTGCCCCTATCTGACACGGAAAGTGAGGTTGGAGGTCTCGGTCTGACCACTGTTCAGAGGTGGGGCAGGTTTCTGGACCCTACTTGAGTTCTCATCACACCCCGCCCCCCCTTGCCAGGGACCAAGTGTAATGGGCTCACTTCAGGCTGGTACCCGCTATGTGCCAGGCCTGTGAGGCAGTGCCCATCTTGTCCGGTGCCACCCCCAGCTTTTACCCCCACATCCCACGATGTGTCAGTGGCTTGTGTCCTCCCTCAGATACAACCCAGGCTCCGAGCCCAGATCTCCCAGCCAGAGCCATGTGCACCATCCCCGGGGAGGGCTGGGTGTGCCTGACCTCATCCTACCCGTGGGCCGCACGCCAGGCCCCTCTGCTCTGGGGATGCAACTTGGCCCAGCTGCCCATCTGGGCAGGAAAGACGGGAAAGAGGCCGCTTCCTGCCTTTCAGAGGCCCTGCCAGTCTCATTACTGGAACCCCTGGTGCAGCCCCCGGCCAAGAGGAGCTGGGAAAGGTTGAGTCAGGCTGGCATGAAGAGAGGTGGCGTGGCATGGGAAAGGTAATACGATACACGTATCCACTGGCCTTCTGCGCTGGGTACCAAATTGCCAGCCAGTGACACTGGGGTGGCAGAGACGCTGTTTAAGGAGAGGCTGGCAGAGGCTGGTAGAGAGGCCTGAGTCAAAGTGCTCCTCCATCCCTGGCCCACCCCTTATGCATCCCTTGGACTGGCACGTGCCAGGCTCCGGTTAATGCAGAACAGATAAACATGTTCGGTGTGGGCAGCTTTTAACCTTGCAGGAGAGCCTGGCAGGAAGGTACAAGTGCCACACCTATGGCACCGCCCAAACTGCTACTACTGTAGTTGGGTCCACAGGGCAAGGGAGTGAATAGGAACAGGGTCGGGACATTGGAGGTGGCATTTTGGGGTCTCAGTTTCCCCTCTTTGTCAGTGCCACCCAGAGGATGCCATTTCCACAGGGAGGTTTCTAAGGCCTCTGATTCACAAAAGTCCCTACTATATTGCAGTTAACACCAGGGTCAAGAGGAGGTACTCATCCTTGGCACAGTGACACATGTCTGTAATCTTAACACTCAAAAGGCTGAGGCAGGAGGTTTGCTGTGAGTTTGAGGCTAACTTGGGCTACAAAATAAGTTCAAGGCCAGCCTGAGCCATGTAATAATGAATCCCTGCCTCAAAAAAGACCCAAAAAAAGTAGATATTCGTTCAGGCATTCAGCACTGGGGAGCCAATGATGTACAGGACACATTTACTTCCTAATAGGACACCAAGCCCAGGGCAGGGAGCAGGTGTAATGGGACATCAGATAGCCAGGGTCTGAGTGGGGGAATCCAGAGTTCCTCCAGCCTGCAGCCTTCATGAGACCTGGATTCTGGTGCCACACAAGGCTCTTGCCTGCCTCAAATCAGGAGCCCTGTGACCTCCAGGACAGCCACCCACCAGTCTCCCCTGGGAGAACAGCCTGGGCAGCTCATTCATTCAGCCCTCCCCAAATGCCATTCTGAGCTTGGCATCGTGTCTAATGAGCAAAACTCCAAGATGAGCAAAAACAGACCTCGTCTCTGCCTTCATGGGGCCGACGCTTCATAATGCAGAGGGATGAGACCCAAATGGTCACAGAGCCAAGGCAATAGAAAGTAATGCTCGAGCGGGGGTCACAGGGAGGGAGGGCAGACTCATCTGGGGCAGGAAGATGATCTGTGACCCGGGGGAGAGGAGACCACCATCATGGGAGGTAAAGGGAGGCAAAGCCCCTGTGGCAGGAAGGGGCCCACTGTCATGGCTCTAAGAGGAGCCAGAGCCGAGCGTGGGAAGAGTGGAGTCTTTGGAAGTTCAGCCTCGGTCCCAGGTGCCACGGAACAGACAAGATTAAAGAGGGCAGGGCCCCCATTGGAAGGCCCCAGTGGGAGGTGACCAGCGTCCAGGCCAGAGGTGCTGGTACACATGGGAGCCCTGGACAGACCTACAAAGGGCAGTTATAGAAAGATCTGGGCAGGGTGCTGGGCGGGTTGCTGAGGCTGAGAACAAGGTAAGCAGGGCGGTTGCCACCCCAGCCACCAGGACAGCTCAGAGGGCAAGTCTGGTGGGGGACCTAGGAGCTCATCAGCTTGGACTTGGATGCTTGCTGGGTCTGATGCACTTTGGAGACATCGTAGACCCCGTCATAGACCCTGTGGGTCTGGGTTGAGCTGCGCGAGAAACCCGGGTTAGGGAAGCCCGAGAGGGCCTGGGCCTGGGCCTCTGCCGTGCAGTTGGAAGGCTGGAGATCTAGAAGGCTCCTTTGCCTAGAGAGGAGGAGGAATCCACTGACCCAAGGTGTCCCGGGACCTAGAGGAAGAGCCACGCTGTCTCTGCAGCCCAGTGGCCTTAGGGGAATGTGCTTGGGCGCTTGGGTCCCCCTCGGTGAAATGTGATAACATACTCACCAGGGGCGTGGCGAGGAGAAAACTGAGCATCGGGCCACCGACCACTTACTGGACCAGACATGGTGACCGATCCCGGGCGCCCCCGCCCCCGGTACCACTCCAAAGGGCTCGCGTTAGGACCCAGCGGCCGCGGGCTGGAGGCGGCGCCGGCCCGTCCCGTCGTGCGGGAGGGGGGCGCGGTGCGGGCGGGGGCTGGGGGCGCACTCGGGGCGCAGCACGGCGCGGACCGGGCAGGTAGGCGCGGCGGGCAGCGGGCCTCGAGCTGGGGGCGCCCATGGCCTCCATCCTGCACTGGCTGCCGGAGACCCCGAGCCTGGGGCCACTGAGCCAACGCTAAGCGGGGCTCCTGGAAAGTTTGGGGTAGCTTTGGAGAGGACATGAGTGGAGAATTGTGGGGAGCCGGAGCTTGGGAGAGCCGGGGTTGGGGTGTCGGGACCCGGCAAGCGGCTTTTGTTCTCCGAGGAAGTTGGAATGCGGTGGGTGGGGTGGGGGCTCCGTGGAGCGGTGGGGACAGAGACGCAGAGACAAAGAGAGACCAGAGACGGCCAGCGCGCGCCCCTCCGCGAGCCCCGGGCTGATTGCTGCCAGCTGTGCGCGTCTGAGCCCGCCTGGGGGCCCCTAGTCCTCCAGGACGCCCCGGGGTAGGCGGGTCGTGGAAGGGGCCAGAGCGGGGTGGGAAGGCCTCTTGGGCAGAAGGTCTTCTTGGCCTTCTCTGGTGTCCCCCAAGTCCAAATCCAGGAAGGCTTGGAGATGTCACTCTCCTTCATGGCCCACCCTACCCCGTGAGCCCCTTTGCCCAATAAACCTGGGCCTGGATGCTGGTCCTGGGGCAGGAGGACTCCAGGCAGGGGTTTGAGAGTCACCCCTAGCCCCCCGAGACCTTCTCATACCCCAACTCAGGGACGTTTGAGGGCTAGCTGCCTGGTTGCCACCAGCTGGGTTGGGGAGACGGCAGTCTCCTACCTCGAGGAGGACAAGGAGTCTCAGAATGGGGACATAGGAACCTGGCAAGCCTGGTGTCCCCGCCTCTGGCCCCCCATGCCATCTCCCGCAGGGAGGCGTTAGAGAAGCCTTGGAGTCAGGAGAAACTGGGGACCCTGTTTTTTGCCCCTTTCTTTGCCCTCTTCCCAGATTGCCAAGGGAGGCATTTGGTTAGCTTGGGGTGTTCAGTGATCTGGAATCTTCCTGTGTTGGGCAGGGAGGGGCCCCTGGATAGATGACTCCATGGACTCTGACCTCACAGCCGTCCCCACAGTAGGCCAACAGCCTCCAGGTCACCCTCCACTGGGCTGGGACCAGATGTAGGGATCTGCAGTCTCCGCCAAGGCCACTGTGTAGCCGACATAAGTGGCTGGTCTTGACCAGGAGCTCTTGAACTCCTGGGGAAGCCGAAGGACAATGCCCTTTCCCAAAATATTACACAACCCTTGTCACAGCATGTCAGGCCGGGCAGCACCCCCTGGCTGAGTGACATCGCTCATGCCCCACGCCCTTCCTGCGGCTACAGACAGATGGACCTCGGTCTCGTGAGTCTGGGATGAAGACGGCCAGGTCTTGGGAGGCCTTGAGTCTGGCAAGAGAGGCGTCTGCTGGGGGCTGGGAGCCCTGCCCAGGCCTGGCTGCTTTGGGGGCCCCTGAGGCCCGCGTGCATGTGGTTTCCTGCTGAGCAACATACTCAGGGCCCAGGGACTAATTGGGAACAGGTGGCCGGCCTGGCAGACACCCCGAGTGTAGGCTGTAATGAGGGTGAGCAGAGCTGCTGTCCCAAGGGTGCGCCTAGGGTCAAGGGTCCCAGTCCTGTGTTAGGTACCAGAGATGGCTAAGAACAGTCACAACTGGGGTTGAAGAGACATTAGAAATGTCCCCTTCCTGAGCAAGCAAGGTGGGACTTGGTCATTTGTCAAGATCACCCCGGGCCAGCCGAGTTGGAAATCCCTGCCCTCATGTCCTGGACACCCAAGCAGGACGATGGATGTCCCTCTGAAGTAGCCAAAGTGGCACCCCAGGCCCCAGCCCTCCAGGTGCCTGGTTGAATTAGGGGACAGAGGTAGGCTCTGCAGGCCTGGAGTGGGGGCTTAGGACACAGCCCTCCTGCTCCTCTGCCCCCAGCTGTCCTCTGACTCCACCCGGACTCCTCCTCTGCGGCCATGAGAGCTGCCTACCTCTTCCTGCTGCTCCTGCCTGGTAAGTGGGTGGGAGGCGATGTCCCTTGTCTGGGCCGGGAGTGGGGTTTGTAGAGCAGGGCCCAAAGTGAGTCTTGGTCATGTCTTGTGGCCAATACCCGCTTTTGCAGCACCCAGGCCCTCCTGCGTCCCTGGACCACAGACTGGGCTGGCCCCTCCAGGGTCTGGAGGCCTCTCCTGGGCCCCTCCCCAAGCCTTCTGCAGCAGCAGGCAGCAGGGCTCTGGAGGGTGGGCACACGCCAGGCACCGGGAATCCATGTTTACTGCCCCTCTGGGACCCAGAGGGCAAGTGTAGGGGCCACTGAAGCAGGGAGTCCAGAGGCTTGGGTTCTAAACACGGGGTCCTATGTACCAGTACAGTTTTTCCTCCCTGTTCCTGCGGATTGACCCGAGACCTTTGCACTGAGCTACAAGACCAGCCTTTTTTATTTTTTAGATAAGTTCTGGCTGAGTTGCCTGGGATGGGCTCAAACTTGCTTTCCTCCAGCCTCAGCCTCCGAGTGCTGGGGTTACAGATGTGTACCAGTGTGCCCTGCTACCCTATGTGACTGTGACCTTAAGGGGATCCTCATTGTGTGAAGTAGTGATCGTGGGGATCACAAAGGCCCTCAGATCATACATATACTCATTCCATTCATTCATTCATTCATTCAACAGATATGTCAATTTCCTATTTTAAGACCCTGGACATACAATAACGAACTAGGCAGATATAAATCCCTGCCCTCACCATGCTGTCAAACAGGGGGAAAGGCAAATATTAAGCAAGTAGATGTGATAAATACAGATGGTAGAGTGCTATGATGCAAACAATCTTGGCAGAGCTGGAATTTTAGGTGAAATTTAGGAGGCCAGGGAGATTCGTGTGTAAAAGTCTTGAGGCAGGCAGGAGCATGTGGAGTGCTAGGCCACAAGGGGAGAGTGGCGGGTAAGGTCAGGGAGGGACCTGGGACCAGGATACATACCGGCCTTTGGATCATGTTGAGCCTGAGTCTGGTTATATGAGTCCATGTTTTTGGGGGGGGGATTGGGGATTGAACTCATGACCTCGTACTTGCCAGGCAGGCGCTTATACTGGAGCCCCTGTTTGGTTTTTTGTTTTTTTTTTTTTTTCATGGGTACCAGGGATCGAACTCACGACCATGTGCTTGCAAAACAGGTGCTTATGCCACTGAGCGAAATCCCCAGCCCCATGGAACCCCTGTTTTTATAGCCTGCCTGTGAACTCCATCTCCCCTCCCCAGAAGCACTGTGGAGCCCCCAATGCTCTGCCTCCCCTCCCCCCAGGCCTGCTGGCTCAGGACCAGTATGACTTGGAGCCACTGCCCCCGTTCCCAGACTCTGTGCAGTACAACCACTACAGCGACCAGATAGGTAAGGACCATGCCTGCCACAGCTGTCCCCACGCCCTGCCGTGCTGCCATGTCAAGGCCTGGCTCTGGATGGCACGGCTGAGCCAGGGGCTGGGTGGGTAGGGTGAGGGCCTTCCCAGGCTGGGGATGGCCTGGTCCCCACCACAGCCACTTCTCTCTTCAGATGCCCCAGACTACTATGATTACCAAGGTAAGGCACTGGGGGCAGGAGAGGAGGCGCAGCCAGGGTTGGGGCTCCCAAGGGGACCCTGGAGGAAAGGAAGGGACCACCCTTATCGTCCCTGCTGCAGAGGTGAGCTCTCGGTCCCCGGAGGAGCAGTTCCAGTCCCAGCAGCAGGTCCAGCAGGAAATCATCCCAGCCCCCACGCCAGGTAGGTGCCAGGCCCAGCTTCCTGTCATCCCCGAGTAGGGGTCAGTACCGGGGTGAGGGTCACGCCCCTGCCCCAAGCGGGCCCTCCCAGCAATTCCTGCCGCCTCTCTCTACTCCAGAGCCAGGAAACGCAGGGACGGAGCCCACAGAGCCTGGGCCTCTAGGTAAGAGCTTCTGGCCCGCTGGCATGAGAGGGTAGATTGGGGGCCGGGGTGCTGGGTTAGATCATGTGGGAACCCGGCTCAGTAGCCATGCAGGTGTGAATGTGTGTGAACTCGTGGGTATTGAATGTAGGCATCTAAGTGTGGTTGTGGGCTGGAGTGGTACACAGCTGGATAGTGGAGCAGGAGGTCCAGGCCTGCCTGGCGGATGTGGGTAGCTGGGCCAGGTGGGTACCCTAACCTGCATGTGCATCTCAAGTGGGTGAGCTCAGGGGCAGCCTCTGTGGCTCTGAACCCCACATCTGGCCCCCGTCCCTAGACTGCCGAGAGGAGCAGTACCCGTGTACCCGCCTCTACTCCATCCACAAGCCTTGCAAACAGTGTCTCAATGAGGTCTGCTTCTACAGGTGAGTGGGGCCAGGGAGGCGGGCAGCAGCCAGAAGGGTGGAGTCTGGGGCCAGTGAGCCCCAAAGCAGAGCTCCACGGTGAGGATGACACTGCAGTGCCAGGCTGGGCCCAGGCTCTCCCAGTGGCCAGGTCCTCAGACCGCCCCTGGCTGTCCCCTTCCCCAGCCTCCGCCGCATGTACGTCGTGAACAAGGAGATCTGTGTCCGCACCGTCTGTGCCCACGAGGAGCTCCTCCGAGGTAGGAGGGCCTCCCCTGCCCCTCTGCCGATGCCCACTTCGCCACCCTGCCAGATCCCCCTCCGTGTCCATTCAATGTGGGCCACATGCCTGGGTCCCCCTGCCAGCATATCTCACCCTCCGAACACACATACACCCCCTGACCCTGCCTTCCTGCTGCCCCCCAACAGCTGACCTGTGTCGGGACAAGTTCTCCAGGTGTGGTGTGCTGGCCAGCAGTGGCCTGTGCCAATCTATGGCAGCCTCTTGTGCCAGGAGCTGTGGGGGCTGCTAGGGTGCAGCTGGCATCCTGAGCCCTGGGCCCTGCCTGACTGGTGCTTCCTCCCCGCCCCACCCCACTCTGGACTGCAGCCCTGGGAGGCACAGGCTCTGGTGCCCTGAGCCCCTCTCCCAGCCTGTGGCCACCCTTGGGGTGCAACAGGGGTCCTGCTGCTCAGGCTCTGCCCCCTAAGCAGGGGGCACCTAAGGCCTCTCTGTGGGACACAGGTCCCTGCCGTGCCTTTCATCCCCCCAGGACAGTCCCCTGAGGCAGGCTATGCTCCTCACCCCAGCTGGTCTGCCTGGATTTCCTATAGCTCCCCGGGCACAGATCACCTTTGTTTTATATAAAATTAAAGACCAGTTTTTACAAAAGATCCAGAGTCACTTTTTTGGTTCAGAGCACAGAGGAACCAACCTGGTGGCTTCAATACCTTCTGTTCCACCAAGACAGAATGGGGCTGTGCCAAGCTGGGTATGGTGGCACACCCTGTTATCCCAGCACTCAGGAGGCTGAAGCAGGATGATTGCTGAGTTTGAGGCCACAAAGTGAGTTCAAGGCCAACCTGCACTACATACTGAGACCCTGTCTCAAAACCCACCCCACAAAACACCAAGAACAGAGCTGTTTGTGGGAGCAGCCCGCCTTCCCCAGTCCCAGCCCCGCCTCCTCATGCAGTCCCTCAGCTCTGACCTATTCAGGAGGGCCATGACACCTGCCCCAGGGTGTGTGTTCACTCATAGCAGAAATAGAAGGTTCCAGAACACAGCTTTCTCACAGTCAGTGATGCTCACGGAGGGCCTGAGTCCTGCCACTCAACAGATACTTCCAAGATGTGAGGCAGAATGTAGTGCGGCAGTGCAGACACTGGGCAGGAGGTCAAGGTCGGTGGACTGAGCCCACAGACTGTTTCGGAAGGGGCATGGCTGTCACCGAAAGGGCAGAAGCAGGCTACCCGCACCCACGGGTCCCCACTGTAAATGACAGTGTCCACGCAGGATTGGTGTGAACAGGACTCTGCAGGAGGACGATGACCATATGAGCACACAGTAACCCTGCTGCTCAGCACCCCACAAGGCAGGCTCCCATTTTGCAGGCTCTGGGAGGCTAAGAACCTTCATCCAGGCAAGACCCTGTATTCACCTGAACCCTACAGTCACACTGCCCAGGAGGCCGACCCCACCCAGAAGGGGGGCCCTGTCCTCAGGAGGCCCAAGGAGAAGTGGCAAGGGTTTGGCTGCAAAGAGCTGACTTGTACCACCAGATTACTGCCTGCCCAAAGTCTCAACGGCCCCATCTGTAAAATGGGGTAGGGGGCCCAGGATCCCCACCATCCTGTGAGGGTACTAAATCCCTTTCTGGTACAGGCCTCTGCCTCCTGCTGTCCATACAGCTGCTCTTCCCAGAGGCCCTCAAACTCTCCTGCATCTCTCCCATCTCCTCCTGGCTGGAGGCACCGGCACGGCAGCATGGAGAGGGGCACAAACAGATTTTAGAAAATGGTCTTATTACAAAAAACTTAAGTTCTCACCAGTTAACATTATAAAAAGGTACAAAAATACAAGGATTCTGAGCTCTTTTGAGGAATTTCCTGACAAATGCTTCAAACTGAGGTGGAGAGATCGCTGGGAGCCAGTCAGGCCCTGGCTCCCCTCCTCTTCCCATAAGCCCCTGCTCTGGGCTGGCCAGAGACTAGGGCTGTCCCTGATGCCTGGCTTTGGCTCACCCACGGAGGGGAGGCCCTTGCACGAACTAGAGTGGTTCATCCCGGGAGAGGGGCTGGAGTGAAGCGGGTCACTGGGGGACACCAGGAAGCTACTGCTGGGTGTGGCCTGGAGCTGGTGTCCACCCATCAGTGCTGCCATGCAGCCACAGGCCAGGCCCTGGGTGGCCCGCATTGCACAGGAGACCCCTCTGTGCCAAGCACGGTTGCTCTGAGGATGCCAGATGGGCAGAGGCTCATTTCTCAGGGGGGCCAGAGGGTGGAGACAATGGCGCTGAGCTCTTTCGAAGTTGCCCCTTCAGCGTGGACACCTGAGGAAGGAGAAAAGGTAAGGGTGGCCCAAGCTCCCTGTGTGACTTCAGAGAAAAGAGGGACCCTCAGGCATGGCTGGGGTCTGGGGGAGCCCAATGTGGCCCAGGGAATATCTGGTGTCATCAGAGCCATGATGTCCTTGCTGTATAGTTTTTGACCTTGGCATCTGTCAGGGTCCCCACTGACCCCCTTATCCTTTGTACCCTCATCATTTGAGTGATCCTGGCTCTGCCAGTCTGTCTGAGCCAGTGTAGACCAGGCTGGGCCAATCAGGGCAAGTGTGGCCTGCTCAGGAAAGGGCCAAGTGACAAGCTGGTCGGGAGGCCCAGCCCTAGGGCTTTTTTTTTTTTTTTTCTGGTGCCAGGGATCAAATTCACTACAGCAGGCTTGCAAGGCAGGTGCTTATGCCACTGAGCTAAATCCCTAGCCCAACCCTAGGGCTTTTGCTGGTGCTCCCTGGAGGACGAATCCTCTCCTCTGGGACCCGTTTTCAGAATGGGCAGCTGAAGCTGCTGATGCTGTTTTTGCCACCCAGGTAAAGGGCCTGTGGCCCCTGGTCCAGCCATGGCAGCTATGAGTGCTGATCAACCAGGTCCTCTCCAAGTCTAAGAAGTTGGCACCAGCAGCTGCTTACACTCCTGAGCTCCTTGCCAGCCCCGTCCCACAGTCTACACTCACACCTGCCCCTGGCTCCCTAGTAAGAGCTGGCCCACTCACCTGTTCCTGCAGCCCCGGGACCCGCTGGCGGTGGGCATGCTTGGGCTGCACACTGGTACTGTGCAGGCGCCCCACCTCCTGCTGCAGCTCCAGCTGCTGCTGCTCGTCCACCTCTAGCTGGGCTGGACTGTGGTTCTGCTCCAGGGCCACCACCTGGGCCTGTAGGGAAGGGCCACTGCTCAAGGTTCTGGCCCAGGGCATGCACTGCACTGTGATGGGGTGTCAGGTGTCAAACACCTCCCTAAGGCTCGGTCAGTGCAGGTGTGGGGGATCGGGGGTCAGGGAGGTCCTGCCCGTGAGCCTACAGAACCTGGCCCAGGGTCCCCAGGAACTCCCCATTCAGGCACGCAGACAGACGTGCTCAAATGGAGACTGGCCAGAGGGGCAGGAACAACACTCACAAAGCAAGCGGGTCAACACCCACATTCACGGAGATGCACGCATACGTGTGAAGGCTTAAGACACACACACGTGCACACATGAAAACAGCTTTACACAGGCCACATGCATGCATCGAATTCACGGCACTCATACCTGGACATGACTACAACATACATGAATGCACGGGCTCACAGGCACTCAGTGTCGCTGCTTTGCACCAAGGGGAGGGCCACCTGCTCCCCTGGGGACCAGCGCAGGTGGAGGAGGGGCAGGGCGGGGTGGGTGGGGCCAGACCTCCAGCTGCTGGATCTGCCTCTGGGCCTTGGCCAGCTCCTGCTCAGCACCGGTGAGCGAGCGGTCCAGGCGGCCCTTCTCCGCGCTCAGCCGCACCGTGTCCTCGTGGCTGCGCAGCTTCTCCCGCTCCACCTGGGTCAGGTGTACAGGAAGGGGCTCAAGGAGCAGCTCGGAGTCCTGAGCCCAGAACACAGAGACAGGTGTGGCCCATCAAGCCAGGCCCAGAGACAGCGGGCGAGCCCAGGGTGGTATAACCCACCTTGTCCAGCGTCTTCCTGAGGGCCATGCGGTCCTTCTCCAGCCGTTGGGCAGAGCGCTCCACCTCCCGCTTCTCGGCTTCCAGCTGGGCCAGGGCCCTCTGCAGGCTGCCCAGGTGCTCCTGCAGCAGCCGTCGCTCATCCTGCAGCTTTTGCACCGAATGCAGCGCCTGGGCCTCACCCTCTTGCCGCTGCCGTAGCACCTACAGCAAAAGCCGGGCAGGCCCTGCATCCCTCTGGGTCTCAGTGTCACTGGCACCTCTGGCGCCCACTCACATGTCTCTGGGAGCCCCATGAGGGAACTGTCACCGGAGGCCAGGCAGTTCTCCTGGGGCCTGGTTTCTCCATCTGTGTACAGCAGTGTGGCTGAATGACCATGCTGCCTCACAGGAGGCAGGGCCAGTGTTCAGGATCAGATTGAGCAGGGCACACAGCGAGGCCTCTCAGGCCTGGGGACACGGGTTGAGGCCAGCCCTCACCTCCTGCAGCTGTTGCAGCTGGCCCTCCACCTCTGCCCGCTGCAGCTCCAAGTCAGCCAGCTCACCCCGCACCGTCTGCACCTGCTCCCCCAAAGAGCTGCTCTGCTTCCGAGCTTCCGACAGTGCCTGCCGGGCAGCGTCCAGCCGTTCCTGGGCGAGAGGAGCAGATGGTGCAGGCCAGCCTGCAAGCCTAAAATCAATGGTTCCTCTCCACTCTACCGCTGGACAGGGTGATGGCCCCTAAAACAAGCAGTCACCTCACCTGGCCCAAGGCAGTATACACTCACCCTGACTCATTACCTGCACCTGGATCCTCCCACACCACTGGTACCTTCTTTCTTACTGAATGCTCCAGAACCACCTCTTGATTGGCTGATGCTCCACCGGGCCGGCCCTCCCCTCAATGCCTGTTACTGACTGGCTACTCAGAATCCCCAACTGACAGCCCACTGGCTGGGTCCTCACCAGCCCCCTCCAGGTCTACTCCTACTGGCTGACTTGCATATGGGTCCTCCCCCAGCCACACCAGGCAGCCCTATACCTGGAGCACCTGGCGGTCATGTTCACAGGCAGTCAGCGCCTTCTGCAGCTGCAGGTTCTTGTCCTGGGTGCTGGTGAGGCTGGTGTTGCTCTGGGCCAGGGCCTGTGTCAGGTTCTGTACTTTGTCCCGCAGGACCCTTTCGCTCTCCTCCACCTTGGCCAGGGCCCCATTCAGCCGCTCCACTGTCAGCTGCAAGGTCCTCGCCTTCACCTCACTGTCGGCCACCTGGCAGGGGACAGACAGGACATCAGAGGGTTCTGCTCCCACTGTGACCGCTGCCAGGCCTGCCCAACCCAAGCTCTTCCCACCCCTTTGGCCTTCATCTTTGATACCCATCCTTCCCAGGCACTCGCCCTGGCTCAGCCTACTGCCACCTGGGCCCCATCCTACTGCCAGTTAACTACTCCTCTCCACAGCTACATCAACCTGGTTATCTGGAGTTTCTTCCTTGCCATAAAAGAGAAAGTAAAGTACCATAACCCTGAAATGTTCTGTCTTGAACATTATATCAAACAGGGATAACTGCTGAACATCCAATTAGAGCTTCCTAGCAGGCAAGGTGAAAAAAGCAAAATCCCCATCTCTATTGTGTTCCACATCTCCCGTCTGTGCAGATTCTGTCATGGGAGAGCATTAAATGTTAATTTCTTTTATTAGCTAGGCGATGGGGAAAGGCATCACCTCTAAAGCTCCATTTGCCCATCTTTAAAATGGGGCTGATGTTAATACTCACCTCACAGGATTGTAGGGGGACCGTGGAGACCCTGTAGAGTACCTGGCGCAGGGCAGGCATGCAGCTGGCATGCTGTGAGTGGCGAGGGGCCTACCTGTCTCTGCAAGGAGTCCACGCGATCCTGCAGGGCCTGTGCATGGGCCTCACGGTCACTGAGGCCCAGGCGACTCCGCTGCAGCTCGCCCTCGAGCGCCCGCCGCTGCAGCTCCAGCTTGATGGTGCGGCTCTCGGAGGCATCCAGCACCTCCTTCAGGCGCCGTTTGTCGCTCTCCAGCTTCGCCTCATTGGCCTTCATCTTGCTCATCTTCTCCTGCAGAGGGGGAGGCGCAGGCCCCGGTGCTGTGTGTACCCCACACCCATCCCCCACCTCCCTTAGCTAGAGTGGGGGGCAGCCTCAAAGACGGTGTGGCCAGGTCCCAGCCTGAGCCCCTCCGGGGTTCTCAGTGCCCTCAAGTGTCCCCAGGATGAGTGGGTCCAAGGACCCCAGATCACCATGGGGTTTGCCTGTGACCCGTCCCATACTCTGACCCTGGGGGGGTCTTCATTGGTCCAGGGTACCATAAGAGTTGTGGGAGAAGGCTGAACATGCAGGTTCCAGGGCGCTCCCCAGCTCCCCAGAAGCACTGTCCAGGGCGTCCAGAAGCTACATGTATAACCAGAGCTGAACCCAAAGCACTGTGGCATTCCAGGGCTTCCAGGAAGAACTCCCCTCCCTCCCGTGTTTGGGGTCAGTCAGAGAAGGGTCCTGGGAGAGGGGACAGAGCAAGACAAACACAATATCATTCAATCCACATCACCATCCTGGAGACACAGTGGGTCATGGTGGCGGGGGGGGGGGCACTGTAGCCTGCCCCCACCCTGCCCTGAGTCTGGCCCCTCTTGCCCTGCTCAGAGCCCCAGCCCTGCCCTGTCTTGCCCAGGGGCCCCCACTCTGGCTCCTGCCCAGCTTTGTTCCTGGCCTCCTCCCGGGCCCCTGCAGCTGGGCCCAAGGCCAGAGCTGAAGCCGCAGACACAACAATCCAGCTCAGCTCAGCCCCGGCCAGGCCAGGGGTGGGCTACGGGTAGCAGCGGGCCAGGGAAGCCGGAGGGGGCGGGGTGTCCACCACCAGCTCAAGGCTTTGGGAGCCTCGAGTGTCACCACCAGGCCCAGGCTTCTTGTCCCAGATAGATGGATGGACAGACAGACAGACACACGTAGGTGAACACTGATGTCCACCAGACACACAAAACCCCAGAACACTATTCCCATGGCTATGCAGACACAAAAAATAGGACCCCCTGGGCACCAGCTGGGTTTCCCTAGTGTGTATGCCAGGTTCCCCTTCAACAGGTAAGAACAACAAGAATCAGACAGCAGAATTGCACCCAGGGCAGCTGACTTGGGCCTCCCACTTTGCCTACAGCCTCATGAACCAAGGTGACAGAAACTGAACATGTTTTTGTAGAAGCGGAGCAGGTTGTCACCACGGTGGAACAGCAGCACGCTCACACGGCCACTCCAGCACACGTCCCCCGCCCGCTGGCCCTCAGCACCTGTCCGTACCTGGCTGGCCCGGAGCTCGCTCTCGGTGGCCTGCAGGCTCCTCTCCAGGGAGGCCACCTGGTCCAGCATGGCCCTGCGCTCCCGCTCACTACGCCGCACGCTCTCCTCCTGTAGTGCCAGCTCCGCCTGGGCCCCGCTCAGCCGCCCATCCACACTGCGCCGGGCTGCGGCCACCACCCGGTCCCATCAGGCACAGCCAGCAGAGCTGGAGACCCGACCCAGGCCACAGGATGCCCACTTGAGCCCCACTCGCCACAGGGCCTGCTTGTTGGTCCCCCAGGGGATGCAGGTCCAGCCGCAGGTGGGCTGAGCAGGCAGGGTGCCCTGCAGGAGCGGGCTCAGAATCAGGGCAGCCATGCAGCCGGCCTGGCCAATGTCCCAGCCTTCTAACTCAGTTGCTCCCCAGGATCAAAAGAACAGAGCTGGGACCTTGAGGGTCAAACTCACCTTCCTCGCTCTCGGCCACGGCCTTCTGCAGCTGCCTGGCCCGAGAAGTCACACTGTCCTTCTCGGCCTCCATCTCAGCCAGCTGCCGACTGAGGGTGCTGGTCTGGGCCCGGAGCTCATCCTACAGCCCGACATTGGGGGAGGGGGAGACCCTGCTCTGAGATTCTGCTGCCCCTCGGCACCCTTGGCCACAGGTTCCCCACGCAGCCCCTTGCAGCCACCCTCACCCGCTCTCGCTGGGTGCCCCACAGCTCCTGCAGGAAGTCCCGGAGAGCACTTCTCACTGCCTCTGGGTCCAGGTCTGCAGGGCCCGGGGAGGTGGCAGGTCCTGGGGACGGGGGCTGGGACTCAGGGCTGCGTTCCAAGGGGCTGGGGCTGCTGAGTCCTTCTCCACTTCCTAAAAGAGAAGATGTGCTCAGGGACACAGGAGCCCCATACATGGCTGCAAGGCTCCCTGACAACCCTCTCATCCAGCCCCGCCACACCCAACGGCCAATCTGACCTTCCTGTAGCTCAAGGGCCACATTACCCTCTGCCTTGAACTGGCCACCAGACCCCATGTCAGAATTAAGCCAAGGTTTTTGCCACACAGAAGCCCCATTGCCTACTCTGCATCACTCTCAGCTCCTAGGTTCTAGAATATTCCCCAATTCAGCCCCAGGGCTTCTGCATGTGGTGTTCTTCTCCTCAGGGCTCCTCCATGCCCATCCCACCCTTTAGGTCACTCCCTCCAAGGCCTGTTTGACCCCAGGCTGGGTTGGGGTGACCACCACTCAATCCACTGAGGGTGTGAGGGCTGTTTCGTCATCTAGATCACATGCGCCATGAAGGCTGGGCTGTGTCTTTCCTGTCCAGGGCTTGTCCCTAAGGCCCAGGCCATGGATGGGCACTCTGTCACTTTAACCTCTCTCTGAGCTGCAGGCTCACCTGTGCCAAGCACCAGGTCAATGCCCTCCCCACAAGGCCTCATTCCATTCTCCCAATAATCCCCGACACGCAAGCACCAGCTCTACCCCCTCCATGGGTTCCAAGCAGTTAGCTGATTTGTTTCAAAGCTGGGAAATTTCAGAACGGCAGTTGGAACCTGTACAAGTTGGTTCCCCAGTGGACCAAAACCTGGAACTCCCTTGAGAGAGGACCAGCCTAGAGATGGGGGAGGAGACAGAGTGCCACCTGGAGGTTAGCATTGCAGTTGCAGGACCCCGGTGGACCCATTTGAGCTCAAGGGTTCCCCAAAAGCAGGACCCCCATTCTGCAAAGATCTCAACCCTCAGGGAACAGCCACACTGCTAGTGGCCTCAAGGGCTAGGTGAGCCAGTCTCTGTCTCCACCTCCTTGCCTTATGCTGGCCACACTGTTCTGTTGTCATCCTGCGGGTCCCAGGCTGGGCCTCCCCCTCAGCCCTGGCCTCCCCCAGAAGCACCCTCCAGCATAACCTTCTCTTGCCTGTATCTTTTATATTTACTCACTACTTACTTATTTTTGTGACAAGCATATATAACTTCAAATGTGTCTTTTTTCCTACACTGGGGCTCAAACTTGGGCACTCTATCCCTGAACTCACCCGAACGGGCGGGCCCCTAATCCCAGATGTTGTCCTCATGAAAAGGGGACTGGGACCAGACAAGCACGCAGGGCACTCGCTATGTGACAAGCTTTGCTGCCATAAGCCAAGCAGCTCTCCAAGTGGGGGGGCTGGAGCCACTCCTGCCCTGCAGCCTTCAGAGGAAGCTGGTTCCAGATGCTGACAGGCGGACCTGCCTTTCTGTCCTTAAGCCCCTGGGCTGGTGACAGTAGGCCTTGTGTATCAGGGACTTCCATGTCCTGATATTCAGCCAACTGCAAATTAGATTTTTTTTTTTTTTTAATGCTGAGAGTAATGACTGATCTCAGCATTCTGGGAGGCTGAGGCCAGAGGGTCACAAGCTGGATCCCAGCCCAAGCAACTTAAGGACTCACTAAGATCCTCAGTTTTAAATTACATCCATACTGAACAGGAACAGCTTTCAAACAGTTCTTGGCATCACCCCCTACACAATACACAGCAACAGCCATCTATATGCATTATCAGTGGATTAATGGTGACAAGTACTCTGGAGAGACAGGCTGTGGTGTGCAGATAAACACTGAATTATTTACGTACTGCTCTTGGGATCCAGATACTGGTAACCCCAGAACAGGGAGCAGGGGAATGATCCATTGCTACAGCTGTCCCAGCCAACCAGGGCCTTAGCACTGAGCTAAGCCTAGGTTCTTTGAGGCTGAGTCTTGTTACACCACTGAACTGCCCAGGCTGGGCTTGAACTTGTCATCCTCCTGTTTTAGCCTCCCAGAGGACTGGAATCGCAGGCCTGTGCCACCACCCCCAGCAGAAAGTCTGGGTTAAAGCAATCACCCCCAACACCCTCCCAGCTCTCCGTCTCTGATCTACCTTCTACTTGTAACAATGTGTCTATTCTAGATAGTTCATATAAGCAGGCTCAAACCATATTCGTCCTTTCATTCATGTTTTGCAGCTCTGGGATTGAACCCAGGGACCCACACACGGCAGGTCTAGGTCTACCACTGACCTCTACTCCCTACCTCTTTCTTTGCCCTTTCTTGACTTAGCTCAAGGAGTCTAATGCCTTTACAGCTTCTGTGTATCCTATGCTATGATGTGACTCCTTTCTAAGGCCAGAAGGATTCACTTGGCTGACATACATTTTGTTTATCCATCTGGTGGTGAACGCTTGAGATGTCACCCGTTTTTGGCATTGTGAATGATGTGGCAATAAACCTTGGTGTACAGATAGCTGTTCAAGTCCCTATTTTCAAGCCCACTGGCTACACAGCTGGGAGAAATCTGTTCTGAAGGTAATTTTATTTTCTGCTTTTACAGGATATGCCAAGGTATTTTCTTTTTCTTTTTCTTTTTTCCTTTTTATCGGTACCAGGGATCGAACTCACAACTGCCTGCGTGCAAGGCAGGCGTTTATGCCGCTGAGCTAAATCCCCAGCCCCCAGCCCCTCAATACTTTTATATTTATTAATTTTTTATCAGGTCCTTTACAATGAGCTACTCAGCTACCCAAGCTGGGCTTGCACTTTAATCCTCCGGCCTCAGCCTTCCCAAACGTTGGGATCACAGGCGTGTGGCACCATGACCAGCTCTATACTGCATTTATACACCATGTTCACTTTTCTCTATTCTCACACCTATATAAAAGCTCCATAAGAGCAGAGATGCTTGCCATGTCATTCCTGTTTTGTTCTCGGTGCTTAAACTGTCTGGCACTTGTTGTACAGTTAAATATTGAGTGAATGAACAAATGCCATGCTTCATGGTATGGAGCCTGCCCATGCCTGTGAAGATTCTGGTATCACAGGCCTACAGTGGAGGGGTATTGGAGGCTAAAGAGGATGGAGATGGGGTCCACAGATCGGTTAAAATAGGGGTTGACTCAGGAAGAGTTGGGCATTAAGAATCTCTCACCAAGCAGCAGCCTAGACAGAGCGTGGATAAGGGGCGGAGCCTCGGCGACGGATGGAGCTATCACAGCCCCCCCACCCCAAATTGGGCCCGCTCCCGGGCTGTAGGCGTGGCCTCAGCCAGGCCCGCCCCCTCCCCACACACTCACCTCCTACGGGCGAGTCGCTGGCCGGGGAGCCAGGCGCGGGACGCGGGGCGGGACTGGGCACTCGGCCCAGGCCCAGGCCCCGGCGCAGAGCGGAGCGCAGGCCGCCCAACTGGGCCTCTGCAGCGCGCCGCTGCGCCTCCACGCGGGCCAGCTCTGCCTCCAGGCCCTGCGCTCGGCCCTCTGCCGCGCTCAGCCGCAGCCCCAGCTCTGCGGCCTCTGCCCGGGCCGCCTCCAGCTTTAGCTCCAGGCTGCGGGCGTGGTCCAGCTGCTTCTTCTGCGCCCCACGCGCCTCCTCCAGGGAGCCCTGCAGGCCTCGCTCGCGGGCCCGGAACGCGGCCTCCTGCTCCTGCAGCTTCCGCTGGCATCCCTGGAGCTGGGTGGGGTGAAGCCAAGAGGTGGGTGTCACAGGCCACCCAGTGCCCCCCTCCTGGCTCAGGCCACGTTGCATTGTGTGGTTTCCACCCAATTAGGCGGTACAAAAGCATCCACGGGATGTGGGAGGAAATTCTTAGAATTTTTCATCTCTTTCCCCTGTATATATAAGCCTTGCAATGTACAGAGTTTATTACTAATAACAGCCAACACTCATATAGACAGGACTTAGTGTCAAGCATTAAGTGCTTTCCAAAAAAGGGGAGGAAATAATGCTATTTTGCTCTGAGTCATCCTCATTTTACTGATAATGAAGTTGAGGCATGGAGAAGTTAAGTAACTTGTCCAACACCACACAAGGAGTGTGCTGAAAGCCGGGATTCGGAGCCAGGCGCTGAGCTCCAGTCTGATTTCTGACCACCAGATATACTGCTTCTCCATGCACATCATTTATTAATAAGTAAGCACAGCATGAGGACGAGTACTAAAAATGGTGATGATTTCCTGGTGATGCATGATCACAAATGCTACCCTCTTCCAGTCATTGGTTTTGCTGGAAACCCATCTACCGAGAGTGGCTCAGACACCAGGACCTTCCCTACATCCCCAGTGCCTCTCCCATAAGTGCTCTGATGCAGAGATTAAGCCAGTTGGTCTAGGCCATACAGTAGATTCAAACAGCACAGCAGCCAGCAAAGGCAGAATGGAAAAAGTGCAGGCTTTGGAGCCAGACTTAGGTGGCTGTGTGACCCTGTGTGGACCCCCTAAACTCTGAGCCTCAGTGTCTGATGCTATCTGTAAAATGGGGTAATGGTACCCATCTCTTAGGGCTGCTGCGAAAATCAAACAGGGTTACACCTACAGAAAGGCCCCACCCCCTTTTTTGTACCTGCATACACTGGGCCCATAGCATTTCCATTGTTAATGTTGTTATAACTAACATTATAGGACTAAGGGATGGGAATGGGTCTGATCTTGCAGAAGGACTTCAGCCCTGGAGGGCTCACCTGCTTCCACCTAGAGGAGGGGCACCTCCACACCCCCCCCCAAGCCAGCTCATCCATCTACCCAGGTACCTCCTGCTGCACGGCCTCCACGCTGGCCTCACCCTTCAGTAGCTTCTGCCGCAGACCCAGGGCCTCCCTGCGGCTCTCCTTCTCTGCCCGCTCACCCAGGGCCAGGCGGCCCTGCAGCTCTGCCAACTCCTGGCTCAGCCTGGCGTTCTCACTGTCCAGCATCTTCATCTGAGGGAGACAGAGGGAGTAGCTGTGCCCCATGCCTTGCCCAGTCCTGGCCCAGAAGGCACTCCAGACACACGCACAAACGCTACTCCATACAAAACCTCCGGTACTATGCCAGACTCCTGGCACCAATGGCCTGTCCACTACTGAATCCGTGGGCCCCAAACTACCTTTCATGGAGCAGGGGCGCAAAGGTTGACCTGTTATCAGACCTGGAGTTCCACAAGCAGGGACCTCAGCTTCCTGCACCACCTCTCACCTCCACAATGATGCCCTTCAGTAGGGCACTGAGTGTGTGTCCAGCCCTGTTTTCAGCATGTCACCTACACTGATGCACTTCACACCTACCTAAGGCAGGCACTGACATAATCCCTATTTGAGAGATAAGAATGAGGCTTGGAGCTTGAAGTGGCTTGTCTGAGGCCACCCAGCATGCAAACTGCACACTGGGGTTCAACTCTATCATGTGGGATGAGCAGTGTGTCCCAAGCCAGTTTCCCTAGGAGACCAGGTCCGGGTGACACCTGCCAACACCACAGTGAAACACAGCAGGCAAAAGGAGGGCATGCTGCGGCCTGCGTGCCCCCAGCGAGAGGCTAGACACAAGTGTCAGTCCTCTGCGGGTCTTGCGTGGCTTCTTGACAGGGGCCTGAGGAGAGGCAGTTCTGGGGGGATGTGGAAAGGATGTGACTTTGTGGGTGTCACATGCTACCTCTCACAGGCTTGGCCTAGGAACCCAAAAACGCTGCTTCCTGCCCTTTACCTTTCTAGCATGGGGAAACCCAAGTCCACAGTGCACACAGCAGGTGCTTGTTCAGTGCATGCTGTTCTCGGAGAACCGGGGGTCACCTCTTTGGGGTTAGAAAGCTAAAGCCTGCCAAAATGGCCTTCTCTTGTTTCCAAAGAGCAGGGGTAGCGGTTGTATTTTTTTGTTTGAGGCAGGGTCTCACTATGGAGTGTAGGCTGGCCTTGAACTCACTCATGTAGCCTAGCCTGGCCTCAAACTCATGGCAATCCTCCTGTCTCAGCCTTCTTCAGCCGGGGATACAGATGTGCATCACTATGCTGGGCTCTGTAAACTTGATTTTTGTTTTGGGGATAGAAACCAGGGCCTTGAGCAAGCTAAGCACATGGACCACTGCCGAGGTGTATTCCCAACCCCTCTGGGACTGCTCTCTCACACCAGCGCAGGGTAGTAAGGAGGGTCCATGTGACCAGCAGATTAGCTGGAAATATTCACTGTTTAGGGGCTGGGGATTTAGCTCAGCAGCATAAGCACCTGCCTTGCAAGCAGGCAGTCATGAGTTCCATCCCTGGTACCAATAAAAAGGAAAAAGACAAAAAAAAGAAAAAGAAAAAGGAATATTCACTGTTTGGTTCCTTACAAGTTCTTCAGCCCCATCTATTTTACAGGGCCTATTCCTTTGGTTGTTCCTGGACTCCTTTAGAACTGGCCAAGACCCCAGCCCCGCTCCTTGGGAGAGTGGGCCAGCACACGTACACAGACAGGCATGGGCTTTGCCCAGATCCAGAGAGCAGGGCTTCTCAAAGCCCATCTGTGAATCCTCAGGTCAGGTAACTCCTTGCTAGAGCTCAAGCCCCGGCTTTTACCAAAGGGGACTTGTTCTTGGAAAGGATTCCAGCTGGACATGGAGCTCTGGAAGGGGCGCTGCAGGCCCAGCACAGTCCAGGCCCGGGGGACCGAGGCTGGGGGCTTGCCTGCCTCCGCAGCTCCTGCAGCTCCCGCCGCGCCTCCAGCCGCGAGCGCTCTGCTTCCTGCAGCCCTGCACGCAGCTCCCCGGCCTCCTTGCCCACGGCTGCCCGCGCCTCCTCCAGGAGCGCCAGCTTCTGCTCCTTGTCCTCGTTGGCCAGCTTCAGGCTGAAAAGGGAAGACAGTTCGGTGTTCGGTGCTGCCCGTCAGCCCTCGCCCTGATTTCTCCTATGGGTCTGGCCCCATCATGGCCCAGATGTGTCCCACTTGCTACAAGTGGCCCCTCCACCCTTCCCGTGCTAGGGACAGACCTTCGGCTAGGAGAGGTACACGAGGACTCCATGAGGGCGATGGCAGCAGACAGAGTCTAAGTCTGGACCCATCCCTGGCTGCTGCCATCTAAAATGACCCACGCAGTAGGCAGGCTGTGCTCAGGGGCCAGAGAATCTCCACCTGCACGACTTCCCCGGGACGGGGACAAGGTTGGGTGAAGGAGCCCGGGCCGCACCTGATGCGCTCGCTCTCCGCCCTCCGCACGGCCGCCCGCAGCTCCTCATTGGAGTGCCGCAGGGCCTCACGCTCCTTGGCGCCCTCGCTCAGGCTGCGCCGCAGCTCACTGGCCTCCTGGCGCTGGGCCTCTCGGCCTTCCTGGCTGTCGCGCACCTTGCGCTGGGTCTCCAGCAGCTCCCGCCGCAGCCCGTCCTTCGCGTCCTCCAGCAGGCGCAGCTGAGCCCGAAGCTCTTCTGCCTGTGAGCCCAGAACAGGGTCAGGGCCCCCACGAAGCAGGGACCTTGGAAAGAATGGGCCCATACCTCATGTCACCGGCAAGGGGTGATGGCCCCAGCCCTCTGCAGTTGTTATGACTGAAAGTACACTGGGGTCTTCTGGGCCTGAAATAATCATTGATCAAAATCATCCAGCAGACGACACCAAGCCAGGAGGGGCTTAGCAGTCATCCAAGTCCCCTAAGTCCAAACTGCGAACAGTGCTAAATAAACGCTCGCTATCTCCTCACATTGTCAGCCACCAATTGTCCTCAAATACAGGGAGGGAAGAATCAAGAGTTTCCCATTATTAAGGCTACACCCTCAGTCCTTTCTTAAGACAGGGTCTTGCCAAGTTGCCCAGGTTGGCCTGGAACTCCCAATCCTCCTCCTTAGCCTCCTGAGTAGCTGGGATTACAAGCTTGCACCTCCACCCTCAGCTCAATTCGGGGAGGAGCCTTATACCCTTTGGGGTCCCCCACAGGACCAGGCCCCCGACTGGCATGTGCAGCCTCCGATGGCGTGAGCTGCAGAGGCAGCTGGCAGCTCACCTCCCGCAGGCAGGACTCCCGCTGCCTGCCCAGGTCCCGGGCCTGCTCCTGCAGCCTCTGCACTTCCTGGGCGTGGACAGCAGCGGCCTCCTCAAGCTGGGCCCGGAGGTCTCGAAGTTCGGACGTCAGGGCATTCACGGTGCTCTGGGACAGATGGGCCCCTCAGAGAGGTCGTAGGGTGCCAGTCCCTCTGCCCTCTTGCTGCTCCTAACCCACAGGCTGAATTTCCCACATTCTGCTCCAAACACAGCCCCTCCCACTGGCTAGCCAGGCCCCTGCTCATCCCGCAGTGCCCCCAAAGTGCTGTCCATGTCGCTGGTCTCTCCCCATACTCAGGGACTCACAAAGGCGGAGCTGTGCTACCTCCCAAAGGAAGGTGAGCTGCCCACTCAACTGCCCGGTTTGCCCTACCCGGTCCTGCTCCTGCCGGCTCTGGGCATCTCGCTTCTGCCGCTCCATCTCCAAGGAGATGGCAGCCAGGCTGTGCTGTGTCCCCATCAGCTTCTCTGACAGCGCTGTCTTCTCCGACTCCTTCAGGGACAGGGCCTGAGCGGTGGCAGGGAACACAGAGCTTGGGGGTTGGCCAGACCAAGCAGCACAGTCAGGCCCCGCCCCTCCCGGTGCTGGGCCTCAGTGGCCTGAGAGTGGCAGAGGTCGGGGGCAGCGGAACAGGCTCGGTCCCTACAGCTCAACAACAGCAACAGTGATCCTGGTCATGTGGACCTCACCAACCTGCCACAACATCCCTAGGGAATTCTTTCATTATTCCCTTCTTACAGATGAGGACACTGAGGCTCAAAGCGGGAAGGTGACTTGCCCAGGGTGCCACCACAGGGGAGGAGAGATGGGCGCAGTCTGTCCTCTCTCCAGCACTTGCAGCAAAATTAGGAATTAATTCTTTGGGGAGGGCGGTGACAGCCACTTCGAGGACTGCCCAAGGTGGTCATGGGCAAGTTGTGCCCAGCCTGGGGCAGGCTGAGGGCAGGAGACCATGATGCACAGCTTTCCTGGTGCCACAGCTGTGGTCAGGCATGGGGTTCTCAATGCATCACACCCTCCTCCAATTCTTCCCTCTTGCAGGTGCGAAAACTGAGGCCCAGAAGGGATGGGGCCACCCCCAAGGCCCCTGGCTGCTGGGTGGTTGAGAAGGGTCCACCCTGGGGAATCATGAGGCCGCCCCAGAGCTCACACACCTGCTGCTTCTCGCTCTCAGCCAGGAGCAGGCCCTCATCCCGCTCCTGCTGCAGTGCGGCGATCTCCTCGCTCAGTTCCTCCTTCTCAGCCTCCATCCGGGCCAGCAGCTCCTCCCGCTCCCGCTGCAGCTGGCCCTGCAGCTGGGCCCGCTCTGTCTGAAGCTCCCGCCAGGCCACTTCCTGGGGACCACACCCGGGTGTCTGAGACACACAAGTGGGGCCCCCACATCCCCTAACACAACCAAGGGGAACAAGGTCATCTGTACCCACAGGTGCAAGACAGGGTAGTGCCCAGGTCACCACAAGGTGGGATGATGAGTACTGTCACCAGGACAGACCAGGGCTGTGAAAGCCCCAAAGGTGGCAGCTGCCTGGGCTGGGGTCACATGGTCCCCAAAAGACGGTTGAGCAGAGTCAGCCAGGGAGAAAAAAGGCCCTCAGCCCAAGAGCACAGCCAGGCAGGACCAGCAGCAAGAGGCGTAAGGCTGGTCTGGCTCCCTGAAGGGTGGTAGGTGGGTGCACAGAGCATAAAGGTGAAGGTCAGCCCATGTAGGGTGCCAAGAGCAGGTGCCCAGCTCCAGCACTGGCCCCCAGAACTTTCTCAAAATCAGGCAGTGGCAGGCCTTCCTGAGCTGTTGTGCCGCCACCTGCTGGAGAGGTGTGATAATCCCACAGGACACGGGTAAACGGCAGCCCTGGAGTTCAGAAGCAGCCTGTGTGGGCTGGGTGGTTCTGGGGCCCAGTCCTGAGGGCCACTGTGAAGTGTGCCGGTATGGGTAACAATGATTTATGAAGCATTTATTGAGTGGCAGTTGCTACACTAATGCATGCATATGGCATATCTCACATCAACCTCACGACACCTCATCCCACACCCATGTGTGCAGATGCGGAAATGGAAACCAGGAGACCTTACACAGCATCACCATCACCAGTGTGGGACCAAGATCAGATTTAAACTCGAACAATGTAAGGCCAGAGCCACTGTTCTAGCAACCTCACCCTGGCCCATTGCGTGTCCTCTGTGTGAGGGTCCCCAGGGATCTTAATATACAAACAGCGCAACTTTGCAAACAAAAGTGCCTTCTGCCACACATATGCTGACTTTTCTCAAATGTGACTGGGGATCCCCTACAACATCACCAGGGTAGAATCTCATCCGGAGTCTGGGAATCTGCATTTTTGTTTTTGTAATCCTGAGGGTTGAACCCAGGACCTTCACAGACTTATATCCTCAGACCTTTATTTTTTTAATTTAAAGACGGAGTTTTGCTAAGTCACTAAGTTGCCCAGGCTGGGCTCAAACTTTGTAATCCTCCTGCCTCAGCCTCCCAGAGTGCTAGGATTATGATCATGCCAGGCAAATCTATGGATTGGATAAGGATGTTCCTGTCACATGAATCCGCCCTGCTGTCCCCACTGTATGTACAGCACAGATGGGAGGATGACTCCTCCGAAGTCACAGAGGAGACAGTGGCTCAGAGCCCTCACCATCCCCACCTCTGCTCAAACCTTCTCTCGATGGAGTCGCTGCAGGTCCTCTTCGTGGGCTGCCCGCTGCTCCCGTAGAGAGGCCTGGGCTTCTCGCTCAGCCTGCGCCAGTTTCTGGGCCATGAGCTCCTTGTCCAGAGCTGCCTTCTCCTCTGTGTTTGCTATCTGCTGCCGCAGGCCTGCTAGCTCCCCTGCACAGAAGGCCGGGGTAAGGCAGGGCCGGGTCAAAACCTCTCTGGGGCCAGCAGATTCAGGCCAGGTGGGCCACATGGGCACCCAGGAGAGGGGAGAGGAATCCCCTAGCATCTGGGCTGTTTTGCTGGGAAGTGGCTCACCCTCTCTGGGCCCCCGTTTTCCCATCTGCTGCAGGGCCCAGTGGCTCTGGCCCCATCTGCTCACTAAGAACAGCATCAAGGGACAAAATGATTGATGCGAAGGGCCCTGCAGATGGGAAGGATGCCAAAAATACAACCACTCCCATTACTACCTGAGCGCCACTCCACCGAACAGTTCTGTTCCAGCCTCACAATGTGCCTGGTTAGCTTCTCTACCCTCATCTACAGAGGGGGACCCGGAGGCTCAGAGGTGGGCATCTTCCCAACACTACCCACCGTCACATAATGCTGTCCCCCATGAACTTGGTCTGGCGTCAACTGTCAGCACTTGTGGAGGTGACAATGGGAAGGGGCAGCCTGCCATGGACCAGCTATAACACTATTCCCCAGTGAAAAGCCAGCCTCTCCTTTCCTGGCTCTGTCCGGCTCGGGTGGACAAGGACAGGAAAATGAATTTCCATGACCCGAGTTGGTACACAGGTGCTCACCTGTGGTGAGTGGGAAGAACCTGGGGTGCAGACTGGCCGGGGAACATGGGGGATGCTAGGCAGGGCCTGTGGGCCAGGGAGTGTTGGGAAAAGCAGCTGGCAGCTCTGTAGGGAACTCGGAGCTCTCCACTGTCCCCAAGGTACTGCTGACCATGCCAGGCACCACGCCCAGGCCTCCGCCGCCTCCTCCAACCTCAGCTTGGTATCACACCTAGCAGGTGGCACTCCCACCTCTAATGTCACCTGAGGACTCCACAGCCCACACAGTGAAGGAACTCTCTCCAGCGCAACTGAGGACCAGAACCTAGGTCAGCCAGACTCCCAGGCCGGTGCTCTGAACCTCGGAGACCCCAGAACCCAATAGGCTGCAGTTTGGCAGAAGGCTGGTATCCTCCCAGGCCCTGCCCCGCATACCGGCCAGGGTTTCCTTGGCCACCAGCAGGGCCTGTCCATCGGCTTCCAGCTGCTCGCGGCGGGCCTCAAGCTGAGACAGCTGCCTTTGCACCTCAAACAGGCTGCTCTCCAGGGCTTCCTTCTCCAAGCTGTGGTACACGCAGTCCCTGAGGCCCTGGCACTCAGCCTCCGCAGCCCCAGGGAACTGTGGCTGTCAAGGTGTGGACAGCTGCGGGCCTTGTGCCAGCCTACCTGCCAGCCGGGCCCAAGCTCCCTGGAGAAGGCTGGGCCCTAGCTGGCTCTGTTGGCAAGCTGGGCTCCTAAGTAACTGCCCCCGTGAGCCAATGCCAGGGCAGAGCTGGTGGTGATGTAGCCCCACACACCCTCCACCCCCAAGGCACTGGGCAGAACCTGAGGCCTTACCGCAGACGCGTGACTTCCTCTGCCAGGGTCCGGCCTTCGCGCTCGGCTGCCGCCAGCTGCACAACCAGACTGGCTCGCTCCTTGGCCACCGCCTCTTTCTCCCGGGTGGCTCGCTCGAGTGCCTCCACCTGCCGTTGCGACTCCCGCTGGGCCTGCTCCAGCTCCTGCTCCCTCCCGCTCAGCTGCCGCGAGAGCTGTCCCCACCCAGAACTGTGAGCACCACTCCCAGACCCCTGGATCTGCTTATTACACAGCACTCCAACTCGGGGTCCCCTGGCCCGGGGTCTGGCAGGTGAGAGGGCCAAGCCAAGCCCTATCTCTGTCCTGCCATGCCACGTATCTGTACCAGATCAAACCACAGGCTTTCAGACCCAAAACGCAAGTCTATACAAAACCAAGGACCCTCACTTGGCTTTGGGCTAAGGGACCTCTTTCTCACCCTGAAATTTTCAGAGAAGCTGAAAGAACAAGATAGACTCAGGGAAGCTGCCCTGCAGGGCACAGAGTGGACACTGTCATTGCCTCCTCTACCCCACACCCTCCAACTCCCTCCAGGACTGGCACTGTGTAATGATCTCTGGATTTCTAAAGCCCTTGGACCCCTTCCGGCTGTGATGTCCCAAGCCCAATTCCAATCCTAACAGTCTCCACCTATTCTGATATTGTTGATCTGTATGGAGAGGTAATGCAGGGCAGACCTAAACCCAGAAGCAGGCTCTCGGGCCTCTCCTCACTCACTCTGCCCCCCACTTCTGCATGGGGCTCAGCCCACCTGGGCCAGCTGCTCCTGCAGCCGGCTATGCTCGCCACGCAGCGTGTGGAGCTGCTGCCCCAGCTCGTCCCGGGCCTGTTCAGCGGAGTGCAGGGAGCCCTCCAGGCCCTGCCGCTCCACCTCCTGCTCCAGCCGCAGCTGCTCCAGCCGCCGCTGCTCCTCCAAAGCTGAGGTGGCCTCATGCTCTGCCTGCCGCTGCTTCCCCAGCAAGGCTGCCTTTTCCTCCTCCAGCTGCAGGGTACAGGTGGGCAAGGGGGATGAGCAAGGGTACCCCCAGGACTAGGGATGTCTCCCCAGTCTTCCCACAGACCCAACCAGCCAGGTGCATGGACCCGGAGAGGGGAAAAATAGAGGATATATACACTAGAAGACAGATAGACAGACAGAGACAGGGCCAGAAGAGAGGCAGAGACCACGACAGACAGGCACAGGTGTGGGGCCTCAGTGAAGGGGACAGGTGGGCTTGCTGTGCACAACACACCTGAGCGACGAGACGATTCAGGCCCAGCTTGTCCTGAGCGAGGCTCTCGTTGAGGGCGCTCAGCTTGGACAGGGCATCGCGCAGAGAGGCCTCCTCTGCCCTCAGCTTGGTCATGGACAGCTCGAACTCCACTCGGCCAGCCTCTGCCTGCAGGTATCAGGAGGTGGGTGAGTGGGAAGAGGCAGGAAGAGACCCCGAGCGATGGACTGCAGAGGCGGAGGGAGGCACTGAGTCAGGAGAAATCGCTGCAGACGTAGAACTCTGGCCCGGAGGTCACGAGGGGAAACACAGGCTGCAGCACCGCGCAGTGGGGAAGGAAGCCCAGCTCCAGCTGCAGGTCAGGGCCAGGGCACAGGATCCCCAAGTGGGGTCTAACTGTGGCACTGCCAGGTAAGCCCAGGCATTAAGGCATGGGACAGGGACCCAGTGGGGACTCTCTAGACAGCAGTCCCAGCTCCCACAGAGCCAGGACCTGGTGAGGTCAACCCGCTTGCAGCTGGAATCAGAGGTCAGCCTGTGTCCAGAGAGCGGGGTCAGTCTGACTGAGCTCTGACATCAGCCTGAAAGATCCCACTGTACCAGAGACGGACAGCACGGGGCCCGGGGTCAGGTGCAGGTCTGTGACTGTGCGGCACACAGGGGGCCCACCTTGGTCAGTGCCTCAGCCACCTCGGCCTTCTCAGCTTGCAGCACGTCCCGCTGTAGGGAGGCATAGCTCAGCGCCTCCCGCACCTCCACCAGCTCCTTCGCCAGCCCCGAGCGCTTCAATTCCAGCTGCTCCAGCTGTCTGTGGCTGTGGGACAGGTGGCAAGGGGGTGCTTTGTGTTACACCCCTGCGCTAAGCAACCAGCAGGAAGTTGGGCTGGGGCCAGACCTGGGGGCAAGAGCTACACCCACAGGGACAACCAAGCCCACTGCCTCTTAGCTCAATGACTCTGGGTATCAGTTTTCCTATCTGCAAAATGGGTGACATCTATGCTATAAAGCACTTAAAAGACATGTGCTCTCTTTTTGGGTACTAGGAATCAAACTCAGAACTTTGCGCTTACCAAGCAGATACTTATGCAACTGAGCTATATCCCCTGCCCAGGACCTATGCTCTTAATATGCTCCCAGGGGTCTAAAAACATAATAATATCTATTACCAAAATGTACTGTCATCATCTCTTGGGTCTCGGAGATGTAATGACTAAGGTTGGCAGCTCAGCTCTTTATGACCTCTCTGCCTCAGTTTCACCCTCCAAAGAAAGGAGACAACACCTTCTACACTGCACACTTATCACAAGAGTTAAAAAAGAGACTCTGAGTGCTGAACGTGGTCTCTAGTGCTTCATATTATTAGTGTAAAATTACTCTTTAAAAAGTAGTCATTTTTTTTTTTATTGGTACCGGGGATCGAACTCAGGACCATGCGCTTGCAAGGCAGGCGCTTATGTCGCTGAGCTAAATCCCCAGCCCAAAGCAGTCATTATTAACATTAATACTTGACTGTAATTGCTCGTATCACCCAAGGTCGATCTCCTACCAGTTCTGACCCCAGATAAGTGCCCACAGCTCCCTGAGTCTGGATTTCCCAGAGTAGGGGTAGTTAGAAGACTCCGCCATCAGAGTGGTGACAGCAGGCACCACCAGGTGAGAGGATGCCAAGACACAGTACATGGCTCCCAGCCCCCAGGGGCAGTCAGGACCCCCAAGATGCTTTTGAAGGCCCTGGCGGGAGATGAGGCGCCGCCTACCTGCGCTCCAGCTCCCTGCGGGCCCGGGCACCGTCCTGCACCGTCTCCTCTTGCTCTTCCTCTAGGCGATCCCGCTGCCGCCGCAGCTCCTCCTGGGCAGCCTGCAGCTTCTCCAGCTCCTGGCGCAGCTCCTCGGCCTGCTGCTGGGCCACCTGCAGGCTGTGAGCCAGGCTGCCCTTTTCCCTGCAGGACCAGGGGCAGGAGCAGAGGGCACTGTTAGGCTACTCTCAGCTGGGCTGCCACCCTAGGAAGATCACATTCTTGGTCCTTTACGGGACCTGCCTCCTGAAAGCCTTCCTGCCCATCCACATCTCCCAACAGAAGGAACCTGGCTTTCCCTCTCCCAGCTGCGCACTTGGAGGCCCAGTGTGATGGAAGAGGGTGCTGGCATTTCCTACAGGTACCCTACCAGATGAAGAGGCCAGGGCTAGGCTCCCGGGGCACATTGGCAATTTTGCTGCCAGTTCTGTTAGGTATATTCCCATGATACCACATCACCATGCACCCTGAGAAGCTGGCAGAGCGGGATTGGAGCTTCCTGCTGCACAGAGCAGCAGTGCACAGCACCCAGGGCAGGGGAGGAACCAGGCAGCTGCTTGAACCCTGAACACTCAGGGGCTGCCATGTCCCCAGCTATGAGTGTAACGCTTCCCTCTGAGCAGTTAGGGTCTCTGGCTCGGGCCTAGGGCTGCTCCTGTCTTCACTTCAGGGGGCAACCCTTAAATATACTAGACACTAAAGCTGCCAGTAGGTGGGAAACAGCACCATGCCAAACGGGGGTGCTCTCTGTGAATGCAACTACTTTAAAAAGCCCATCTTGTCTTTGGTCCCACCACTCAGGAGGCTGAGGTAGAAAGACTGCAGATTCAAGTCCAGCCTATGTGACTTACCAACTCAGCAAGGCCCTGATTCAAAATTCAAAGAAAAATTTAGCTGGATGTGGTGGTGCAGGCCTGTAATTCCAGCACTTGGGAGATTGAGACAGGAGGATTGCTGTGAGTTCAAGGTCAGCATGGGCTACACAGTAAGGTGAAGACCAGCTTGAAGTACACAGCAAGACCCTATCTCAAACAACAACAACAAAAACTAAAAAGGACTTGGAAAATGACCCGCCCAAAAGAGACTCAGAACAAAAAGGGTAAAGCCCCTAGGTCCAAATACCCAGTATCAAAAAGAAAAAAGTCCATCTTGTCAAATGCATGAGCATATACCAAAAATCAAAAAGGACTTAGAAATGATAAAAAGAAAAAAAAGGACTTAGGGATGTAGCTCAGTTGGAAGTCACTGTGTTCAATCTCCAGTACCAAAAAAAGATTTGGCCTATCTTGCCAAATCTAGCAGCATACTGCTAGTTACAGCACTTAGGAGACTGAGGCAAGGGCTGGGGATTTAACTCAGCGGCATAAGCACCTGCCTTGCAAGTGCACGGTTGAGTTCAATCCCTGGTACTGACAAAAAAAAAAAAAAAAATACTGAGACTGAGGCAGAAGAGCAATATGAATTGGAGGCCAGCCTGGGCTACACAGTGAGATAACTCAAGGCCAGCCTGAACCCTGATTTAAAAAACAAAAAAACACTTTCAGGCCAGCCTGAGCTACATAGTAGGACTCTATCTCAAAACTACAAAACCAAACACAACTAAACAGACCAACTTCTTCGTAGGCATGGATACCGTGGATTTACTCTCAAATGGACCTTAATTCCAGTTCCCACCCTGGCCCCTGCTGCCACATCCACTGTGTGAGCCTGGGAAAGCCTCTCAACTGGACTACACCAATAATTCCAAACCGCAGGAGTCCGACAGAAAGACAGCAACACAGGCGGTACCCAGTGAACAGTCTGCCACACAGCAGACGCCCACCTGGACCCCCACTGTGCTGCCTCAGGGCCAGACAACGCAATGGGAAGCAAAACCAGCGCCCAAGCAGGGGTTAGGATGGGAAAAGAAGGCTGAGAGAGTCCTGCCTTTTGATTTCTCCTACATTTTTCAAACTTTTTCTTAAACACTTCTATTTAGGAAGAAGGCAAAAAAAAAAAAAAAAAAAAAAAAACAGGTAACTTAGAAGTGAACAACTTAATGTCTTATAGATATCCAAGAAGGCAGGCTTGCTGCTGTATGCCTCTAATCCTAGCATTCTGAGAGGCTGAGGCAGGAAGATCACAGGTAGGAGCAACATAGTGACTTAAAGATACCCTGTCTCAAAAAAATAAATAAAATTTTTAAAAGGCTGCAGGTGTAGCTCAGTGCAAATGCTCTGGGCTCAATCCCCAGTCTCAGTAATTATAATAATAATAACACAATAATAATAATAAGAAGAAGAATATAGCTCAGTAGTAGGGTTGCCTGAGATACTTTAGTTTCTAGATTCAATTCCCAGGACTGCAATAAACAAACAAAACAAAACAACCTCTGTAGAAACAGTCTAGAAACAGGGCTGTCAACATGAATTCTAGGACCATGGAGCTGTTCTGTGGTCAGCAGTTGACTTTTGGGACACCTGACATGTGGCCATATTAAAGAATGGAGAGTTCACTTTTTAAAATTTTAAGTAACTGAAATTCTAGTAGACACACATGGCCAGTGGTGACCAATTTTAGGCTGGCCTTGAGCCCAGCCACCGATGCATCCTCCTCCTCCCCACTCTGGCCTCCCAGGCACCTGCTCAGGAGGTCATTGGCGTTACGCAGACGCTGAGCCTCGCGCTGGGCATCCTCGTGGGCCTGGGCGGCTCCCTCCGACTTGTCCCGCAGGCGCTGTAGCTGCTCCTCCAGGGCACGCCGCTCACCCTCGCTGTCACCAAGCTGCTTCCGCAGGGTGCCCAGCAGGTCCTGGCTGGCCTCGTAGCGCCCACGCATGTCCTGAGGCACGGGGGTCACTGAGTCTGGGGAACCCATCTGCTTTCTGCTGGGTCAGGGGAACTACATCTACACTGCGGCCAGACGGGACTGGCCTGCGTCAAGAACGGACTCCACTTGCCTTCTGCTTGCCTTCCACACCTCTTTGACCCCTCACCTTCCTGGAGTCCCAGAAGCACTCTTTCTTCTCGGGAGTCCTGACTCCACCCCCCAAGGGGCGGAGCCTGGCTCCACACTCAGACTCCTCCCCCCTACTCTGCCCCTAGTTCCCAGGTTCCCCCTGCTGGCCCCCCTCTCCTCCTATACCTTTTCACAGGGTCCTGGCTGTGTATAATGGGAGCTCACCTCCTTTTCTATCACAACTCTAGCTCCACCCCCTAAACGGCCAAACACCTCCAGTCCTGGGCTCAGATTCTTACCCAGAACTCTCAGCCAACATCTCGGTCTTACCTCAATCCTTTGCCAAGTCTCAGGGCCTGGCCCCGCCCCCGAGGCCATGACCACGCCCCCAGGGCCCTGGCCCCGCCCCCAGGACTCTAGCTCCGAGCACCCGGATGTTCAGGTTGCTGCCCACCTGGACCTGGAGCTGGCGCTTGTGCAGGGCGGAGTGAATAAGGGCGAGCGTGGAGGAGTCTGAGCAGGCCGGGGACGGGCCTCGGCGGGGAGAACGGCCACGGCCAGGCGAGGAGCGGCGCGGCGGGGATGGGGTCCGCTGGCCAGAGAGCCCCCGCAGGCTGCCATCGGAGGCGTCAGCAGTGCGCTCGGAGCCGCTGAGCTGGATGCCACTCTCCGGGTCCAACAGGACTGCCTGGGGGAGGTGGGCAGGCCGCAGCGGGCAATTAGCAGAGAAAAGGCCGCTTCGCCAAAGCTCCTTTCCCGAGAGCCATCCTGGACCACCACCTCCACCACTGCACAGCCCTCAGCCGGCACAGAGCCTCCCCTCCCCTCTGGGCCTTAACTACTCCAGCCAGATGCCCAGGCTCCCTGTCCACTTGCAGTGCCCCCCGCTGCTTCCTGTGCACCTGTGCCAGGTCCCTCAGGGTCTGCTGCAGCCCCTCTCCATCATCTGGCTCCAGAGCTGCCTGCTCCTGGAGCCGCAGAGACTCCTGGAGCGAGATACAGAAAAGGTGGTCAGGACTGTGCTCTGGCTTGAGCCTCTGCCTCGTTCCTCCCTGGCCTGTCAGCTGTTTGGTGACCACTCTGGCCATGCCCATAGACCAGCTGTATGAGTGACCCCACAGCAGTCCACTCTTCTCATTGAACAGAAGACGCCTGGAGAGGCCTGGGGTCCTGTCCCGTCACCCAGACCACTGGACAGCCCAGGCTGGGCCCACAACAGGAGACCAACTCCAGTAGTGACCAGAGAGTAGCAGCTGCATTCCTCTGGGAAATGTCCAGACTCCCCTGCTAATGGCTTGGGGACTCTCAGGCCTTGCTTTCCTTGTGTGTACTAGGGATCAAGCTGCAGGGTCACTGGAGGCAAGATGCTAACAGTGGTGAATGTCCTCGAATTGCTCCTACATACACTGGCAGTGGTGACGCTTGTGGTGGCCCAAGCAGCTCAGCCCTGGGCCTGTGTTTGCAGGTCTGACCCAGTCCCAACCCCAGCATCTCACCAGGGCCTCCAGCTTCTCCGTCAGGGCCTTGTTGACCCGATCCTTCTCCAGGTTCTGGCTCTGAAGGCGCTCCACTGCCAGGGCCAGCTCTGTCACTCTGCAGGTAGGGAACAGCAAGGGGTGAGTGGGCACCTGTCCCAGCTTCTCAAATCTGCCAATTTCTGTGTCCTTCACATTTCCCCAAACCTAAGCCCAAACCCTAGGATCCACCTCCAGAGTTATGGGTCTTGGCCAAGTCCCTTCCTTCTGGGTGTCAGACTTCTCATCTGTAAGATGGGAGTGTGGTTACCCTTGGCAGTATCTCTGAACACACACTGTCACCAGACACTTGAACTACTTGTGATGTGCCCTGGGCAGGACCTGACTGGCAAGCAGATCCTACCCCAGCCCCAAGGCTCTGGGTGCCTTCCGAAAGGAAGCCAGCCTTGAATGGTGCCAGTGTCACCCACCGGGTGCTGAGGCTGGCTTTGTCGAGGTCACTCTGGGCCTGCTGCTGAGTCAGGTCCTTCTCACGCAGCAGCTGGTCCCGAAGCTGTTCCTCCAGCTGTGCTTGCAGCAGTGCCTGCTTCTCTAGAGCCGCCTCTGCCCGGCTCTCAGCCAGCTGCAGACCCGCACTCAGCCCTAGGCTGGCCTCCTGCACAGCCCGTGATGTCCGGGCCAGCTCCCCTCCCAGCTGCAGCAGGTCCCTGGGGGAGAGAACAGGAGGGGTGAGATGGAGGTGACTCCCAAGGGCAAATTTAAAACTACACTGGGATGCCATTTGTCACTATCAGATTGAAAAACAAAACAAAAATGTCACATCATGCCCAGTGTGAGTGAAACCATAGGAAAAGAAGCCTTCCCAATGGCTGCTGGGAGAGTGCATGGGTACCACAATGGAGGGCATTCGGAAATTGTGAATACAGGGCCCTCTGCCCCCAGCTCCACCCCAAGAATGCATCCTACAGAGAAATCCTGGCACAGGGAAGTGACCTGTGTCCAGGTGATTTATGGCAGCACAGCTCCTGTAAAAACTATTGGTGACAACCTAACTATCCATGCAAAGGGGACTGCTGTTAGATACGGGACAATCCACCTGCTCAACAGCGCTACAGAAGAGGAAACCACAGGGCAGCTCCTTCTGGCCTGCTAAGGAGGGAGCTGTGCCCCAGGGTAGCAAACAGGTGAAAACAACTTCCAGAACTGCCAGGGTGAAATGCTACCCAGAGGCAATACCAAAATGGAATGTGTGTGTGTGTGTGTGTGTGTGAGAGAGAGAGAGAGAGAGAGAGAGACAAACAGTGAGAGAGACAGAGACAGAAAACAGTATTACTTGTTTATATAAAATCACCCTGAAAGGTCACTCAGGACACTGACAGCACCGCTGGCCTAGAGGAGGGGACAGAAGTGTCTGGGACAAGAGGTAGTGGGAGACCATGTGACTTACTCCAGGAAACACTGTTTTTTTGTTTTCTGAGACAGGGCCTTGATGTGTAGTTCAGGTTAGATTTGAACTGACAGTGTAGCTCAGACTAACTCTGAACAACATATGGTAAGCTCCTTCCTCCTGTACCACTGGGCCCAGCAGATACACATACTTTTAAATGCTAATTAAAAATAAAACCTACTTTAAACCCATGATGTAGGTTAAATATTTTTCCTCTTTTGAGGGGTGTGCGGAGGACTGATCCAGGGTCTGATGCATGCTAAACGTGGTCTACCACTGAGCCACTCCTCCAGTCTCAATCCTTTCTGTCCTTGCATGGACCGTCCCACTGGCCATCCAGTATAAAGAGGATGCGTGCCTTATAACAGAATTCCACTTATGCACGAAGGAGCGACAGAATAATATCACATTCTTGCAACTTCTGATAAATGTTTGGATCTTGGTATTGAGCATCAAGAGTTGCCAATGTCATGAAAAGAGAGACACCCAGGGTAGGGGTCCCTGATGGGGAACACACTCCACTTACCAAGTCTTGTCAAAGAAAAAAAAAATAGAAAAGAGTTTGAGCTAGCCTCAGATCCAACATCCAGATTACAGCAACTACGGGCGATACAGGAACATGTTACAGGACACCACAGGGATAAACCTAGCAAAATCCAGACTACGGAAATCTCTTAAGAAAAACTGGTCCAGTTTCCCCAACAAATAAATTGATACTGGGTGTGGTGGTCCACATCTGCAATCCCAGCATTTGGGGACTGAGGCAGGAGAACTGCCATAATATTGAGGCCAGCCTGAGCTATACAATGAATTGAAAACTAGCCTGAACTATAGCAAGATGCTGTCTCAAAAAAAAAAAAGTGGTTTAAAGGTCTAAAAAAAGACAAGAGAGAGAAGAAGAAAGGAAAGAGAGAGGCAAAGAAAGAAATCACATTTGAGAATGTCTATGGCTCCTGAATCAAATTATAAAGACAAAATGGAAAGCAAGCTGTGATACATGTGAGTCAAATAGAAAATATGGGCACTGACTATCATGATATTAGGAAAAGACAATTTTTAAAAATCTGGGTGTCTGTATGGCCCTGAGATCGAACCCAGAAGCTTTACCCTGAGCTACAGTCTGGTCCTTTTTTATATTTTTATGAGACAAGGTCTCACTAAGTTACTAGGCTGCCCAAAATTAACAATCTTCCTGCCTCAGCCTTCCAGAACTGACTGTGTAGCCCAGACTAACTCTGAACCTATGATGAGCCTCCTGCCTCCTGCACCACCAGGCCCAGCAGATACAAATACTTTTAAGTGCTAATTAAAAATAAAACCTACTTTAAATCCACAATGGAGGTTAAATATTTTTCCTCTTCTGAGGGGAGTGTGGTTGTGCATGCCTGGGATTAAAAACTGCTTATGTGAAAAAGGAAATGCACTGTCCTCTTGCCTTGAGGTGCTCCCTGCTCGGGGCTCTCTTCCCCTTGCTCCTACTCCAGCCCCCCTTGCTCCCCTTTTCCCCACCCTCAGGCCTTTGCTCCTGCCGCTTCCTCTGCCCACGGTGCCCCCACCTCTGGCAGTTACCTTCCCGTCCCTCAAGCTCCATACAAACTCCGTCTCCCCCACCGTGCGTCTCCTCGCCACTCCACCCTCCTCCTTTTCATCCTGAGCTTCCAGGACAGCTCCTCGTCCCCCTGTCTTGGCACTGGCCAGTCACTTCCTCAGTATAGAACTGGAGCAAGCAAAGCTATCTTTTCACTATTAGAGGTTGTGATGGCAGAACTTACTCTTCTAGTGCATTAAAAGCAGGCGCTTCAAATTTAGCCACTTACTGCTGCAGGACCTTGGGAAGATCACTCAACCTCTCTGAGCCTCTGTATCCTCATCTGTAACATGGGGAGTGTCACAGTTCTTACGTCACAGGAACACTGAATACCCGATAAATAACTGTATAAGGAGCCCAGCTGCACTGACCCCTGGTCAGCGCCGTGACTACAGCACTAGGCAGCAGTACGCGGTGCCTCTGCCCCTCCACAGGGCCCAGCACAGTCGGGGTCTGAGCTGAGCTGGTCTTAGAGACCGGGTTGCTGCTGGGTGTCTGAGCCACCCCAGGCCAGCCGGGCCTCACCTCTCCGTGTACATCTTGGCTTCGCTGACCAGCCGCCGGAGCCCCACGACCTGTCTCCAGAGGAGCAGCAGGCGGCTGTGCTCACTGCTGAAGTAGGCGTTGAAGGACTGGAAGGAAGAGGCGCCAGTGAACGGCTGGAGAAGGCCGGGTCGCTTCTCCCCGAGGCCCCCAGCTCCGTCCATCACTGTGGCACTGGCAGCTGGGGAGGGTACCTTCCTGCATTCGGGCCCCCTGTGCACCCCAGCCTCCTGTTCCTCTTGCCCAGGGTGCTGGCTTTTAGCTCCTCCCCTGCCTGTAAGAGGCGAAGGGGACCTATGTTTGCATCCCAGCTGCCAAGGGTTGGTTGCTTGTTCCCTCTAAATGACAGTGAGGGCTGGGGAGTGACTCAGGGTAGAGCACTTGCCTACCACGGGCAAGCCCCTGGGTTCGATCCCCAGCATCAAAAAAACAAAAACAAAAAAAAACCCTGCAAATAGATGACAGTGACAGCATCTACCACCTGCTGTTTGTACCAGGTCTAACAGAAAAGGTGCACATGGTACATGGAAATGAAGGCCTCTCTCTTAGTGATGACCAGACCCCTGCTGGTTAGTGCTTGCTGGGCTGATGCTCCTGTTCCTTCTCCAGACCTGAGTCCCCCTCACCCTGCCACAAAGGTCCCCCATGCAAACCCCTCCTGGGCTGCCCCATCCGTACCTCCTCCTCACGCCTCCATGCTGCCTCCCGCTGCTCCAGCTCCTGGCAGCTGCGTGTCCAGTCACTGGTCACTTTGCGTATGTCCTCGCTCAGAGCCTTGTTGGCCGAGCCCGCCTGGTCCAACTGTTCTCGAAGCATGGCGTTCACCTGGGCCAGGCTGGCGCTTCTGGGAGGGGAATATGGGCCAATGGGCACCCGTGACCACAGACAGGGCCATTCCACCAGCCCTGTGCCCTCCTAGCTGCGCCCTCACCTCTGCTGTTCCTCCTCCAGGCGGAGGAGGGCGCTCTCCAGGTCTTGGCGGTGCTCCGTGTCCTGGGTGGGAGTGGGGAGCGTAAGGCTTGGCAGGCAGAGCTGAGGGTCGTCAGCCCTGCCTCACCCCAGTACCCACCTTCAGCCGGTGCCGTTCCAGCTCTGTGGACCGCTCCAGCAGCTGCTGCTCCAGCTCTGAGCACTTCGTCTTGTACTGGAGAATCTGGAGATTGGAGATGGGAGGGCAGCAGTCAGCCCCAGGGGGCAGGAGGAGGGAGACACAGTCAAGTGAGGGCAGGGGCTTGCAGCGGACTTCACCTTGGCCTGCAGCCTCTGCACCAGCTGGGCCTGCCGCTGCTGGCCCTCCTGGTAGGCCTGCAGCTTGCGCCGGTAGGAGGCCTGCTCCTCCTGAAGCTGCCTCCGAAGCTCCACACTCTGCCGAACCAGCCCCTGGGGCTCCTGTGTCTCCAGCTCTCCAGACTCCAGCCGCATCGCCTGCTCCAGCTTCGAGGAAGGACCCGAGATGTGAGTCAGGGCCAGGCCTCTGCGGGGGCAACAGGCTGGTCCCAGAGCCACAGTGCCTTGAAAGCTTAGGGCTGCAGAACGGGCACTTGTGGGCAAGCCCAGGAGGGGCTACTGCAGACATCCAGGGGCACAAAGACAGGCATGGAGGGGCACATACTGAGCACGTGTGGGCACATTCAGGCGAACTCATGACCACACACATGCAAAACAGAGGTGCACCTGGGTAAAGTATAAATGTGCTCAGTGCACCGTGTGCCTCTGCTCCTGGATACATACTTTGCTCCCTTGTGGTTCCTGACGGTTAGGCTGTTGCCACACTTCCCATTCCCTCCCCAAGGTGAGGTCTGGAAGGCTTGGGGTTTTGTTCCCCATTCATTCATTATTAATTTATTAATCCATCCATTACAGGGGATTGAACCCAGAGCCTTCACACCGACCTACGTCTCCAGCCCTTTTTATTTTCTATTTTTTGAGACAGGGTCTTGCTAAATTTCCTTGGGTAGGCATGGGCTTTCGACCCTCCTGCCTCAGCCTCCTACAGTGCTGGGATCACAGTATGCCACCATAGTATTGTATTTGAATTGTATTGTATTGTATTGAATACCATTGTATTTGAATACCTAAACTGTGGCCGTTAAATGGCATGGTTGGTCATCAGTAAATATCTAGGATCATAAATAAATGACACAAGGACATATGAACTCTTTCAAAATAGAGGCATCAATACACATATGCAGATCTGAGTTTACAGATGGGCACACAGGTGTTTTCTGTCCCCTGGGTGACACAAATGAGCGTGCCCACCATAGGCAGCATGGAAATGTGCCCCGTCATCCTCCACAGCTCTCTCTGCCCACCGTCTCACCCCTTCCACTCCTCATCTCCACCCCCAGGCCCCACGGGTGCAGGCTTGGCTCCTGCCTGGCTCTAGCTGCCCCGACAGCCATGGAACTTTCTCAGTCAGGACTCTCAGCCGCCTCCTGCTGTTAGGAGGAAGGGCTTGGAGGAGGCGGAGGATGAGAGGGACCCAGCAGGGTGGGAGCACACATAGGACCCGGAGACAACCTCCCGCCTGCACCAGGCCTGCTACATACAGGGCCACACAGGTCACAGGAAACCGACAGGACGGACGGCTTCTCTCACCCACACCAACCCCAGGTCTAGGCTAGGTCAGCAGCGGGGACTGGTCACGGCCATGTGGGGCTTCCCCATGAGTTGGGAGAGACTGGGCTGAGGCTGCTGAGAAAGGTGGCAGGGAGTGGGGGGTCCTGCCTGGGCAAGCGTCAGCATTGGGGTCTGCCCAAGTCAGAGGGGGGACAGCGTCCTCATCCATGCCTGGTGATGGCCGAGAGAGGTGAGTGTATCATGCCAGTGTACCTCACTGGCTGTGAGTGGGGTACATTCAGCCCTTTGTCTCCACATGGGGCCCTATGCGTTGTCATGTGTATGGGGTGCACAGCGCCAGTGTGGTGCTTCTGGGTCATATGCAGCTGGCGGAAATGACATACATGGCTGTAGGTCTATGCTGCGGTGCAGGGACTGTGTCCCTCTGTGTGTCCCACGCCGTGAGTTCCTGTGTGCACCTCTCTGAGGGCTGATCTAGCAGTGAGACGGGAGGCAGTGTGACGCGGCCTGCATTCCGGGTACGTGGTGGCGGTGTGAGTGCTCATCCAGGGGGCTCCTCTGTGTGCCGTGTGGGGCTGAGGGGGATCTGGCTCTGCGTATTGGGTGTGTGCGCCTGTGGCACCTTAGGCACCTGTGTGTCCTTGAGGGGTCTGCATGTGCTGTTTACACCCTGCAGACCCGTGCGACTCTGTGCTGTGAGCCTCTGTGTTGTGGAGGTTCGGTGCTCAAAGACAGAGCCAGGTCCGTGCCAGCCACACCTCAACCCTCACTGCAAACTTTGCCCCTCCCAAACAGCCTTTCACTGAACTTCCCTTGGAGGGGAGGGGGCTGCCACCAAGCTAGAGATGAAAGAAGTTTACTGTCTCCCCTAGCAACCGGGGCTTCACTGGCTGCCATTCCATTCTCTTGGCCAGGTTGCCATGGACACTGGAGGAGGGAGGGTGCTCTTCTCTGAAGCCAAAACCACTCCCTCCTAGCTTGTCCCAGCTACCTGGCCCTACACCTGCTCCTTGAGCATCCTTCGGACCTCCCTGGACACAGGAAGGTGGCTCTGGGCGCCCCTGCCTCTGTTTCCCTGCAGAATATATAGTCAACAGGACATTGATCCTCATGATTCTCCCATTCCCTTATTATCCTAGGGGTCCTGGGGGTTTGAGGGGTCAAAATAATCTTGCTGACTGCTCCTGACCCCAGTAAACCTCAATGACTGCCCCAACCCAGCCTGCCATAAAACAGGTACAGGAGCAGGCCTGGCGATTCGCTGGCACAGGGACAGGAGAGCAGAAGGGAGAGAGTGTCACAAGGCTGCACAGCCCCGGGCCAGGGGTCTCATCCTAGCTCCACCACTGACAAAGGGCTTATATGCCCCCTGCCTGGACCTCAGTTTCCCCGTCTGTAATAAGGTGATGTCCAGGCTCTGATGCTCTCTGTGGACTCCCCTCCAGGAAAAGCCTGCAAGGTCATTCTTGTCCAGTCCACTCCTCCAGGTTGAGCTGTGTTCAACTCCCACAGAGGACAACTGAGATCCCAGGCTGCCCCTGCATGCCATTCAGCTTTTGATGGAACTTTCCAGATGAATGCAGCTCCAGGCTACAACTGCAGCCCAAAAGCTATGTCCCAAGAGAGCACGGACCAGCCATCTGCCACCTTTCTTCCCGTCCAACCAGGAGCAGTGCTGGCCTCACTGCTGCTCTGGAGTTGGCACCTAAAAGACAGCCCCTGGGGGGTAGCACAATGCCAGGGGCCAAAAGAAGAAAGACCCAGACCAGGAGGAGGCTGGCTCGGGCCTGTCACCACTGACACTGCGGGACTCAGGCCAGCCTGCCCGCTACACCCTCTAAGGACCCTGAGAAAGAACACTGTCCCGTCCCACAAGCAAGTGGCCACCTTGGGTCCCAACCTTCAGCAAGTCCCAACAAGCCAGAAGCTTGTCCAGGCAGACTGTTACTGGCACCCCCTCCCAGCACACTATGCAGACCTCTGCACAGACAGGGCCAACTCGGGGGATCCAAGCCAACCCTGCCCTGCCATTAACTCAGAGGGGGCCCTGGAACTGCCCTTACCCTACTGGGTCCCTTCCCGCTTTCCAGGACCCAGCTGCCCCTCTGGAATTGCTAGCCCAAGAAACAAAACTTCAATCAAGAGCCCCAGGCTGGGAGTCAGAAGACCTGGGTTCCTAATAGGCTGTGTGACCCCAAGCACAATACTTTCCCTCTCTGAGCTTCCATTTTCTGTTGTGTTAAGTGGGTATCGCAATAGTCCTGGTATTAACACCCATGTGCACACATGCACTCACCCCCCACGCAACCCTCAGCAACCTTTAGGCACCCTCCATTCCCAGGGTCACTGGCCATGAGTCTGACATCCCAAGGCAGACAGTGCACCAGAAGCAACGTACCTCAGCACCCAGCTACCTCCTGCCCAGGGCAGGAGGCTGAGGTCCCCACCAGCCTGCAGCCCTGGACCCTGGAGTGCAAGTCCTGTCTGGATATGCAGACAGCTTGGTGTCTCCGTCCTTCCCAGCCCAGCCTCAGCCCAAGCAAAGCGGCACAGGCCCTGCAGCTGCCATGGTGCAGCCTGCGGAACACTGTGAGTGCCAACACCAGCCTGTCCGGCCTCAGCCATGGCCTACACCCTGACGCCCATGGAAAGGGGGACCCGGGAAGCCGTCCAGAGCCTCGGAGCTGGTAGAGACCTCTAGGGGCCTTCTCTGTGCTCTATCTCAGACACTTACCTGATTACTTCACTGATCAGACAGCAACCCCAAACCAATGCCACCCCACTACGAAAACCAGCTCCCAGAGGGCTGCAATCTGACCCCAGGTCTCCCTGATGCCAGGGCCCACCTTGGCCCAGGATGCGGCCTGCTCTGTATTTCTCCTCCAGCCCAGTCCCCAGCCAGGAAGCACCCACCCTCTCGCTGACCGCAGTATACTTAATGGCCAGCTCATCTCGCTCAGCGCGGCTCTGGGCCAGCAGGTCCTCCAGACGGGACAGCTCCTGCTGCAGTAACCGGTTCTCCTCCTGCATCGGCAGAAGTGATGCCATTTCCAGGGCCGGCGGAGGGGCTGGCAAGGGAAGAACAGGGGAAAGTTGGCTTCTGTCTGGGTCCTGCACAGCATCCTCCCCACAGGCACCTCACTCATCAGGGTAGGAGGAGAACCAGGCCCCACATCAAGTGGCTTAGTCTAGGAGTCCAGGGAGTATCTCTACCTACCCCACCCAGGCCACAAGGCCTATGTTCTTGCTTCTTCTCTGAGTACTATTCTCTATGCCTCAGTCCTACTCATCTGTGAAATGGGAAGAATGTGAACCAGATCTTGCAGGAAAACAAGCAAACTTCACTCAAGGGTAGGGCCCCAGGAAACTCCTACAGTCAGGGCTCAAGATAGTGGAGATCAGGGGCTGGGAATTTAGCTCAGCGGCATAAGCGCCTGCCTTGCAAGCAGGCAGTCGTGAGTTCGATCCCTGGTACCGATAAAAAATGAAAAAGACAAAAAAAAAAAAAAAAAGATAGTGGAGGTCAGGTTGCAAGGGGGAGGAACAGAGAAAAGCAGGACAAAAGCTGAATTGGGCTTCAGGCCTGGGTCATCGACCTCCGCCAAATCCTGGTCTCAGTTGGGCTGACCGCCCCCTGTAATCTCAGGTTCAGCCAGCTCACACCTTCCCCAGGAGGGAATGTGGCCGCTGGTGTGCAACTCTCCCCTTCAAGCTGCATCTCATGGGCAGTAAGTCAGAGGAAATCATCCTTCCCTGCCTCCTTTTCATTCTTTGTGAAGCAGGTCCCCTGTCACAGGGCTGGGCCTGAGGAATATTTGGGAAATGGATGCTGCAATTCCTGTCATCTTATGCCTGTGGGGTAGTGGCTGAGCTGAGGGGACATGTGGGGGATGGAAGGGGTGGCACCTGGGCTCTTGGGCTGGTTGAGGTTGCGGGAGACAATCTCCCTGATACAGGAAGGCAGGCAGCCAATCGGAGAGCCCCAGGCCAGGTCCTGCACACTCAGACCTTTCTCCTGGTCTGGCTGGAGGACGATGCTCTCCAGGGTCTGCAGGGAAAGAGACAGGGGGTCCTCAGGGACCTCGCCCCTGGACTCCCCAGCCTGGGAGGAGACAGGCGAAGTCCTGTGGCCCATAGTGTGGTGCCAGGAGGCCCTCAGGAAGGTCCCAGATGGGACACAGCTTGGGAGTTAGACTGCAAATCACCCCATGGGAGGAGTCACATGTGCTCCCTACTCCAGGAAGGGGCCAGAGTGGGGAACTGAACCCCCAGGCCAATTCACAAGTGCTGAGGGCTCTAATCCAGCTCCAACCCTAGTTGTGTAAGGATGTTGCTGTGACACAAGGGACCTGAACCCTAAAATCTAGGAGAGGGGGTTCACCCTCCACAGGCCCTGGGTGAGACAAGGGAGCCACAACAGTTGAGCCCTGGGTGACTCCCTCCTGGGGCTTGCTGGGTCATGCAAGATGGGGACCCTGGCACCCCTCCCCCATCACCCTTACCTCCCAAAGATGCACCCACCTCTCACCGCTCCTACCAGCCCCCTCCGCTGAGCAGGGAGGGAACACCCCCAGGCCCACCTGGATGACGGTCTCCAATGCTAGCTGAACCTCCAGCGACCCCGCCAGCCCCAGGTTCATGGGGGGAGTGGCTGTGGGCCCCCCTTGGCCCCCTTCACTAAGGCCCCAAAAGCAACCCAGCTGGAATGGTCCAGGCCAGGCTGCTGCGCTGAGCACCAGGCAGATTAAGCTTAAATCCGGCGGCGCCCCCACGTGACCAGGCAGTGGGCGGAGTCGGGGCGGGGCTGGGTGAGGGTAGGGTGGAGGAGAGGGGGAGGGGCAGAGATAGAGGTAGGAGAAGAAGAAAGGGAAAGGGAGAAAGGAAGAGAGCAGGACCTGGAGGTGACGACCCCTACTCTGCACCCTTGCTGGGCTGCCGGGCCCTAGAGTTTTCCAGGTCCACAGTGTGGGGTGAGCAGCCGCAGGCGGGGAGAGCCAGAGTTCCCAGCCCGCAGGAGCATCTCCAATGACCCACAACGGACTCACACGGTTGCTACCCGGCGCTGGGAGGGGAGAGGCATCTCCCTGCCACAGGTGCAGGGCAAAGGACGCGGGCCTGACGGCTCAGCCCAGGCCGGCAACTGAGTGTCCTCCCCCACCCTGGCTGTGGCCTAGAGTTGGGTCTTTGCCTCTCCAGGCTCAGGGTCCCCCATGTACGCGGGGATAATACTGGCACTCGCCTCAAGGAGTTATCTGGGATTAAAGGAAACACCTTCTGTGCAGCAACAACACGTGATCTGGTGCCAAGTCCACAGAGTGAACCCGTGGCCTCGGGGTGCCCTTGGCTCCAACTCCAAAGCCCCCCAAGAGTCCCGCTGAGCTCTGTGGACTCCAAGAAATCATATCCAAACCCTTAATGCGCATGTGCTCTGCGAACACCTCAGCTTCCAGCCAATCCTCCAAAAACTGATTGACTTCTTCACGGGAAGTGGGTGCCAAAGCTTCTGCACCTGGCAGGGTGGGAATGCAACTCATCCTTCCCAAAACTCCTGTGAAGGTGAGCCCCAGTGTAGGGCTGAGAGGTGGGGATGAGGTTAGGAGAGGATTAGGTGAGAGGGGGATTGGGTCAGAAGAGATTAATGCCTTTATCAGGGTAGCAGGTTAGTGGGTTGCTGGAAAGCGAGCCCAGCCCTTCTCTCTGTCCTACAAAGCCTGCTTGCCTTTTGCTTTCCCCCAAGTCATACACAGCACCAGGTCCTTGCCAGATGGAGCCACCCAGTGTTGGACTTCCAGCCTTCAGAACAGTAAACTCCTTTCCTTTGTAAACTACCCAGTCTCGGGTATTTTGCTACAGCATCAAATGTGGACTAAGAAAGCCAGGCACATCTGTGATCCAAGCGGTGGAAGGCTGAGGCAGGAGGATGGCAAATTCAAAGCCAGCCTGGGCATCTTAGCAATTTAGTGAGACTCTGTCTCAAAGTAAAAAAAAAAAAAAAAAAAAAAAAATTTAAAGGCTTAGAGAGCCTCTGATCACCTTGACCGTGATCTTAGCTATACCTCTTCATAGGCTGTATGACCCTGTAGCAATGACTTCATTTCTGTGAGCCTGTTTCCTCACCGGTAACATGGGATCATTGGGGCCTGACAGAAGCATGAGACTTAAGATGCTCTCCCATCCACTGTGTGCCTGGATCTAGTGTGGCAGAAGCTGCTATGGTTTCTCCAAAACCCACTTCCAGTTCCTTTCAGGAACATGGCTCGAGGCTGTGTCCTAGGCTTTTGCAGAGAGATATCGCCATGTGATCAAGTTCTGGCCAGGGATTTAAGGCAGAAAGACTGTGTCCCTGTAGACCCAGCCCATAAAAGCTGCCCAACAGGAATCATCTGTCTCCTTCCTCATCATCAACCTAAAGGAAATAACCCCCAGGGCCTCAGGGACACCAAGAACCACAAGATGGATGGGGTTTGGTCACCACATAGGGGGCCACCTGCTAAACACCCAGGGTGCTTCCTGAATGCAGAACAGCCTTCTATTGTGTTAAGCCTCTAGGGTTTCAGGGTTCCCTTATCACATCAGCTCATGTTACTTAATTACTGTATGCAGTTAAATAGGGACAAGGCTTGGTTATTCCTGCTGCAATCACTGCTATTCATTAGTTCTGGGTACTTGTTACTTCCCAGGACCCAGTTAGAACCTTCTGCCTGGTTCCGGAGCAGTGAGCTTTGAATGACGCAAACAGCCCGTGCCGTGGGTTCACCCCCACTGCGCTGGACCCTCAGCCATCTTCTGGTGAACAAATACAGAGGAGATAACTTTTACACTCACTCCTTGCTTGGCCTACCTGGCCCTCCAACCTGCCAGACCTCCTGCAGTACCCCCAAAGCCCCTCACTGATTACCCATGGCTACATATACACCAGTTATTCTTACCATTTGCCCATTCTCTAGTCTCAGTTTACAACAAAAAATATTGGCCCAACCGTGAGCCAGGGCCTGTGCCTGAAACGTTACTTCTGTAGCTTATCTCTTTTAGCATTCTTGGCAGCCCCAGAATGCAAAACTGCTTGACCCACTTACAGATGGCAACACTAAGGCTCAGGGGAGTTGTACACTGTACCTTTGCTCCAACTCCTCAGCCGGGAAGAGCTGAAGCCATAGCTGAAACCCAGATGTGCCTGCTTCTGAAGTTTACAGTAACGGCACTGAGTGCCTTTCTGCAGCGTTTACTGCATGCCAAATACAACTCCAGCTCTGCTTGTTTCTTGTTTTTGTTTTCATTTTTGTGCTACTGGGGATTGAACCAAGGGCCTTCATTCTGAGCTACATCCCTACTGCTTTATTATTTTATTTTTGGGGGGACAGGGTCTTGCTGTGCAGTTCAGTCTGGTCTTGGGCTCATTTTGTAGCCCAGGTTGGCCTCAAATGCACAATGATCCTCCTGTCTCAGCCTCCCGAGTGCTGGGATTACAGAAGTGCGCCTCCACTCCTGGTTCCTCTAGTGCTTTTCTCATTTTTTATTTCGAGACAGAGTATGGTTAAGTCACTCAGTTTCTCAGACTGAGCTCAAACTTGTGATTTTCCTGCCCCAGCCTTTAGAGCACTGGGATTACAGGGCTATACCTTTTTTTTTTTTTTAAACTTTTATTGGTACCAAGGATCAAACTCAGGACTGCCTGCTTGCAAAGCAGGTGCTTATGCCGCTGAGCTAAATCCCCAGCCCCCACCTCCATATTTTTGGCCTGGGATGCTCTTCCTCCTGCTTTTGCATGGCAGACTCCTGCTAGTCACCCAGATCTTGGTCAAAAGTGCCACCTTCTGAGAGAGCTAACCTTCATCTCTTAGTCAAAGTGGCCCCTGCCTGTGGTCACTCTGTAGGTTCTCTGTTTTTCCCCAAGGGCAGGGACCAAGTTGGCTCTACTCATTTCTGCTGCCACAGTGCCCACGGCCCAAAGCGCCATAAATAGCTGGTAAATGAATGAGCCAGAGATTGCTGCAGGGGCTGGGGATATAGCTCATTGGTAGCACATTTACCTGGCATACACAAGGCCCTGAGTTGGAGCCTCAGTAAAAATAAATTAATAAATATAAACCAAAAAAGTTAAAAGACCAGTAAAACAGATTGAGCACCTGCAATCTGAAATACTCCAAACTCCAACTTTTTGAGCATGCTGATACTACACGTGGCTCACACCTGACCTCACAGACTGATAGGTCACAGTCCAAACACAGGCACACTAAAAATACTCTATAAAATTACCTTCGGGCTATGGTATTTGCTGTCTGTGGGACACATAAGGATTCTGTGTTTAGAATCGAGTCCAATCCTGGAGATACCTGTGATATGCGAACAACCCAAAAATCCGGGAAAAATCCAAAATGTGAAAGAGGTACCAAACATTCTGGAGAAGGGAGAGGAAAGAAAACAATTCCCCATGGGCTTTGGCTGGCGTCTGTGGAACAAGACTGACCACAGTCAATATGGAGTCACAGAAGGATCCAGTAAAAAGAGATCCAGCACCTACTTCTACCCAGTTCAGGTTAAAAAGCCAGGCGGTTGCTGGATGTGGTGACGCACACTTATCCCAGAACTCAGGAGAGTGAGGCAGGAGGATCACCACTGAGTTTGAGGTCTCCCTGGGCTACATTGTGACTTCAAGGCCAGCCTGAACCAAAAACAAAACAAAACAAAACAAAAGCCAGGCAGTGTGCCACAGGTGAGCCCGGCCCCAGGGAAGTGCCTACTTTCCAAAGGCAAAGACCTGGGAGAAGAGGGCTAAATGAGCACAATGGGTGGAACCCATTGGAACTCCCAAAATCCAGAAGTTGCCCTTTGAGGTCTTTCCTGAACCCAGCGCCTGAGGGGTGCACCCCCTGCCTTAAGTCTGCAAGCCCAGGGCCTTGGCCTCGCGGTTATCCATCAGCAAGGAAAACAGGAAATCACAACTATAAATACAGATGGCACCTGCAAGGCCGAGTCCCCCGGGGAGTGACTCTAGCCTCCACACAAATCTGGTCACTGAGGGGCAGACATCTGCCCAGAGCACTCTTCAAATTTGGGTTTGCAGGACAATCACTGTTCAAAATGCCAGCTCCGGAGCGCTGATCGCCACAGGGGGGCCTCAGGCCCCAGTGTAGGGAACGCAAGGGCCGAGGTTCAGATTCCTGGCCATCTTGGACATCTCAGCGCCCGATCTGTGCCTCAGTTTGCTCGTCCATACAATGGAGACGCTCTGGACTTCGTGGCGGGGCTGGCCACGAAGAAGTGGCCTTGCATGCAAGGAGGGCAGGATCGGGCGCGCAAGCCGGAGGCCGCAGAGCGCGCGCTGCACTCGTCACGACCGCCAGGGAGGGCCTCCCCCAGCAGGCGGGGGGCGCTGGTGAGACCCTGCAGGCCGCGGCAACCCGACAGGCCCCCGCCCCCTGCAGCCCGGCCGACCCGCAAGGGTCTGAGCGCGACATAGGGCGGGAGGCGCAGGGCAGCTGCAGAGCTGCTCCCGCTGGGCCCGAGCAGCGGCCGGGACAGCACCGGACGCCCTCAGGCCCAAGCCGCGGACCGCGGCTCCAGCCCGCCCCCTGGCGCCACCCGGCACCGCGCAAGGCCGCCCCGTCCCCGCCTCCGCCCCCGCCCCGCGCGCACGCGCCGCCGGCCCCCTACCTTTGCGCGCGCCGCCGCCGAGGCCGAGCGGGCCGGGCACCGGGGCAGAGGCGGGGTCGGGGCGGGATGCACCGGGCGGGGCGGAGCCACACCGCGAGGGGGCGGGGCCGCGATGGCCGGGGCGGGCCGGGGCGGGTGCCCTCGCCCCTCCTATGGATAGCCCATCCGGCCGGAGCCGGCCTGGAGGCTCTTCTTAGCGGTCGGTTTACTGCTCTGCGCCGCCCAGTGCGCCGATCACTAGGCGAAGGTGAAGGAAGGCGCGCGCCCCAAGGCCTCGCCGCCGACCGGATCCGGCTGCAGAGTCCCACTGCTATCCGGCTGGGCTTCGCAGTGTGAGACAGAACCCAAGGTTCTGGCCCAGATAAGAGGCCGACGGCCCAGCCAGATGGAGCGGGGACTCCCTGGCCGCTCTTCGGAGCCCGTGGTGGTGGAGAATCTGTTCACCTGTCACTCAGTGACATGGTGGTGTCTCATTTACTGCCAAGCAGTCCGGCAAGCTAATGTGCTTCCCCTGATTGGGGGGGGGGGGTAAGATTGCAGAGGAAACGGGTTTCCCAGACTGAATGCACGATGTGCACGTCTCAAGTTCATCTCCACGGTGACTGTACCTTCGCTCCGTTCTTTTTTATTTTTTTCTCTTTTTTTTTTGGTACCGGGGATCGTACTCATGACCGCCTGCTTGCTTGCAAGGCAGGTGTTTATGCCACTGAGCTAAATCCCCAGCCCCCTTCACTCTCCGGCCTTACATCCCTCTGGTTTTGTTTTTTGGAAACAGGGTCTCACTAGGTAGTCCCAGCTGTCCCCATATTCAAAGTCCTGCTTCAGTTTCCAAGATGTGTCCCACTATACGAAGATTCTTCTGTTCATCATTAGTCTAACCGGCCAGGGGAGGTCTGATTCTAGAGCTGAGGGAGAAGGGGTGTGGCTTTAAAACACATTTAACTTTATGACTTGGCAACAAGTAGGCAGAAAAAAAAAACCTAGCAGGCCAGGCTGAGTTTTAGCAGTGTTTTAGCAGTGGTGGGTAGAAAGGAGTGTGAGTGGGACGGGGTCATCTAGACAAAAAAGAAGGCTGTCCAGGAGTGAGGCACTGGCAGAGCTGGCCAGAGCTGGAGCTAAGAGCTGCCGGTCGGGAGAGTTGGATTGGTCCCTGGGGTTTGGGGTGAGGGTGCTGAGCTGGGGAGAAGGGTACAGTGTCTCTGGGAGAAGGCTGACTGACTTCTGCCTGGATGTCCAGAGTGGCCCAGGTCCGTCACCTTGTGTGGAGTCCCTGGTTCTGCTCACCAGGCCGGTTCTGGTCCTGCTGCCCCAGTGGAGCTGGCTCCATAGTGCTCTCCACAGCCACAGGGCTCCAGGGCCTTCCTTGCGTGTCCCTCTGGGGGA